TTAAAACCTATGATATTCACTTTATTGAATTCCTCATCTAGAAGTTCTTTAAATGCTTCCTTCTGTTTTTCATTTAATGTATGGGACAAAGTCCCCGCCGTTTGCGGCTTCAATAATTCTTCATATTGACTCATATTTGATTTAGCAACTAATGAACAGGTTGAAAATAAAAACTCAATCCAATCAGAAATAAAAGAATCACTCGAAGTTAAGCAAAAATTCCTCGTATATGTTTTATCATTTAATTTAACCGTTGATGATACCATGAATGGTTTTAAGTAAGCGTTCAAAGTTGCACACTCAGAAAGTTGTAATTCTTCTTTAGTCTCTAATGTTTCAAAGTCAAAAGTAATATAATATCTTGTCGGTTTATAATATTCTGCAAATTGTGAGCTAATAACCACTGATATATCTTCTGTTTCGTAATATGTGGTGCATATGGTTGCTGGTCTTTTGCAATTGAACGTCTTGAATTAATCTTCCATTATTTTCTTTACATTTCTCACAATGCTTTAAAAATCTTCTTTGGTTTTTCCTTTCTGGATCATCACGGATAGAATAAACTTCTTCTTTACAATATGGACAAACTTTATAGCCGGTGAGTGCTTCAACGTCTGTTATTCTGTCAGCGTGAAGTTTTCCACATGGACTCTGTGTTAATAAAATATTTACTGTTTCAAATTCTGGATCTATCATTATTGATTCCACTAATGGAAAGTCTACCTTATTTATGTCCACGTCTTCTGGTTGAGGATCACAATAATAGAAATCAATATTAACATTTAACATTCTCGCTAATCTCTCACTTTCTGATGAAATGTCAAACCCTTCATATGCATCTATTGCTTCATTTAAATAGCTTCTACGAGTTTTAGGATTAACACCATCAGGAATGTTATAGAAGCGTTTAAATAACCTTCTACCTTCTGCTCTAATTTGATTATCATTCATTTTAGCTGTTCCGTTTTTGTTCATTTATGTAAGAATAAAAAATTAAAAAATAAATAAAAATAAAGTTTATTTTTTAAAGCCCATAAAATGAATTAAGAACACATAAATTTTTATCATCTGCGACGTGACGAATACATTTTAATTTACTCAAGAATGCGTACCCTGATACATTAAATCTAATTCCTGTCTTATTTAATTTCACAACTTTGAAAAGGAATGTATGAATAGCTATAAAATGATGAGAAGATGTTTTATGGGTTGCTTCCATTTTTTCTGAAATAAATGAATAAATATAATGTTTATAAGTTTTCATATCTTTTATGTTCTTAATAACGAATGGTATAGACCTTTCCACTTCATCTTCCTTCGGTGCTGTTCTTTCATATGAAACATTATTAGTATCTTCAACAATGAAACCGCAATCACATAAAATTTTATATGTTCCAATGGTTTCTTTTGATATTTTATCTAATAAATCAAAAACTTTATCAACACCTGTGCATTTATTTAAATAATAATTTGTGTAAATATCATGATCTTCTTTCTTAATCGTATTAGTTGCATATGTCACGTTTTTTAGTGCTTTTTTGAATTTTTCGGAATCTAAAGGTGGTGAAAGTAGATACAGGGTATTCTTCATTATCAATAAATTGTAACTTATGTTTACGAATAAATTTAGTACCTTCTTCTGAAAGTGTTTCGTCTATTTCACCATCTAATAAATTTTGTGTTGATTCTGAGACATAATTTTTATATCTTTCTTCATGAGATTTCTGAACTGCTGATTCTGAAGCTGGGATATTCATTAAACCCTCTACTTCATTTTCATTATATTTTTCAACTTCTCTTAATTCCTTAATTTTTTCATCTATTTCATCTCTTATTTTTTTCAGTCTTTCAATTTCATTGTATTCATCATCTTTAATCCGTTCTTCATAATATTCAGGGAAAACATCAGGTTCTTTAGGTTTTTCTTCTTCAGATGTGGGATATAAGAAATTTATAACATCATCTTTATTCATTTTTCCATCATAATCTAAATCATTTAATAACTCGGCAAATTTTTGACAATTTCATAAATAATATTTATTAACTTCATAACCCGCCTCCTCTAATATATCCTTTATTTCCTCGTTTGTGAATCCTAATTTTTTAACGTTGTTAGTTTTGACGCTCATTTCATACAAAATAAAAAAATAAAATAATAAACATAACTAAGTTTTAATTTTTCGTAAGACATGAATTTTTAAAGTTTATTTTTTATTCATGAAAATAATTATTTCTAATTTCTTTTACTCTCTCGTATATACTAGATTTAAAGAATTCAGAACATTTCCCATAATCTCCTAAATGTTTTCTTATCCCTAACGTGTGCCAGTTATTATATGAAACTGAATAAACTTTATCTTTATCTTTACACCTTTCATCACTTCCAATATATTTATATCTCAGTTTTGATTTATTGGTTTCATATTCATTAACGTTTAATAATTCACAGTCTTCCTTTTTAAATAAATGTTTTATGTATTCAGGATTAACAATTCTATAATGTTGCTTCCCTTTAAATCTTTGAATATAAACAGGAACACCATCCTCTAAAATTCGATAATCTATTTTATCTGGTTTTACTTGTTGGGTCATTTATGTAAGAATAAAAAAATAAATTATTTTAAAAATAACTTTAATTTTTTTAATGGTTTATTTTTTAAAAAATTTTTTATTTTTTATTTCATTATGTATGGGCTGAGTGTAAATGTCTTACAATTTTGAAAATTTTTTAAATCTTGATTTATTCAAAAACGTAAGAATAAAAACCGTAAGAATCATACATTTTTTACTTCTTATGTTAAAAAAATGATACAAAATCGCTCGATATTGTATGAATTCTTACGTTTACAAAAAAAGTCACAAAACCCATCATATCCTACTACTAAAAAAAAATTCAAAGAATTGACAATTAGATAGCACAAATTTAATTCTCTAGACAAAGTATTATTGCTTATATATTCAAAACATTATCCTTAGGAGAAAGGGACAGACTAGCCCATTGTCACTTTTTAATTTCGCAAATGAACGCTTATGGAGTGGAGTTTTTGGGTAAATCTGATTTGCTTATAAATGAAATAAAATCAAAAGAAACCATATTGGCATTATATTATGCAAAAATAAATGATCTTACTTAGTACTTTTAAAGTTAATTTCAGAAAAAATTTGACACAATGGTATCCGGCACATACAAGTGGTGTACAACCAAAATATAAGTTGGTTTAAACATATATTGCTATATCTCATGATCTTACTTAGTACTTTTAAAGTTAATTTCAGAAAAAATTTGACACAATGGTATCCGGCACATACAAGTGGTGTACAACCAAAATATAAGTTGGTTTAAACATATATTGCTATATCTCATGATCTTACTTTGCAAATTAAAGGTCTGGATTCAGAGAGAAGTGTTAAAGTTATCAAAAAAGTCACAAGAGATTTCGAAGAAATGACACAATTTAAAAAAAGTCGAATGCATCAGTATGCTTGAAGCTGTTCAGAAAGGTCTGAAAAATGATACACTTGATCCCAACATTGTTTACTCAACATTAAAAATATTATTGCAAAGAAAACATTTGATTTAATAAACATTTAATTTATTATAATTAATTTTTTATTACAGTATAGTAAAAAATGCTATAAATAAATTATTATATTTTATTAAAATGTGACTTTTAATAGTAAGTGAATAAAATAAATCAGGAATTGGGAACGAAATAAGGTTAATTAAAAATAATGAAAATTACAAGTTTAAGGTTAATGAAAAAGTGACAATGGGCGAGTTTGTCCCCCACTCTTATCCTTAGTTTTGATATGTTGGCCAAAAATTTTCGTGTTATTTTTTGTGTTTAAGCATAAATTATGTATTTACTTATGAAGGATAAGCATTTTATTCATTATCATAAAGATATACCATAACAAATTGATAACATTTAAAAACAAGTGTATTTTAGTGGGTATTATTCTGGCCAATGCCCATTTTTAAACGATTTAATATTGACCATATCAATAACCGACTCAATGTAAAAATTTAGATATTATTTTTTTCATTATTCAAACTTTGATAAATTTTAGTATAATAAATGATTTTGTTTCGTGTATGATACAGAAATGAAAAGCTTAATTAATATTATTTTGCATTTTTTCAAGAATGTTAGAATATATCTACATTAAAAAATCAGATTCGAACTGCGATACTGCATCAAATTGATGCATATCTGATAAGGATCTCAAAAGAGTAAAGTTAATTTTTTTGAGTTTTTTTAAGTTTTGGGCCTTAGTAAAACACCACCTCGAGCAATATTTTTGGGACGACGATAGGCCTTATTTGGCCTTACAGTGGACCCTTAAGGCCGGCAGTTTTTTTCTAGAGAAATTATTGAAACAAACCGTTAAACTTTTGTGTAATATAAAAATCTTCTCAAATTATCAATTACATTAAAAATTGTGTTAATAATAATCTATTATAGATCAGGGTTGTTTTAAAATTGAAATTCAAATTCAAGGAGCTTTCAATCGAAAATTGTATCTTATTAATTTTGATAAATTATGAATACTGTTGATTTATCGTTTCACGAATTTAATGCATCAAATCCGACATCCTTAAATTTCTTTAAACATTGTAAAAAAAATTAATCATTTCCTTATCAATTTTCTGATATCAAAATATTTTTCGAATATATTAGAACCTTGTAATAAATAATATCTCCTAATCCGAATTCTGACAACTCGTTGGATTCAATTTTGTAATCTTCTGAAAAATCCTTTAAAGCCATCTGAAATCTGATTTTAATCATTTCGCATTCTCCATTACATTACAAATGTATCTTTTCAAATTATCTTCGATTTAGAATTCAGAATGAGCAGATATTTTTACAAAAATAATTTCTAATACATATATATATCAATTATTATTATCAAGTGTTGTCCTGATTTCAGATCTAATTCAATTTTCACAAATTTGTGACTGTGGGTTTTGTGAAGTAACAGAATCAAACTTAACCATGAATGGTGACCCGAATCAGACTAGTACCAAGCTTCGTAATGCAGCTGTAGAAGTTATTAAAGAGAAGAAACGTCCCTTAGCATCCCACAAGATCGAAACTTGGATTAGAGAGAATGATAAGCAACTTAGTGACCTCATTTCTAGCAAATGCTCTGACTATGTTCGTATCATCTTATCAGTTACCCAGGATAACTGCATTGTTAAGTATAAATCATTGCAGCCCGTTCCTGGCGTTGACAAGAGATCAACTTTCTATGGTTTGGCTGACGCAAACTATAGTCCATCTGAATGGACTCTCCTTGGCTCCAAGCCTATAAAAAACAAGAAGGCCGCCCCAAAAAAATTGCCGCCGCCCGTAATCGTCCAGCCAAAACCGATAGTCGCCCCACCAGTCATTGAATTCCCTGATTTAGAAAATACCTACTCTTCTGGCTACAACGAAGAACTCCTTGTTTTCGATGACCTCATGGATGAGTTTCATATTGAAGGAATCCAGCCTCAAATTTTCCTCGAGAATCTCTTTGAATAAGGTTATATACCTCTATTAAACATAATTGCAGGCCCTGGAATTGTAAATCCAACCTGCCCTGCAGGTAATTTCGAGTTTTGTAGAATAAAATTAATAAAGCATATTTAAAGTACAAACTTATACATTTATTTCTCTAATCGGATTACATTTCTTCTTTCTAATCTGCTTTTTGCTCATTATTTCAAAAATAAGGTATCCTCTTCTCGTTCAAACTGCCCATGAGATGAACATTTACCAGATAACTTATAATAATTTCATTATCTCATTACAGGAATAATCTGAAATCGTTGTTCTGAACCTTCCAAGACTCGAATAAATCAAAAGTTTCAGACAACAAGGATTTTCAATAACTTACCGGCAAATTCATAAAAGCGACAGATAGCTTTTAATACCTATTAGATCTGAAATCAGATTGGATACGGTTTTTCCACCAATAACACTATCTTCGTAAGTTCATCGATTTCTCCAATTTTAACTCTTCCATATTTACCACGATGTTCCAAAACCAGGCAAATACGCTAAAACAAATATACTGTAAACAATATCAAATTTGGCCGATTATAAAAACCTGTAATACCCAAAATGTTGGTTTGAAAAGGCTATTCCATAAAGAATTACTTTCAAATTCTATTACAAAAAAGATTATTTTTTTTTTTCGTTGAAGTGTTGTATAAAATCATTTATTAGGCACCAGCTAAGAATCATATTTACTTGCCCTTCTTCTTTTGCTCATTAGCCAACTTACGCTCCTGAGCAGCATGGGCTTCTTCCTCCATGAAAGCATTGATAATACGATCCTTAACAACAGCACCGCAGTAAACACCACCATATGGGCGGGATACAGTTCTCTGATTCTTCTTCATGCGGCGAAGTTCGCATGTCTTGACGCACTTGATACCATTGATGCGCTTGCCTGTCTCAGCGCAATGTGGGCCATTCTGGCGCTTAGCAATGTAGTGAGCGACAAGCTTGTTGCCTGGTGTGCGAACTGGGGCAACACGGTTGCGAATTGTGTGGAATCCGAGGGAACGGCGGAGTGTGTATCTATTGTCTACCATTGGTACAAAGGACAGCCATAACCGTTTTTTGTATTCAATTTTTTGCTAGGCCAATTCTAAAATCTAATGGATATTAATAAGAAATTTAAATATGGCTCTAGACACTCAGTATGAAAATCAATATTAAACACAAATTTACTCAATGATAAATTTCAAAAACATTTTGGTAGTGCATTTGAGTTATCAGGACATATCAATCTTATATTCTCTATAAATACATTCAATAGGTTAGTAAAAGTGTGCGATATTTCATCTCATTCCTTTTTTTTACTCAATAAATCATTAATAGAATGTGTAACGTATGCCTGTTCTTTTTATGATATAAAAACCTGTGGTGAAGAAATGAAATTGTCGAAAAATAAAAAAAAATTTAAAAATATCAAACAATTTTATTCTTTTCATATAAATATTTTGTCTCATCAAAAATAAAAAGCTTAATTCTTTTTTATAATAGAAGATGGATATAATAATTTAATATAAATCCTGAAATGGTTCATTTTATTTGTAATGAAACAAAATTGTAATGGTTCATAATTCAATCTTTGCATAACAATCACAAATTACCGGAAATCTAGTTCTCTTAAATATTTTCAGTTTGGACATCCGATTTGCAGATTCACAATTGTCAGAAAGGATCTGAAATTTCATTCAAAATAAATTTCGATATAAAAAAAAATGAAGAAAGTTCAAGCTCTGTCTGCTAAAGAATTCAATAGAGTTAAAACAGAGTTAGAAGCATTAGAGTTATTTTGCTCTATACAGGGTGCTGAATTTTCTGAATTTCATGAACTTTTTTCAAAGATTCCAGATGAAAAAAAAGGTTGAGTTAATTATCTTGCTTGACAAAACAGGATATAAGAGCAATGACACAATGATCGCATATCTGAATAAATATTTGGCAAATACTGAATTCAAAAATCTCTTCATTCAAAAATTAATATCTTCAAAGTTTGATAGAGATATAGCTTGCTTTAGAGGTGATTTATTTAATCAAGGATACTTTAGTTTTGATGATCTTAAAGGAATTGTTAAAGAATTAAAAACAAAAAATCCATTATCAGCACTTTGCTTGTTAATATACTGCAGAAAACAAATAAAGGAATTAGACAATGAATACTATACTCAGAATGGTGAAGAATTATTCGCTACAACTAAAGCAATTGTTTATGATTTTCAATGGATTGAAAACAGTTATCCAGATTTAGAATTTTCGACACTAACAGAGCAACAGTTAGATTCCGTCGGCTTATTACTTGGAGAGGAGATTTATTTAGATATTTATTTTGATAATGTTGATCATTTAACAACAGATAAGCAATTATACCTTAAACATCCATCTGTTACATTGAAATCATTTCCATTTTCCCAATTACATGGGCAATTTACAATGGATCCGTAAATTGCTTCAAAACGATGATTATGAACCTAGAAGCTGATCAGCTCAAGAAAATAAAGAAGCTGATCAATAAACACGCCTATTCTCTTGCAATTTGCAGCGGAAATTTGGAAATGATCAGATGTGTCCAGAATTTCATTTTAGAGCGACCATTCAACCAAAAAGAGATGAAAATTGCAATTAATAAAGGAAGAATTAACATTGCAAGATGGATTGCCGAAAATTCGGATTTATCTCATCCAAATATTTCACTTAACTCAACAGAATACTCATTATACTTCTATTCACAGTATGTGGATCTCGGATTCCTCCTTGATGGAAGCAGAATTGATAATTTTTCCAATTTAAGTGTCATAATCAACACTTCTCAAAAGTTAGCCGACCAAAAGCCATTGTTTTACGAGAATTGCAACACTAACTGCATTAGTTTGCTTGCTTGCCATAATTTGCTTGATGTTCAAAAAGCATTTAAAATATATTCTATTGAAAACATCAGTACAATCAAGGTTCTTGTTGAAAATTTACCAGACATTTGCAAGCTGACTCTGTCACACTTGAAAGCAGCACTTACAACCAAGAATCTCACTGCTGTCGAATATATTCTTACAAAAGGAGTCAAACTGGAAGATTTGACACCAGAAGAAAGGATTGAATCAGCATTGTCATCAAATAATCCGCGAATTATCAACTGGATCTTTGATAGAACTCCACTTGAAGGAATTAACGTCGCAAGACTGTATCATTATGGTCCTTTCCCTTCCTGGATCAAGAAGCTCTGGAAAGATAAGCTGAAAGAGCTTAATTTGGAGTATACTTTTGAAGAAGAAGAAGAAGAAGAAGAAGAAGAAGAAGAAGAAGAAGAAGAAGAAGAAGAAGAAGAAGAAGAAGAAGAAGAAGAAGAAGAAGAAGAAGAAGAAGAAGAAGAAGAAGAAGAAGAAGAAGAAGAAGAAGAAGAAGAAGAAGAAGAAGAAGAAGAAGAAGAAGAAGAAAGAAGAAGAAGAAGAAGAAGAAGAAGAAGAAGAAGAAGAAGAAGAAGAAGAAGAAGAAGAGAAGAAGAAGAAGAAGAAGAAGAAGAAGAAGAAGAAGAAGAAGAAGAAGAAGATATTTCCTGGATCAGGAAACTCTGGAAAGATAAGCTGAAAGAGCTTAATTTGAAGTATGCTTTTGAAGAAGAAGAAAAAGAAGAAAAAGAAGAAGAAGAAGAAAAAGAAGAAGAAGAAGAAGAAAAGAAAGAAATTAAACAAGTTAAGTATACATCTCTTGAGACGCAAAATGCAGAACCTTTCCTTTCGAAGGATAAAGAGCTTTCAAAAGTTGAAAATGAAGATGAGCGCGCAAAGTCTTCATGCTGCAGCTTATTGTAACTACATTTATTTTATTTGTACATTTATATAGCTTTTCAAACCTAAAATTCAATTATTACGAAAAAAAATTAATATTTAACACATATTCCTTATACAATATAGAGTTTCATAGTTACAAGCTAATAGCATGTAGCAGGTATGTTATACTAAAGGAAAATAAATGTCATTGAACCATATTTCCTAAAAAGCATATATATAAATGATTTATTGTATTGATTTAAAAAAATGATTTATATATATATTTATTGATTTTCGAAAGAGCATTGTTAAAGCTTAAGTTTGAAATAAAAAAGGGCTTTTTACTTATCACAAAATGTATAATATATAAAAATTTGAAGAAGAGGTAGAGGAATAGAAATTAACACTATCTTTCAGAAAAAGAATAAATAATTGGATTTTTAACTTTCAATATAGGTTTATAGTGGGAAAAAAAATAAATCAAATAGGGGAGCTTTCAATTTTTTGTATGAGTTTTAAAAACTCAGAATATGGTTTGTTACTTGATTTAAAATCAGAAGAACAAATATTATATTTGAGAGCATTTGAAAAATTGAATGTATTGAAAAGTAATATTAGTCACTTATTTTAATTCATAGAGCATATACTAGAAAATAGTCTTGAGAGCGATTATATATTTTCTTTTCAAAAACGGGCGCTACACACCCATAGTACAGTTGGATAGGCGAAAGGTTATAGGTTCGAAAGAGGGTCCTAACATGTTTTGGGATTTTTCTCAAAATTGATTAAAAACATAGCAAAGCCAAAATATTACACAAAGATTGTGCCAAATTTCTTTGTTAAATTTCGAATTTCATTAACAAAAACATTTATTTCTAAAACCATGTACTAGTTGAAAGTATAATATTTACCTGAATATAAGAAGGATAGTACTTGTAAAATTAATTTATGGTTAATGTTTAAAACAATAACATATTTTTCAAAAAAACTGAAATACAGATTAATCATATATTGTTGAAACTATTATAATCCTGTATATATATAGGAAATATGACATTCGGTAATAGAATTTTTCGATGAGATCAAATAAATTAAAATATTTTAAACATTTATTCGAGAATTTCATGATTTTGGTATTTAATTAAATAACAATTATTGAAACTATAATACTTTTATAATAATAATGATCTCTTTTAATTATTTAAAAATTTCCCGTGTAATCTATTCAATATTAAACGTACATCCGATAGTTATTTTGATATTTTTGAGCAAGCAAAAGGTTCTTGTTCAATACCGATAATGAAAACTTTATTTGCTTCCAGTGATTAATAGAAATGATCATCAGATTGGCCAATTACTAAGTAATAAAATTCCATAATTTTTAAACATGAAGAAAATCAAAAAGTTCATTAAATCTCGGATTTGTTTTGTTCTCCAAAATTAATCCATACTAAACAATTCCCGAATTCCCCCAATTTTACCTTTCCTTTATTTTTATCCCCAAAATTACGAAAAGGTACCAGTTTTTCATGAATTGCCATAGTATATTTTATCTCAATTTTATTGTTTATTTATGTTGTTTTATTCAAATTTTGCACATTAAACTCTTTTCTGTTGATGCCTTATCAAAATTTTTCAATTAAAACGGTTTTTTGATTTTAGTAAAATCTCAAGCAAATGGAAGTATTCAAAAAGTTCATTGTGATCTCAGAATTTTCTGAGCATATGATTCTTTTAGTTTCCCGACTATACCAGCAAATCTTTTACCAAATTTTTGTATTTTGTAGAGGCTTTTAAACATGAAATCATATTCTTCGTAAAAATTTTACCAATTTTTGTAAACATAATTCCTTTTCCATGAAATTACGAAGAATATGATTTCAAGTTTAAAAATACAAAATCACTAGTTTTTATTTAATAATTATACTTCTTAAAAACGTTTTTATATAAATACAAAATAAATAAATTAAATATAAAAAATAAATCATTGATAGTGGTAACGCTTCTTTGGTTGATATTTAATTTCCTCTTCTTCTTCGTCATCATAATAATATTCACCATATGATTCAGCAGAATTTGTATCTGCATGAAGCTTTCTAGCATCAACTCTAACAACACCTTTTGGTGATTCGTATTGATTGTAGTTTTGGTCTTCATCATAAGAATAATCGCTTTCAACAATTTTCTTCTGTTGTCTTGGCGTGTTGCGTTGTGAATTACTAGTTCTTGATGCTGTAGGTGTGTTTCTTGACGATGTTTGCCTCTTTGAAGTTCTCTCATTTGGAATTATTTCATCATTAATTCTCCTATCGTTTGAGGTTGAAATATATCTTGTCTTCCTTGTTTCTTCCATTGCCTGCTCTAATCTGTGCTGATATCTGCTATGACTTCTTATTTGAGGTTGTTGCTGAAGAGGCTCTTCATGAAATTCACGTTGAGGAGGAGCAGCTTTTAATGTTCGTTGTTTTCTGACGGTTCTTTGAACAGGTTGCTGAACTTCTTCAATATTTTGTTTTCTTCTATTGCGTTTTGGTTGTTCTTGGACCATTTGTTTGCGATGAAGATGCTGTTGTGGTTGCTGCTCTTGCCTTTGCCTCTGTCTCTGTGGAGATTGTTGAATTGAACGTGTTTTTCTAGATGGAGCTTTTTGTTCAACATAATAATCTGAATATTCATCATTGTAGTCATAATCAACATCTTGTTGAATGACTTGCTTAGGTTTTCTCTTTTGCGAAGTATTTGTTTCCACTTCGTATCTGTATTTCTTTTGCTGTTGTTGTGGTCTTTGACTTCTTGTGCTTCTTGTTGATCTTGGAGGTGTAATTTCTTCTTCTTCATCAGAATAATATTCGTATTCATCATAAGTTTGAACAGGTTTCTTTTGAGATTTATTGCTCCTAACACTTTGAGGCTGCTTAATTTGTTGCCTTCTTTGTTGAGGATAAACTTCTTCTTCATCTGAGTAGTACTCATCATTATATTGAACAGGTTTCGTAACAATTGGTGCTGGTCTTTCTTTTTCTCTTCTTCCTCTTGTCCTCTTTGAAGAAGGCGAAGTATTACTAGCAATTGTATTTAACTGTGATTCTGGTAATGTTCTTGTTTGTGCTCTTGATGGAGGTCTTCTATTGATTCTTGGAGCTTGCATAGGTTGTGGCTTCAATATTTCAAATGATGATGATTCAGAATAATAATCATAATCATTACGATTTTGAGGAGCAACAGAAGAAGATTTTTGTTTTCCTTTTCCTCCATAAAAACTGTTATCAGAATCAGAGTTAATGTTGTTATCAGTCCTTATGTTATTTAAGAAATCATGCTCAACGAACTTTTGTTTTGGAACAGATCTTGCACTTGCAACAGAAGGAGCTCTTCTCTTTTCAGGCATTTGTCTTTGCTGAGGAATTTGCTTTTGTTGTTGAGGAACTTGCCTTTGAACAGGAGCAAATTTTGGAGATGCAGAAGTATTTGTATCCTGACTGAAGATGTCTTGTGCAAGGATTGGTTTCGTCTTTGGTCTTCCCATTGTTCCTGCATAGATTTTGTTTGAAGAGAAATCAATTTTGCCATTAGTACTAAGGAAAGGTTTTTCTGGTTCTTTCTTGATGTCATATAATTCTTCTTTAGTTAAATATTTCGGAAAACTCGTCTGCTCTTCTTCCACGAAATAATTGAAAGGTCCAATGAAAGGAGATGTTGTTGGAATAGGATACATCTGTTCTCCATAAGGGACTCCGTTTAATTTCGGAGCCTTTTGGAATTTCGTCAACATTGTATTGTAAATTTCATTTGAAATCATTGAAGTATCTTTCATCATATTCATATCTTTTATTGGGAAACTCGTATGTGTTTGTTCCAAGTTCTGTGCGGCCAAATAAAGAATATTTAACATTGAATCTTTCGATGTTGGAGAAGAACCATCAAAATTAATCATTTTCAATTCAGTTTTTTGAGTATACAATGGCTTGATTTGATCTAATCCAATATCTCCGATTTTGTTGTTACTTATATCTAAATGAATCAATGACTTCCTTAGATTTGTAACTCTTGTAATTGCTCCTATTAATCTTCCAAGATATTTTTGATTTCCTCCTTTCAAAATGAGGAATTTCAATGACTCTGTTTTCTCGAGATATCTTGAAAAGATTGTTACAGTGTTGGGTTCATTCTGAGAGAAAATATCTGACATGGAAAGGAATTCAAGTTGTTGGTTGATCAAAAGGAAAGAAAACAAAGAAACATTGACAGGATTTCCATCCCATGTAAATGATATCAAATTATCATAATTACAAGTAGAAAAGAATTGCCAAACTCTTTGCCATTCATCAGGACTTGCATTTGCATAAGAAAGACTCAGTTTCGTGTTGTTTCTTCGCTTGGAAAAAACAATTTTCAGCATGTTTAACAAACACAAATCATTCCATCTTATGTTATTTGCAACAATAGAAATCAATGTTTGTGGAAGAGAAATGGCTGTTGTTGGGAGATGCTCACATAAGTTGTTTGATATATTTAAAGCTCTGATGTTCCTGAATCCGCTTATTTCCATCTGAGAAAACACTTTATCGATGTAAAGATTGCAATTTTCAAGACTTAAAATATAAATGTTCTTTAATGAAGGAAACAGCTTTTGTATGTCGAGATTCTTTGTGTTATCGAGATTAAGAACTGTCAAAGAGTCAACCATGGTTGATGTAAAGAAATTCGAGTAAAAATGCGGCATCGCATCATAAATTATCGCGTTGTGAAAGCCAATTGCAGAAATCTTTTGAGTAGAGATGAAATTAGAAAGAAGACTTAGATATTCCACTGTAAAATCAGAGTTTGTGAATGAAAGTCCTAATAATTTTGAATTTTGCATGTTGGAAAGCTTCGTAAGGAATAATTTGAATAGTTCACTAACCTGTCCTGCAATATCAACGTAATTGAGTCGGGCGATTGATGCAGCATAGTCTGAAAGCACTTGATAAGTAGGAAACATCGGAATTTGAGGGATATTGAGTGATTGTATAGTAGAAATGAGTGGTAAAGTGCCTAGAAATATCGGAAATGTTGTTGGGAGATCACCAAGAATTGACAAATCGACTTCTTTTTTCGAAATCATTAACACGTTTTTTAATTTTTCGAGTGATTCAGGTGAAATTAACTTACCATTAGATCTAGCTAGTTCAGAAAAACGTAAAAGTGCTCCATAACCTGAATGTTTTGCTTTTGGCACGTTGAATTTATCAATTTGGAGAAGCTGTATTTCAAAACTCGAAAGTAATTGCTGAAGACAGTGAACAATAGCACCAAATAACTTCGAAGCATATAGTTCTGTAGATATTGAAACACTTTTACTGCTAAATTTTAGTGAAATATCGTTGTTTTTAATACCAACTTTAGAAATTGCTATCCAAGAGAGTGTAGTTCTTAAATTACCTTTGGCTGCAGAATAAATATCTAAACCGTAATCAGTCACGATGATTATTGAGTTTTTCTTCAGTATACTACTACTATTTTCTTTACAAATAGCTGTAAATATAGGAGTATGACCCATTGATATTGAGCTTTTCGTAACAGAATCAAGAATCACATCCATGTTTTATTGAAAAAACAATTTTGTAAAAAAGTGAACGTTTAGAAAAAAATTCTCTCGGAATTTACTTTTCAAATCCCAAGAAAATATAAAAATCTCAACAGCAGGTAACTCCAAATGCATAATAAACAATAAAAATATAAATACACAGTCCAATTTTTTGAATTATCGATAATCAAACACAAACGCTTTGCAAAAAACTTTAATTCTAAAGTATAGAAATATAATTTATATCATTTGAGTTAAAAAACTAAAATGAAACTTTTATTTCAGATAAAATTCATGCAAAAATAGCTGTTTAGTTATTGTACATGATAAACATTTACATATATAAAAACAAATATATAAGTTATGCTTCTGGAATCCAAGTTAAATACTGAGGATCAATTCTTCTCTTTGGCGGGACTTTCTGATGAGCTTCTATTGCTTGTTTCAACTGTGGTGAATGAAGATCAATCTCATAATCGCCTTTTACCCTTGTCAAGCAGTTAATTTGCTTTAATGTCTCGATTACGTCGAGTTTTTGAATACTTGTAAGGATAACGATATTATCAATAGAAGTCATTTCGGAAAGTCTTGTACTGAACATCTCCAAAAGCGTATCCTTCCAATAAGAAGCGAATGCGAGTTTTCCAAGATCAGATAAAGGTCTTTCTGGGCCACCGCTCATTCTGGAGCGTCTGGCCAGCTCGTAGCTTAAGGATATACAAAGGTTTCCGTAGCCTTTCTTTTGGTAAGGTGGTAAAGTTGTAATGCAAGATAAAACATTATATGCGCTACTATTGACTTCCTTTGAGAAATATGCGGCAATGTGAGCACCGTTATCATCACATTCGCATACTACGTAGAAATTGAAGCCTTCAACATCGTAAAACAAAGTTTTGTGATCCAAAAATAATTTTGAAAGTAAACAGAGGCACTGGCACGGAACTTTGTTTACCATTCCTTTCATTTCGAAGATACTGAGATTTCCTTGCCGATAAATCTCATTTCCTGGTGGACATTTTTCTCCTGTAACTTGCAAGTGCTTTGCGAGTTCTTCTGCGCTAGCAAAATATTGGAAACAGTGATCACATATATATAAGTGCTCCATTTTTCCAAAAGGATTAGGATATGGCGAATAATACCAAGCTTGAATTGTATATGGCCCAATTGTAATCCTATCGATGTTTCGAATACGGGTAACTTCTTGGTGGGCCTTTTCGAATTGTTTGTACTCTACTGCGAGTTTTTCAACGTCAAGTTCGTCGGTATTTAAAATTTTGTGATTTCTTATTGCAGATTTACCAGCTTTTGTTTTTATTACGACATTTGGATCATCGGTGACTTCTTTTACAGAAATCCATCGATCAAGTCTTTTATCTTGATGAACATAATGAATATAAAGTTGTTTTGTACTAACTTTTGCTCCAACAACAATTGCTTCCATCAGCTGCTGATATTGTTCGCAATAAACAACAACACGGTCACCTACATGAATTGTTTTCGGATTCATTTTGTTAAAAAGTGACATTTAATCGGAAATTCAGAATTTTCAATCCTCTATTTTGCTTTTTTTTTCCCCTTTTGAAAACCCTATAAGATACATAATTAAAACAGAATTCACTATCAAACGACTTGTATTTTTAATTATCTTACAAAATTCTCTAATTTGGTGATTTTCATTCAATTCAACATCTCAACAATCTCCAAATTATGCGACCAATTCATCGAAGTAGATGTATTTCATTTGATGCACAATGTGTTGAGATTATCAAGTGTTTGCAATGCTCCAGCTGCATCTACACTAGCTTCATTTAAACAATCAATACCAAAGGTTGTTGAAGCATTCAAGGAATTGAATCCGAATATGCTGAATAAAGTTTGGCCATCCATAGTGTGAAGATATAATCTAATAACAATTCTTTAGGCCAAAAAATCAAATAATATTAATTTCAGACCTTAGGTGGCTAGCTTGTAGGTAAAATATATGATTATATGATATGTGTGGTCTTATATTTATGTTTCACATTCCATCTAATAAGTTAATGGGATTTGCATGCAAAAGTTTCGAACATCTTAAAAATTAGAATGTAGTAATATAAAGAAAAACAGTTTAACAATATAAACAATTTAAAATAAAACATTAATGTTTCCTCTTTGGTTTCTGAAGACGTTCTAAACATTTCTTTGCTGGAGAGAAGTCTTGTTGTGCTGCCAATTTAAAGTAATTTATAGCCATTTCTCTGTTCTTTTCGATATTCTTTCCATTCGATAACATTGTTGCGTAATAACATTGAGCTTCAGCGTTTCCTGAATCTGCCGACATTTTAATGAATTTCACTGATTCTTCGATGTTTTGATCAACTCCTGTTCCATCTTTCAACATCAGACCGTAGTTTAACATCGCAATATTATTTCCATGTTTTGCAGCAAACAAAAAGTATTTTGCAGCCAAAGTTGGATTCTTTGTTGTTCCTTCACCTTGTTTAAGCATTCTTCCCAAGACACACATTGCATTAACATTGCCTTGTTTAGCAGACAAAACAATATAATGTAATGCAGTTATCAAATCTTGTGGCAAAACATCTCCGCTTCTTAACATCATTCCGAGTTTTAATTGGCTGTCGGAATTTCCTTTTTCTGCACTCATCTGGAAATATCTTGCGCTCTCCATAGGATCGTCATTTATCCTAGATAATCCATAGTTATACATCGCTTTAATATTTCCTAAATCAGCAGACTTTTTGAATAAAAGTGTGGCATTTTCTTTGTCACCTTTTTCCATTAAAACCAAACCTAAATTATTCAATCCGACAGGATCATTTTGTTTTGCGGAAAGTTCGAAATATTTTTGTGCTCTTTCGATATCTTTGTGAACACCGTATCCGTTCTTAAGCATCAAACCATAATTTGCCTGTGAAGCACTGTCACCTTTATCAGCAGCAATTTTGAAATAAACTGCTGCATTTTCATTACTTTTTGTTACTCCTTGACCTTTCAAATACAAAAGGCCCAAATTAAAAGCAGCCTTTGCATATTTGGCGTCAGCAGCTTGTTTATAATAATAAGCAGCATGTGAAGGATTCGAAGGATGTCCGATTCCGTGTCTAATCATTAATCCTGCGTTGTAATTTCCTCCTGCATGTCCTCGTTTTCCTGCTGCTTTGAACCAAGTGACAGAAAGTGGCAAATCTTGTTTGACGCCAAATCCAGATCGCAACATCAAAGCATAAACATACATGGCGGATGCATCGCCTTGTTCAGCAAGCCTCTTAAAATGTAAACATGTATCTGACATTAACCGTTGTGTGTCACTTTTTGATTTACGATCTCTGAATTGATTATAAAGAAAAACATCAGAAGGGTTTTGAGATTTTGAGCTTTTCTCGAGATTCTTCATTGCTTCTTCGTATTTATCTGGCTGGTTTTCTTCTGTTGAACACGTTCCTAATAAATACAAGGCGTATTTAAGTTGTTCATCGGAATCTCCTTCGCTTGCCAATCTTTTTGATGCAACAGAGATTGAATCAATGAATTCATTCGCTGTTTGATTGCTGTATGGATCGTCAATGAAATTGTCGTCATCTTTTTGAGATGTTCTTTCTATTTCTTCCAAATCAATTTCAGGAGTTATGATAAATCTCGACTTCTTCATTCCATCAATGATTCTTTGTGCTTGTGGAGAAAGATCTTTCTCTTTCCCAGCGATTTCTAACAAAGAATTCGTCTTCTTGTGATGTTTCTTCCTCTTCTTCGATGAAGAATCATCTTCTTTGCCTAAACTTGAAATCTTTGGTGAAAGATTCTTAGGAGAATACTTTATTTCTTCACTATCAAAAGTAGATTCGCTATCAAAACTCGTTTGAATTGAAACTTTCTTTGGAGAAATGTCACTTTTTGTTGAAGCGACAGATCTCTTTGGAGATTTCAAAATTGAAGGAGATTTGACAGAATTCGATTCACTTTTAGAAGATCTATGACGATGGTGATGCTTCTTCGTATCACCAATATCTAAGATCTCTGGTTCTTTAGGTGATTTGGTCGGAGAATCACTCGCAAAACTATTTTCTGACACTAAAATGTCATCAGATAAAACTTTGAGAGTTGAATTTGGAGAATTAGTGGGAGTTGTAAATTTAGGAGATTTTGCTTTAGTTGTTACTTCAGGAGAGAATTTCACGGAATCAGATTTGGAAATCGGAGATGGGGTAAAGGCAAAAGATGATGAAGATTCAGGTTGTTCCATAGGGATTTCGATGTTTGAAGGCCTCTTTTGCTCATAAAACCTGTTTGTTGGACTGAAAATGGAAAATTTTCTGTTAAATTTATTGTGAGGTGTATGGAAATGATGCTCCTTTGTTTGACTGTGCTTTGGAGAAGGAGTTAAAGCTTTTCTCTGTGAAGAAATAGGCAAAACATCTTTTTCTTGGAGATAATTGAAATCTTCTTCTGGATTTTCAACATCTTTTTCGCCCAAATAGCTTAATTCGGCACTTTCTTCTTCATTCAATCCACTTGTTCCGATTTTTACAGCTAAGGAATCATAAGAATCTGATTTTAATTTGAGATCTAATGGTTGAACTTGATTTTCATCAAGAAGGTTGACAGATGGTGAATTAGTGCTTCCTTTCGGTGAATCAGAGTCAGTTTTGAGATCTAGTTCCAGAACTTGATTTTCATCAAGTAATTTCTTGTCATCAGCATCAGATTTTTCTTCAATATCTATTTTTCCAACGAAATATGGATCGACATCAGGTTCTTTTCCTTTAGAAGCAGTATCTAAATCAATTTCATCTTCAATTACAGTAATTAGGTTCTCATTTTGCTTTGAAGGTGAAGGTATAGACGTAGAATGGACAATCACATGCGTATCATCAGCAATATACTCTTTTGTTGTTATAATTTGATCTAATTTTTCCTCAATTTGAGGATTTTCAGGTAAACCGCTATCGCTTTGACTAATGATTGACGGGTTTTGATTCATTTCTTTGGATTTTTCTTGTTTTGCAAATTGAGAATTTTGATCTTCTTCGATTTCTTCATTCTCAACGATTTTTGATTGCTCATCTTGCTTTTGTTCCACAGTATTCATCTTTTCTTGTATCAATTTGATCTTGTTTGCGATACTTCCGTAACTGATGCTTGGCTTGATGAATCCTTTAGGAGAACCGACAGGAGATGTAGATTGCTCATCATCAGAACCAAAACTTAGAATTTCTACTTCTTGACTTGGTTTAGATTTCTTCCAAATTAATTTTTCTCTTTGAACCAAAGGAGTTGTATCACTCATCTTCTGAGATACTAAATCAAGAACATTGATACCACTTGCAACTTCAGGGAATTCGTTATCGCTAAGATTTGAATTATTATTTGTTGTCAAATCAGGTAAAATGACATCTTCATCATCGATTTCCTTGAATATTTCAACTGCTTCAGGGTTTCCTGCTTCGGCTGCTGCCTTTAGCATCTCATATCCTTGAGATTTATCAGAGTTTGGTGCAGTTTCGTTAATATTTATCATAGCGAGCCTACAAAGAGCTCCAGAATGGTCGTTCTCAGCAGCTTCTCCATAATACTCGGCGGCTTTCTCCAGATCTTGTTCAATTTTGTCACCTTTTTCTAATTCTTTTGCGATGTAAAATTGAGCATCAGGGTTTCCAGCGACAGCTGCTTTTTCAATCAAGTTCTTTCCTTGTCTAATATTCTGTTCGATACCTCTGCCTTCGAATAAACACGTTCCATATTCAAACTGACTTTGTGGATTGTCAAAATCAGCGGCGGTTTTGACAAGATCTACATAATCATTAATTTCTTGGTTTTCTTTCTTTTGAAGTGCTAATTTGTTCATTGCTTCAATGCATCCGGCTTCTGCAAGATATTCTACAGCTCTTTCATAACATTTTTTGTCTTTGTTGTTATAAAAAGTGACAATTTCTTTTGCAGACAATCTTTGAGATTGATTTAAGAGAGAAATTGCATGAGATTTATCTTTGGTGAATCCAATACCTGTTAACAAGCAAAGTCCTAACAGATATACAGAGAAATCTGTTTGATATTTCGACATTGCTTCCAAAATAAAATTTTTAGATTCTTCCATCGAAAATTTTATTTTGTTTTCATTGATAATTAGTAAACCATGTTGATAACCACTATCTAAATATTCCATTTTAGCTGCTAATAAGAAATAATGGCTTGATTTTTGCAAATCAATTTGAATTCCAATTCCATCTCTTAAAATCACAGCATATCTATAATAAAGTTCTGCATTATTGCATCTTGTGCACATGTCTTTGATGATATCAGCAGATTTCTCTTTAGTTGCATCATCATTTGCAATTTTTGACAATTCAATGGCACTTTTTTCATTTCCATTTTCAGCAGCCTTCAAAAAGTATTTTTCAGCTTCGCTTTCATTTTCATTTTCTAATAAAATCTTTGCATGCTTATGCATTGCATCAACATGTCCTTTATCAGCAGCTTTCTTGAATTCTTCGTCGGCTTTTTGTTCATCTTTTTCAACTTTTTCTCCTTTTTTATACAACAAACCTAACTGATAATTTGCTTCAGGAAGACCTAATTCACTTCCATTCATTAGTGAATCAACATCATTATCATTGATCACATCATAATCTTCTTCTTCATAGAAATACTCGTAATCAAAAAATTGATGATTTTTTGCATCATCCAATTTTTCTTGATTTAATAAATCAGTGAAATCAAGATCTCCATTTGATTTTGAGTTGAAATTGAGTTTTGACAGTGGAACTTTTGTTTTAATTCTTCTAATCTTCTTGACTCTTTGTTTCTTAGCAGTATTTAATATATCACAAGCGATTTTTGCTTCAGTATTTCCATTTTTTGCTGCCTTTTCTAAATAATTTTCTTTTTCTTTGTCATCTTTTGTGATTTTGGCCATTTCTAATTGGGCATCGCTATTTCCTTTATCAGCAGCTTCTTTGATATATTTCTCTGTTTCGATAGATAGATTGAATTCGTTTAAACATTCTTCTACATCCAAATCCAAACCGCAACAACCGTTGTCAGAAATAAATGAACTGAAAATGTCACTTTCTCTTGCCATTTCCAATTTATTTGATTTTCTTTTCTCGATATGGAAGTATCTACTGTCATCTGTGATATCAATGCTTAAATATTTATCAGCTTCAGCATCACTTTTTTCGCAACCTTTTCCTTTTTTAAGTAACAAACCATAACAAAATTTTGCATCTTCATGTCCTATATCTGCAGCTTTCTTGTAGTATTGGCATGCGAGCTTATAGTCATTCTCAACACCTATACCATCTTTACAGATATTTGCAAAAAGAAACATAGCGTTGACAACTCCTAAATCTGCACTTTTTCTGATGTATTTCATTCCTTCAATTTCATTTTGCAAACAACCAATTCCTTCATAGAGACAAAGTCCGTAATTGAGACAGCCATATTTATCACCTTGTTTAGCACTGTCATGGAAGTATTGAACAGCAAGCTTTTCATTCTTCTTGATTCCATAACCGAATAAAAGTGCCAAACCGTAATTATTTTGGCCATATTTACTTCCTCCTTCTGAACTGAGTTTGAAGAAGAGAGATGATTTAGGTAGAGACTTTTCTACACCATAGCCAACCTTTAGCATCCATCCATAATTGTTTTGAGCTGCTGGACAACCTTGATTTGCTGCTTTTTCAACAAATTTCGCAGAAATTTTCGAGTTTTTGGGAACTCCTTCTCCAAGTTTTATCATGACTCCATAATTGTTTTGTGCTTCTGCGTAATTCTGGTCTGCAGCTTGTTTGAATAAACTTGCAGCTTTGATATAGTCTCTCTTCACACCAATTCCGTTTCTTAGGAAGAGTCCAAACTTGTTTTTGGCTTGAACGTCGCCTCTTTCAGCTGCATCTTGGAAAATTTGAGCTGCTTCTTGAAGATTTTGGGCGATTCCATGACCTTCTCTTAGCATAGTTCCATATCTAAACATTGCATCAATGTTTCCTTGGTTTGCAGACAATCTCAAATATTTCATTGCCATTTCAGAGTTTTTTTCAACAGAAATACCTTTTTCATAGATCTGCGATAATATAAAGTTAGCTTCTGGGATATCTGCATCAGCAGCTGAAGACAACAAATTCAAAATACTGCCAACTGTATTATTTTGGTATCCTCGTAGTAATAACTTGGCAAGTTCAAGATCAGCTTGTTTTAATCCTTGATTGGATGCATATTTCAATAAGTCAAACGACTTTTCGATATTTAATTTCTCAACTGATCCTGAAAGGTATATTTTAGCAAGGTTAAATGCCGAGAAGGGATTATTGCTACTTTCATTAAGTAACTCAATTGATTTTGAGAAAGAATGACTATTGGATATTTCAGACCAAAATTTTGATGCATAAGCTAGGCATATTTCTGGATTATTATGATCTATAATGGTATCGGAAATGTCTATTGAAATATTTGTATCTATGCCTATAAAACTCGGGTATAAATTATTGAATAATTTCTCAATAAATGTATTATTGACAGTTTCCATGAAAAAGTTATTTTGTATCATATTTTCTAAAATTTGGAACGTCGTAATTTCTTCATTACAACATGACTCAATAAAATTATTAACGCTTATCGTTTTGTAAACTTCTGAATTTTTGAGCAAGATTTTATATATTTTCTGCAAAGATAATATATCATCATGCATAGAAACGCCTGATTGAATAGTATTTTCCGTATTTAATTGTGCAATGAAATTAATATCACATAAAATCGGAGTATTTGAGTGATCAAACAATATATTTGTAGGTTTTATGTTGGAATGAATAATATTATTTGCATGAAGTGCGTGAGTTGCTGCAGTAACGGAAAATATGATTTCCATTTTCTCTTCTAATGTAAGTTGATCAATTTGATTGGCATCGATTAAGTTTTGAAGAGATCCATGATGATAGTACCTTGTTAGTGTATGAATTTGATTAGCTTTTGGATCAAATTTTATAATTATTTCTGGTAAACATGCAAATTTTATTTGATTATATACATCTACGAGAGAAAATAATTGTTGTCTTCGTTCATCATTTTCGAAATTCGTATCAATTAATTTAATAACATAAAAATAATTCGTTTTTAGATCTTTAATCACGCCTACTTTATCTGTTTTCTTCGGCTTCATGTTGCTGAGGAAAACATAAGTTCCATCTTCAAGAGGAGGTGGAATTTTTAATTTTTTCGTGCTTAAAAATGGCCGAATTATTCAAATAAAATCGAATATTCTGATTATTTGCCCATTGGTTGTGGTAATTATAAGTCCTAATAGTGCTTACAATTTAATATCTTTTGAGGGGAAAATAATCATGGTACCTAACTTAATTTTTTCCACCCCCAACCATTACGCAAATTTTATTATGAGATTGGATAATGACTGGAATGAATATCAATCAATATGGTTAATTGAATTTGCAAAGAAATATTCAGACATTTTGAAGTTCATCAAATGATTTGGTAAATAGAAAGCAAATATGTTTAAAATTAGAAACAAAAGTTTAAATTTAGGACACTTACAATAAACAAACAGAATGAAATAGTTACAAATAAAAATTATTTGTTTGCTAAATCATTAAACCATGAGCGACCGTATTCTTCGACAATTGAATCGATAGTCTTCATGTTAACATCAAGTGATCTATAATCTATCTTCAATTTCAAGAGAAATTCAACAACAGGACGGTGATTTCCGATTAACGCATAATGCATAGCTGTCCAGCCATCACTGTTTACAGCATTAGGATTTGCTCCTTTCTTAACAATGTAATCCATAAATTTAAGATGACCTCTTAAGGCAGCAATATGGAAAGGGGTCATTCCGTCTCCTGTTTTAGATTCTATGTTAGCACCGTTTTCTAGTAATAAATCAACGCATTCTGTTCTTCCTGAATATGCCGCCCAGTGTAATGCTGTGTATCCATAAAAATTCTTTTTATCAACAATTGCTCCATTCTTGATTAAATACTCAGCACACTGTTTAGAGCCATATGTGACTGCTGACATCAATAAAGTATGTGCATGATTTTCGGAAGATTTTGTTGAAGCGTTTGGATCTATTTTTGAAGGGCATATCTCTTTGAGTTTTTCTATGTAGTTCATTTGGCAATATCCCCATGGTTCTTTGACAAGTCTATTATTAAAATTTGGTGCTTGCATTTATTTTGACAATAAAAGTGTCAACTTTGATATTTCACAAGAGGAGGTAATATTTTATATGCTTTTGTACATTCGAATGCATAAACATAGAATATACATAGCTAGTCAACAGGGAATTGGTCATTTTAGGTATGAATCACCAAAATTCGAATATGATTTTCGATATAAGTTGCTTTTTACTCTGCTTCTCATCAATGATTAGGTTGCATACGCGTTTTAAAGGCACATTCATACTTATTGCATATTCAATAGACCTCTAGTAAAAATCAAACTTTCAAAATTTTCAATGGACTCAGATTTTGAAATCAAAGATTTTCACAAGGTCAATAAAAAGCATATAAATACAGATTACCCTGCTAGCATATCACATAATGAGGACTATGCAAACTATTGCATACAACATTTTTTAGAAAAACCTAATGAGGGAGATTTCTATTTACCAAAATTATTGGAAGAGATATCTAACTATCCGAATTTACAACAAAATATAGCAGATATTCTAAATACACAATCGGTTAATCTCAGTTTAGTAGAATTAGCTAAATCACAACAATTATTTGCATTAGACGAAGATACATTTTATAATCTCATTCGAATATTACAGTTTGGAAATAGATATGTGCCAAAAGAGACAAAAAAGTCATTTAGAATTAATTTTGAACAAATATTCACAGCTACTTTACAAAACATAGAAAATATGACATTTGAAAACTGTTTACTTATTTCTGAAATACTAAAAATATGCATCAAGTTCTCAAAACCATTACCTGTTGATATTATCGAAAATAATATTTTTAATTTCATTGAATCTTTTGAAGATACTGAAAGTAATCAAAAACTAAGATATATACTGTTGAATTCAGTTGCTGAATTAGCATTTAGGTCAAATGAACCCATTTTCCCAGGAAAATTCCCAGTCATCATTGATTTTGTAATTGAAACAATAACAAAGGATTTATTATCTTGCTATTCATCTTGTATTACAATACACGCATTCATTTTTAATTCAGCAGAACTTGTTCTAAATTACATTCATAATGAGCTTGGATTCAGCTTTATTAATACATTTTTAGGCGAATTTGATCTTTATCACTATAATGTCTTACAAATACTGCTTTCTCCAGCAAACAACCCAGATTATCAAAGATTTTTAACAGCAATTTCAAAATGTATCGATTGGAGCTTAGTATCAGAATTAACAAAACTCGAAGACAATTTGGACTTATTTTTAGATTTTATTCATATTTATGTGGCAAATGATATAGAAATCATTCCGAAATTATTTAACTATAAAATAATAGATACATTATTACAAATTGTCAGTGATGAAGATGCAAAATATAACATAAGAGAAAAATGTCTTTTTACATTAACTTTTTGTTTAGAAAATTATTCATTTGATAACATTATACATGTTTTACAAAACGGTTTGGCCTTTGCAATCAACGATATTGGCATAGGAACACAAGAAAGTGTAATCATCTCTCTTGTTTCGGCATTTACAGCCATATTTCAACAAACATTAGCACATGACTTAATAACAATATATTCTGTTAACAAATTACTGGAAGATAATTCGGTTTTTAATGTAATTGATGAAATTATCGAACTAAGGAGTGAAAAAGAAGAAGTCCAAGTACTATCGGATCTTTATGTAGAGTTTCGTGCCAAATGTGAATAAATAATAAAAGTTTTTTGTTTTGATTATAATCAAAATCTTTTTTTTCTTAAAATTATGCAATTAAAACTTATGATGACGATGAAGCAGGAAAATAGATATCTAAATATTCAAGACTCTTTGATAATGTAAGATGATATTGAAGTTTATAGATCAAAATTGATTTACAGAATACGTATGTGAGATAAAAGTTGTAAACAAAGAAAATTAGGCTCAATAAAAACATAAATACAATAAAAATAATATCAATTGTAAGACCATATCTTTTTTCAATGAATTCAAATCCACCTCCGATATATTTAAGAGTTTGCAAGGAAAATGTAAATGACAAAATGCGTATTATAAAACCTAAAATTGTATCATTCGAATTTATTAATATAATAAGAGTGAAACATCCCCACATTTGTTGAAATAGCGTTTTGTAGTCATTTGAAACATCTCTTTCATGATTTGGAATTTCGATTATGATATTGAGTTTTTTTACTGCTATTGCTTTACTAAAAAATGCGTAAGTTTTCATAATTTCGATGGTTAAAAATAGCATAGTCATTAAACGAAAAGAAATCTGATATCTTCTAATGAAATCAAAATAAAATTTGAGATATAGGGATATAGTTACTAAACGCAAAACCACAAACATAGTCATAACTTTCCAGAAATGGTTATTCAGTAAGAAATGATGTTTCCTTTCTAACAAAGAAAATCGTATCTTACTTTTAACCATTTTGATTTCAACAAATCCTAATACGCTCACAAATACTATGAAAAACAATAGGATACCTTAAATGAGCTCCCAATTCCATAATTTTGGTTTTGATTTAGAAATTCTCGAATTTTGAGCTTTATAACATATAAACATAATATAGAATCAAAATATGATTATCGGTAAAAGAGCTATTGCCGATTATTTTTAAATTTATAATTGTGACTTCAATTTTTTGGGATGGAAGCATACTTTCACTTTATGGAAGGTGAAGACTCGATACAACTCATAAGAGAAGACCTTGATATGCTTCTTAATTCAAGAGAATGGCTTTCTTTTTTATCTTCTTTATCGAATGATTACAGTGATCTTAATAACTATATCGATCTTGATAGACTAACAACCAACATATCGAATGGGGTTTATGATCGCATGTATCCATTCACACATTTCAATAATAACATAATTTGTGATTCATTTCAACATAAGCCTTCGATTTCTTTCCTCAAATTTTTAGTGACAAATATTGCAGATCGTTTAGTATCAAATTATCTTGACACAATCATATCAAAGCATTCAAAAATTTTATTAGATTTAAAACTGAACACAGTAATGAACACTAATCAAAAAGATATAATAGCACAATCAGCTTTGAGAACAGCTTTCTTAACAAAGAACAAAGAAACAATTAAACTTCTTCAGTATTTAAATGAATCAACAATCAAATCAATTTTTAAATTTTTATGCCAAGAAAATGAGAAATTCTCAATGGAAATTTTATCACAAACATTCTCAGCAACACACTTTAATATATTAAGGGAAGAAGCTGATAATTCATTGAAGAATGGAAAACTTTTAAACGTCAATTTCATTTTAGATTTTCTAGAGAAAAATGATACAAAATTATTTACTTATTCTGATGCTTTTAGAAAGATATTTGATAAACTAAGCTGCCAAGAGTTAAGTGATGTATTAGTATCTCGTGCTTCAGTAACAAGGGTTGATATAATGCAAGTACAAGCAGCGATGTTGAACCCAATTGATGCAGCACCTCTTCGGAAAACATTGCAGAAATATAATGATCCAAAAAACACTTTTTCTGATGAACAATTGAGATTATTTGGTAACATGTTCGAGACAAAGAAAGAAATACCATCAATTATAATGCAGATGTATGTTGTTGATAGAATGACATTAGAGAAATCAGTAATTCCAGCAATGGAAAACTTAGCCGGCAGAGATAAAAATATTTCTTCATTATTGGATGAAATGAGAAAACAAAAGATGATTATTAAGCCAAAAAAATCTCCATTAAAGTTATTTTTTACAAAAGATGTATCATTCGAAGCATTAGTTAATTGTATTGACGAGTTATCTTTGAAAGATAGTAACTTTGCAAGTGATTTATTCGATTGTTTTAATAATTGTCTTTACAAAAGACATCGTGATGACATTAAGAAGTTTATGATAGATTTTGATAGTAGATTCCTCAAATGTTTAAGTGCTAAAAGCCTAATGGTTTTATCAGAGAAATGCGTTGATTATCTTTGCAGTGATTTGATTTTACAACACAGATTTTCTTTGGCAACGATCGCTTTAAGATTACCAATACAAAATTACTATCAAAAAATCTTTGACTCCGGAAAAGAAAACGAAGTTAGAACATTAGCAGCATTACATGATAGCAGTATTGCAACGGCAGATTATATTAAGCTTAGGGAAACAAGGTTTATTAATGATGGAGATCCAATAAGTTTGGCAGTTATGGATAAAGAAATAGTTTTAAGATATAGATGGAGATATTTAAGAGGAGATGCAATGACATTCGTTTATGGATTACCGGAACATGCAGAACTATGCGAAGATGATGAAGAACTATTCTTGAAATGGGAATTGCAAGAAAAAAATGCGAATATGAATAGAGAAGAAATTATTGAAAAGTTGGGAATCAAAAACACAGAAAAGAATTTCGAAATAATTTTGTCAACCAAAGAAATCGAAGAAACAGCTCTCCGAGCATTAATTCCTTTATTTAGAGATGTCAAAATATCTTCATTACCAACATTTGTTAATATTAAGTCGGCAAGTTGTTTTCCATTGATATGGAATGTTAATATTTTAAAAATGGAATCATTCCAACAAGAATTAAGAAAATTTCCAATTGAAACTGCGAAATCATTTATTAAATTCGTTCCAGATGGTTATGAAGCAATCGTTGAACAGTTTCCAACTATTATTGCTTGCGTTTGTGTTAATGAAATACAAACAACATATGAAGTATTTGACAAAGCATCATTATCAATCAGAAGATCTTATGATTTCTCTAATGAATCATTTCCTTTCGTATTAGCTGTTGTTTGTACAATGTTCATGAAAGAACAAGACTTAAATCCATTTGAATATAACTTTGAAAACTGGAAAAAGGCATTTGTTTTCTTTAGCATAATGAGGAAACAGTACAACAAAGCAATTCAGATACTTGAAAAAGATATTAATATTTGTGCTGTTCTGTTAAGAAATGAATGCGAGCAGTTACATTTTTGCAATAGAGGATCATGGGCAATAAATACAGTTAAATTTATTTTGTATTGCGCATCAATTGACTTCTATATTGATTCTCCTGTATGGAGACACCTAATAGACTGCTGCAGATATGTACCATGGCCACAAGAAATGGCTGATGATGATTGCGTTTTTGCAACTTTTGAAACATATGTAAATCTTCATCAACAAAACTCTGAAATGAATTAATCTAAGATTTGAAAAAAAATTTGAATTACATCTTGTTCAAAACCTAATAACATTGGAAACTTCACAAATCATAAAAAATTACTAACTGGGCGCTAATCTTCTCATAATGTTAGGCTATTTAGTGAATAGTAATCCATTATAAAGAGTTTAGGAATTATTATTTGCATTTGTTTAAAAATATCACTTTTAGAATATTATAAACTCGCGTAAAATATTATATATGATGAAAATATTTGGTTTAAAGAAAATAAAATACTAAAAAATGTTAATATATTTTTAAGAATTCTTTTTTATTATTTCTCGATTGGGTAACATTATTAGATCCTTTATCATTTTCTACTTTTCCGTTTATAGACAATATTTGAGCTTGATATTTTTTAAAAAATTACAATTGTTGCAGAAGAACTGTATTTTGGGATTCAATGATACTAATTTTATTCATAAACTCTTGTATATCATGTTTTAGCTGAAGATTATCGGATTCAAGTCTCTTAATATACACACCTTTTCTTTTCCTTGTTTTTTTAACAGTTGACATAGGATGAGATTGGGCATCTACATTTTCTACAGGATCAAATGTGAATTCCTCATTGAGCACATTATTATCATCACTACTCATTTGATAATCTTGTTCTCAATAAATGCGAAAAAATTGGATCATGACATTACAAAAACCTTTCTAGATGACATATGAAGAATCATCAATTGAGCGAATATATGCAGTGTTTAATTAATCCTAATAACGATCTAATGAAATTTTGATATGGATTAGGTTTTACTTATTAGCATATTGAGGAGAATGCATTTTTCTACATTTGAGTACTTTTCTTAAAATATTATCTTATATTATCAAAATGCAACAATTTTTTTGAATGGTAACAGAAGAATATTGTTTTTCATTAGAAATTTAATTGAAAGCACATTTTATCCATTTCATTCCATTATTTCAATGTAATTGAAAAAAACACTGAGGAATTTATATGGATATGTTTAACTTGAAACGTTGCAAAAAGTCCATACTTCAAATATATACAACGAGCTCAGGAGTATGTACAAATATCACATAGATATGTACAATGCGTTGTGTAAGTTAAAAACGAATAATGAAGAAGAATTACGGTCGATTTATAAATTGATCAAAGAATATTTGATTGATTCAAAGATATATCATCCAAAAAATATTATAGATGACATTTTTTGGATTGTGTGGTATAATAACGGCTATATAAAGTCATACTTGAAACTTGTCAAATTTATTTATGATGATTATCAATTAGAGCAAATCCCATTTACTTCAGTTATTTTCAACTCCATGTTTTATAAAGAGTATGGAATTAAATTAGGCAAATCTGATGATTTCGAAGAAATTCAATTTAAAAATCTCAATATTCATATAGAAAATACTATTTACAGAGCAATTATGTATAATGACTTAGAGAGATTCATCTCATTTACTGAAAGAGATGAATTTGATAAAAATCAAAAACTTAAAAGCGATTTATATCCATTTTCTGGAAAAGGATATTCATTACTTGAATTATGTTGTTACCATGGAGCAGTTGATTGTTTCAAGTTATTAAGAACGAAATTTCACTCAGAGATTACTCAAACATGTTTACAATTCTCATTTTTAGGCGGAAATCCAGAGATCATGAGTGAATGTTTGAAATATCAAACACCAAATAAAGAATGCATGAGATATGCAATTATTTCACACAACATTGATTTTGTTACATTCTTGATGAATGAGTACAATATAGAGATTAAATTAGAATATTGCATACAATATAAAAATCTTGAATCATTTTTTGTTTATTTAGATCAAACAAATAATATTGACCAATGCTTTGTTTATTCAATATCGTTTGATATCCCATCACTTAGTGAATATTTGCTTTCACATGGTGCCAATGTCAATGAACATGATAATGAAGGCTATACTGCTCTTCACAAAGCAATACATAAAAATGATAGAGAAATAATTGATCTTCTTCTTTCATATAATGTAGATGCCAATGAAAAAGATAGATGGGGAAACACTGCTCTTCACACAGCAGTACAGAAAAATAATAAAGAAATGGTTGATCTTCTAATTTCACATGGTGCCAGTCTCAATGAAAAGGATAAAATGGGAAACACTGCTCTTCACAAAGCAGTACAGGAAAATTATATAGAAATTATTGATCTTTTAATTTCACATGGGGCTAATGTCAATGAACATGATAATAAAGGTTATACTGCTCTTCACAAAGCAGTAGGTAATAGTACTAAAGAAATTATTGATCTTTTCATTTCACATTACACAGGGAAAACTACTCTTTATTCTGCAGTACCTAAAAATAAAAAAGAAATTATTGAGCTTCTAATTTCACATGGTGCCAGTGTCTTTGAAAAGGATAATATGGGAAACACTGCTCTTCACAAAGCAGTACAGGAAAATAATAAAGAAATGGTTGATCTTCTTCTTTCGCATGGTGCCAGTGTCAATGAAAAAGATAAAATGGGAAACACTGCTCTTTAGATAGCAGTACGTAAAAATTATAAAGAAATTATTGATCTTCTAATTTCACATGGCTTATGATTTTGATTAACATTAAAAGCTTTATCAGAGTTAATGTATATAATCCATACCAAAGTTTTGACAATTAAAATTTTTTTTTTGAAAAATTGAAATTAGTTAATTAATCATGAAGATCAGGTGCAATCATATGCCCTATTAAGAATAAGATAGCCCATAATATACGCTGTTACATAACAATTGTAATTTGAATCTTCCTTCGATGCCCATTTTACTTCATGCATTATCCAGAATCAGTTACCTTATCTAAATCGGGAAATGCTGGTTCATTGATTATTATTTTTTTAAATTTTCAAAATTTGCAATTTAAAACATAAGAAACTTTGTATACACAACATTTTTATCATAAAATTTTGACCGACGAGACGATTAAGATTTTTGGAAATTGAAAGATTATTTTTACAAAAAAAAAAGTATAAAATCATTCAATGAATTTGACTCAGCTCCCTATCCCGCGTACATCTACAGAAATGACAGCGGTGTATAAGGAGCTTAAGTCAATTTGTTTTGAAAATTGGTGCGTTTTAACTTATGAAGAAGGGCACAGCCAAAAACACGATTTTATTCTTCAAATACAAAAATGTGCTCAATTATCAGATCCACAAAATCAAGTTAGAGCGTGCATAGGTGCCTCCATTATGGTACATTATTCAACATCATGGAATGATACAATTATGGCAATATTTGGTAAGATAGAAGCAGGAAGTAATGCAGAAGCAACGGATTTTATCTGTGAAAGGATAGCAAAATTTACGAATAAACTACCAAGAACGTCAAATTTCTTGATTCAACGACTTAAATATATATCTAAAGTTCTTTTACAAGGAACATCGAAAGAATCAATCCTACATTGCATTTCACTTCTCAATTATCTCGAAAAATATGCAATAAGATCATTAGAAGCATGTTCGTTACAATATTATGAACAAATCTATCCTCTTTTATTCAATGAGAGGGAAGATTTGCGAAATATAGCCTTTCACTCACTCTCTCACTTCCTTCAAATCTCAAGACGCGCTGATTTTCCCAGTCAATTATACAAAGATGCCAAATCTATATTAGATCCACCGCTAACAGATCCATTTCACGTCATACATGGCGCTTTACTTACTTACGCTGCAATATGTGACTCTTGTCCCATTGATTTACCCGTAAAACAAGTTCAAGACCAAATGGCATCGTTTTGGTCAATGAATACTCGAGATTATCCTTCATACATTAAACATACCGCACTGATAGTTGTTGTCATACTTTCGCCTTTTGACCAAACAACTTTTAATAATCTGTATTTACAAAGTGTGGTCAGTAGTCTGTGGCCTGATTTAAAACCGACTGTGGATAATGTTGACGGTTTGCATATTTTAATGAGGAAATCTCCAGTAGTTTTTGAAAATAGAATGGAAAAGTTATGTAATTCATTTAAAGCGATGTTTACAAGTGATTCATTGGAATTAGTAGAGAGTGCTGTTAAATTATTAAACGAATTATTACATAAATTGCCACAAAAAATGAATGATCAAAAATTTGTTTCAAAATTAGCGAATATTTTATCAATCTCACAATATACCGAATCATTAATACAAACTCTGAAAGTTATTTTCGATAAATACCCACTTTTCTGGACAGAATACAAAAATTACGCTCTAGGAATAGTAACACGCTTATTTGAAAGAAAATTTACAGAAAATGCTTTACGATTAATCATAATACTACCAGAAGTTCAAGATCCTCCAGAATATTTGTATACTTCAGTATTATCTGCGTTACAATCGAACGATATAGCCACACAAATACTTGCCCCTGAAGCCTTAGAAAGTTTATGTCGATCCCAAGACGATGACGTCAAGAGAAATTATGGAAAGAAATTATTAAGTATTGCGATGACAGCTTCGTCAAATGAGTTCAGATATTATGCTCTAAAAGCCTTTAAGCCTCCATACCACCATTATCTTTCATATCCAGACTCATTATCAATGTTTGATATTTTAATTCGAGACGGAAACAAGCTTGTCTGCATGGAAGGCCTTAAAATCCTTGGTGGTGTTAGTTCATACAATCCAGCAATGATTTATCCTATCTTTAGATCCTTAATTTTAGATACTTTATTTATAACTGACTCTTCTAAGTCCAGCCGTGTTCAAGCAGATGCCATCCGATGCCTACCAATCATTTTCTCCTCAGTTCCACCTCTTTTACCCGTTTACGACGGTCAATTTCTTCCAATTGCCCTCCAACAGCTCAGAATCCATCTCAAAAGCGCCATTTTAGACGACGATGACTTCGAATCGAATGACATTCGCATCCAGATCACTCCCACATCATCCCTTGGCAGTACAAGCAGTTTTGGTTCGTCATTAAAGAAGACACAAATAAATGACCAGCCACATCCTTTTGTTCGTACTTCCCCTTCATCGGAAAACCTGAAACAAGACTTAGCACAAGCAGCACAAGCACACGGACAAAGATTATCATTCTTTGAACGAACTTTTTCATCAGAAATCGCAAAAGATTTGATAAACACAATATCCGTGATTGCGAAGATTTCTTTTGAGACTGCGGAACCATATATCGATGAAATGACCTCTATTTTCATCGAAACACTACAAAGAGCATCTCAAAAATCAGTAATCCTCGCAATTTTGTCAGCTTTGGATGTAATTGTCTCAAAAATTGGTCCAAAAAGTGCCACAAACTTTTCAAAACTTTATTCGACATTGATAAGTTTAGGAGGCCGCATGATGTCACAGAAAGTACACTCATGTATATTTAAAGTATTAGGACAATTAGGACTAATATTAGCACCTCAAGAACAGATAATTTTGGATGTTTCTCAAGAACAATTCCAACTCGAGTTCTTTTTGGTCGGAACAAAAATTGAATACGAAGATTACTTCATTTACGTGATCTTCAATGCCTTGCACTCCGTAATCATTGATAAGCTCCAACAGGACCACCATACAGAAGCACATACAGCGCTAGTGAATATTTTCACTCAATGCGAAAAAACAATTTCTGCGAAAAGAATGTTCAACAATTATATAAAAATGTTGTTGCCAGCGGTAATTGAAGCTCCTTATAACGAAAAGACCAATTATTTCGGTATGTTGAAACAGTTATTACAATGTCCAACAGAATGGCTACAACCATTTGCTTCGAATTTCGTTTCTTTGATTGAAGAAATGTGGGATTCACATTATACAAGTGAAGTGATTTCTTTAATCAGTCCTTTGGCACATGCACTTAAAGAAGTCTTCCAACAATATATCCCTAAGATAACTACCTTGTTACTCGATGAGTTATCAAAGCCAAACTCTATTGATTCTACTGTTACTCCGTATATTTTGGATGCTTTAACTTATTTGTCACTTTTTGCATGGAATTTTGTTTTTATTATTGTGAAACAAATTACTGATGTTGTGTTTAACTCTAAGTCTAATGACATCATCGAGAAATCATTGGATAGCTTAAGATCTATTGTACAAAACTATGATTGCGCAAGTTATTCTTCTTCTATAATTAGAGCTTGTTTCTTCGCTTTAAATAATCCGAAAGAAGAAATTAAAAATGCCGCTGTTCAAGTTTTGTATTCATTGGCTGTTTCTATCGGTCCAAGTTTCTCTATCTTTAAGACAAGTGTTGAAAAGGCAATGATAAATGCTGGTTACCAATTAAATGAATTAAATAGAGTTGCTTATTTGAAAACTCGTGGAAAACACACTGATTTTCCTTTCATCAAAGTTGATGTTAAAAACAAAATGAAACCGGAACCAAGGAAAAAAATAATATTAGATGAAGAATCACTAATAAACAAGATAAGTATTCCGGAATCATTAAGTGTAGAACATTGGAAAAATTGGATGCAAAGATTCCAAAAATCTTTTGCAGAACATTCTCCTTCTCCTGCTTTTAGATTATCTTCATTTTTAATTACTGAGCAGCCTCTTCTTCTTAGAAAGTTCTTTGAGCCTGCTTTCCTTTCCGTGTGGATCGTAGCAAGTGATCATTTGAAAGAGGAAATAATGAATGATTTAAACACGGCTTTGTTTGAAAAAACAACTCCGATGCCGGTTTTGACATCAATTATCGGTTTGTTTGAATTCATGGATAGAACGAAACAAGAGTTACCTAAACCTAAAGAACCATTTAAGTTGACGAGGATTGTTTTGAGAGCGGAAAAGCCAACATACGCTTTGTATTGCGCTGAACAAGATTACATCAAATACAAAGATGACAAAACCGCTCAGAATCAATTGATTCAAATTTATACACAACTTGGAATGTTCGATGAATCAAGAGGATTTGCTCAAACAATAGGTGACAGAGTTGCTCACATGAGTGGCCAGATTGTAAGGTATCTTTCATGGGATAATTCATTGGAAATCGTCCATCAATCAACAGAAGATTTCATGGCAAAATTGTCATTTTTGGAAGAACAAGAAAAGTGGCCAGAAATTGCTAAATTGGCCGGCCAATTTTCATCTCTATCGTTCACTGAAAAAGACAATGCTGCATTAATATTTGCACATGCTTTTTACCATTTGAATGATTGGTCAGAACTCGAGAAAATGCTCGGAAGTACACAAGAAAACATTGGATCAACAGTCATCAGAATAATGGCAAAAATTAAAAATGGTGATGACATAAATAATGATGTAGAAAAAGGTTTTATACAGTTAGGAAACGAAGCAGGATCTCTTTTCGCTCATGGTATAACAGCTGTTGCTCCTTTCATTGTGTTCGCGCAAAGATTAATCGAACTAAAAGAAGCAACACAAGGAAACATAAGAAAAACATGGGCAGAAAGATTAATGAACAACGCTGCACATTTTAACATGATCAGATCCATTTTACTGACAAGATGCGAAGTCCTTGGTCCAAGTCAAAATGTCAATGAAGATTTGGCATTCCTTAAATTCGCGAGGAGATCAAATGAATGGGATGCTTTCAAGGATTATTTCGATAGGCATTTCCAACAATTCGAAGACAGAATGAAGATGCCGAGAGTCATCTACGAAAACGCTTTGTTGCTTTCTAAAATAGGACAAAGAGATGAAGCAAGTGTTCTTGTGAATTCAACAATAGAACGTTTGATAAATTCGCATGAAGATGATGATTTAATCGCTAAATTATACATGTTGAAAGCAAAATGGAAAATTTGGTTGATAAAAGGAGATTCTCCAGAAGTGATGCATGAAGTAAGGAATTTATTGAGTGAAGCAATTAAATACAGACCAATGCATTACATGACAAATAACATGTGGGCGTGGAGCAACATGAAACTCGCGAGTTTAGTCAAAGAAGAAAGGGTTGATAGAGCTATTGATGCTATCATTGCTTTCGCACATTGTGTATTGATAAGTCCCAAGAATTGTTTCGCTGATTTGTTACAATTGTCTTCTATTTTGTTTACTACTCATTCTTTTGCTGAAATTTATGAAACAACTAAATCAACAATTGCTGAAATTCCTATAAAGAATTTCATCACAATTTTGCCACAATTAGTTGTTTATCAATACACGGAAAGCCAGTCATTGAGGACATTCGTTGAACAGATATTAACTCGTCTGTTAAATGAATATCCAAACGCTACAATTTTCCCTCTTTTGTTCGCTGCAAATTTGGGAAATAAAAAGTCAATTGTCCGGCCAATTATAAATTCCTTTGAATTGACGAATGCGCAATTCACTCATTCAGCCAAGACAATACTTACTGAGCTCTGCAGACTTGGAATGACATATCCAGAATACATTTGCGAGGCATTGACAGCTCTTAAAGACAGAACAGACAAAGCATTGGCAAATCCAGGAAACACGAATAGTTTGGACGAAATTGTCGATGATTTGTTGGAAAGATTGAAGTTAACAACATGTGAATACGACAGACAAGCACAACAAAGATATTCTGATACAATTAAAACTCTTGAAACAATATTAAATAACTATAAAACTTCTAAAAAACCATTAACTTTATCCCAAAGAAGTCAAGAAATCAGATTAATTATGGAGACATTTAACAACGAATTCAAGAGAGAAACGAAGCTGAATTTGAAGTATTACTCCCCTGATTTGGCTGCAATAGAGAACTCCCCAATCACTGTGTTCGGAAGATTCAGGACAGAAGGAAATTCAACAACAATTTTGAGATTTGGCAGAGAATTAAACATTTTGAATTCAAAAAGAAGACCTCGCCAACTAAAAATTGTTGGTTCTGACCATGTAACATATAAGTTCCTTCTCAAAGGACACGAAGACCTTCGACAGGATCAAAGAGTCATGCAGTTCTTCGAACTTGTGAATTCTATTTCTCACAACGTTCACACGAGAATTGCGATTCTTTCGATCACTCCTTTGTCACCACGCGTTGGTTTGATACAGTGGCTTCCTGGCTGCGATACAATGTCAGAGCTGATTGATGACTACAGGAGTATCTCCAGTATCAAGATCAATGTCGAATCGAAGATGCTCGAGGAATACACAATTCCTGATTACGACAGTTTGCAGCCGATACAAAGATACGAATATTTGATTGAAGTTGACAAAAACACCTCACCTGATGATCTCAAAAACATCATGTGGCTTAAAGCTCCTGATGCAGAAGCGTGGGTCAACCACACATCGCACTTCTCGAGATCAACAGCTTTGATGTCTATTGTCGGATACATCATTGGTTTGGGTGACAGACATCCAAGCAATATAATGATACAAAGATATTCAGGGTCTGTCATTCACATTGATTTCGGAGATTGTTTCGAAGTCACTGCCAAACGCGCTCAACTCGCCGAGACAATTCCTTTCAGACTCACAAGGATGATTGTCAAAGCGCTCGGACAATGCGGCGTTAATGGATCATTTAGAAGAGTTTGCCAGGACACATTGCAAACATTGAGAGGAAACAGAGAAGCCGTGATGGCTGTCTTGGAAATCTTCTTCAGAGAACCTTTGTCGTCAGGAAGACTCTTCGAAAGCAAGGAGATGAATGAGAACATTGTTGCTGGATCATTAAATAACAACATGGACAGTTTGTCGAGAAAGAATTTGGCTGAAATCATGACAAGAATTTCTGATAAAGTAAGAGGAACTGATAATAATAATACCGTGCCAATGACTGTGCATGAACAAGTTGATTGGTTAATCAAATCTGCTAGAGATATGTACAATTTATCTTGTTTATTCCGCGGATGGAATCCTTTATGGTAATTTTCTTTTTATATATGTTTTAATAAATATTATTTGATTGTTTTGTTTTATTTTATTTTATCTATAGATACGTATTTTGATACATTTACAGATATTTGCGAGAACAATTAAAAAAAAATAATCTGATTGAGTGTGAACTTTTGATTATTATTCATCTGCAATTATATAAAATTTGCATCAGAAGTTTCATTATCTAGCTGCAACTATGGATGTCAATTGGTTTCATGGAAGAAAGTCATTTTTGTAGTAATAGTTCGAAAATAATGATCTGATGTTCGAAATAATATCTGTTTCTGGAAAGAGAGGAGTGTTACTGATTTGAAAGGATATCCTAGAGTTTTTGGGAAATTATCTAAATAATTTCCCGTACTTTTTTCACCAAGTATAACACACAAACTTTACTGGATATTCTGTATTGTAAAATTCAATTCTTTGATTGGTTTTGAGAGGAATATTTAAGATGTTTATACAATAAAAAGAAAAAATCAATAATTAGTGATTAAAATTAAAGCTCTATAAACAATTGGACCTAGAAAATAGAAGCATGCATGGTAAAATCCAAATTGAAGAACTTGGACCCAATATGATGAAATAATAATTGAAAAAGAGCCTTGGAGTACAGCTCAATGATAGGTATTGTAATTGTGTCTTGGTAAATGCTGCACATTAAAGTGTCGTAAAAATTGTTCAATTCATAAGATAACAGTCATAAAGCATTCAATTATTTTGAATACTTTCCAATTTTCACTTTTTTTAATAAAAATATGACTATGCATTAAATTTTAAATGTTATAAATTTTAATCGTTTAAATTCTGAATATGAAAAAAATTTAATTCGAACGAGGTGTACTGTCATTCAAATCTAAAGAAAGAATATCAAAAATTTGGAAATTTAATAACTACCTCTCAATTTCATTCACTCAATCCTCTGAAAAGTCTGAGGTAATTCTTAGTCTCTACGCTATTTCAATATAAGCTCCATTTGTAAACAGTTTTTTTAAAATCGAGCATTGAAAAAAGTGATGATACTTGGAAATTTAATAACTTTTAAAATTTTTTATGACTGAAAAAAACATTCACCCAAATAAATATTGTGAATTGCGAAGTATCTATAAATACTATATCGATTCATATTTTGCATTGTATCAGCTAAAAACGGAAAAAGAAGAAGAATTAAGCTCAATTTACAAAATCATCAAAACAGAATTGATTGAATCAAAGAAATATACACCCAAAAAGATTGCAGAAGACATTTTAAATATCATTCCATATAATAATCGCTATACAAAGTCATATTTATATCTTACTAAGCTCATATCTGATGATTATCAAGTCGAATTGCACGATGAATATGGATATGGAGATGAATTTGAATATATTTTTACAGAAAATACTATTTACAAAGCAATTATGTATAATAACTTAATAGTATTCATCCTATTCACCGAAATTGATGAATTCGATAAAAATCAAAAACTTGAAAGCGATTTATATCCACATTCTAAAGAAGGATATTCATTACTTGAATTATGTTGTTACCATGGAGCAGTTGATTGTTTCAAGTTATTAAGAACAAAATTTAACTCAGAAATAACTGAAAAATGTCTACAATTCTCATTTTTAGGCGGAAATCCAGAGATCATGAGTGAATGTTTGAAATATCAAACACCAAATGAAAAATGCATGAAATATGCAATTATTTCACACAACATTGATTTTGTTACATTCTTGATGAATGAGTACAATATAGAGATCGATTTATATTATTGCGAAAAATTTAAAAATCTTGAATCTTTTTTTGTTTATTTCGATCAAACTTCTGATGTTAACAAATGCTTAATTAATTCGGTGATATTTAATATTCAATCTCTTTGTGAATATTTCCTTTCACATGGCGCAAATATCAATGAAAAAGATAATGGTGGATTGACCGCTCTTCATATTGCAGTAGATAGCAATCAACTAGAAATAGTCGAATTTCTTCTTTCACATGGCGCAAATATTGATGAAAAAGATAATGATGGATTGACCGCTCTTCATATTGCAGTAAAAAGCAATCAACTAAAAATAGTTGAATTTCTTCTTTCACATGGCGCAAATATCAATGAAAAAGATTATCTTGGAAAAACCGCTCTTCATATTGCAGTAAAAAGCAATCAACTAAAAATAGTTGAATTTCTTCTTTCACATGGCGCAAATATTGATGAAAAAAATAATGATGGATTGACCGCTCTTCATTTTGCAGTATTATATAACGATAAAGAAACAGTTGAATTTCTTCTTTCACATGGCGCAAATATTGATGAAAAAGATTATCTTGGGAAAACCGCTCTTCATATTGCAGAAATGTTTAACAATGAAGAAATAGTCAAATTTCTTCTTTCACATGGCGCAAATATTGATGAAAAAGATAATGATGGATTGACCGCTCTTCATATTGCAGTAAAAAGCAATCAACTAAAAATAGTTGAATTTCTTCTTTCACATGGCGCAAATATCAATGAAAAAGATTATCTTGGAAAAACCGCTCTTCATATTGCAGTAAAAAGCAATCAACTAAAAATAGTTGAATTTCTTCTTTCACATGGCGCAAATATCAATGAAAAAGATTATCTTGGAAAAACCGCTCTTCATATTGCAACAAAAATTAATAATGAGGAAACAGTCGAAGTTCTTATTTCAAATGGCGCAAAAAATAGAACTTATTTCTTTTCTTATATTAAAGAAAAAATACATTCATTTTTGTCTACTTTATATGTATTAATTTTTAAAATGCACAAATAATGCCCAGAATGAATTTAAAATAATCATTTTTGCGTTTTTTTGAACTTGTAAGAAAACCGGGTTTTTCATAGGGTGCAAAAAATGCACAAAAACGATTATTTAAAATTGAATTTGCACATTTTTTTGCGTATTTGAAAAATTTTGGAGTTGACCATTATTAAAAATCAAATCCATTAAAAAAGAATGGCAACAGTTGCATATGCAAAAAATATAAAAGAAGAAATACATTCATTTTTGACTACTTTACGCGAATTGATTTTTAAATGCACAAATATTGCACAGATTGGATTTAGAATAATCGTTTTTGCTCATATGGGCATAAGTGCACCCTGAGTTTAATTTTGAACTTCAAAAATTGATATATATACTTGATTGATTTTATTCATTGCAATCATATACAATATAATAGAATTACTTCTTAACATGCTATTCATATATGAAACGTGAATTTCAAATCCACTACATGATCTTAAAATGAGCGATTTACGGTATCAATTTTTGATTTTTTCATTTTAAAATATGGAGGTGATTATTGGTTGGGTATTAGCTAAAGTGTTCAGTAATAGAGTGAAATATTTTCTCGTTATAAATTAACTACGATGTTCACAAATAGAGTGACATATTTATTCATTATAAATCAACTAAGATGTTCACAAATAGAGTGACATATTTATTCATTATAAATTAACTAAGATGTTCACAAATAGAATGAGATATTTATTCATTATAAATTAACTAAGATGTTCACAAATAGAGTGAGATATTTATTCATTATAAATTAACTAAGATGTTCACAAATAGAATGAGATATTTACTCATTATAAATTAGCATAGAAGTTCACAAATAGAGTGACATATTTATTCATTATAAATTAACTAAGATGTTCACAAATAGAGTGACATATTTATTCATTATAAATTAACTAAGATGTTCACAAATAGAGTGACATATTTATTCATTATAAATTAGCATAGAAGTTTACTAATGGAGTGTTATGCAAGTCATGATTATCACAAAATTTGTTGGTAATAATTTTTTTATAAGTTTAATAAAACAAAATCTAATATTTAAATGTAAAAAAAATAACATGTTATTCAAGCCTCGGCTGCATTGGTCTTCTAATGGCAGTAGTTGGGATTTTCATAGGAAGCTGAGGAATCATAATACTCTGGTGTGTATCATTGAAACAAAGAGGAGGAAGCTGACTTGGGTCCAAAACTCCTTTTTCTGGATTCAAGAAATCATTTTCCAAGCATTTATCAGCTGTCAATCTGACTTTTGGATTAAACTGAAGCATGCTCAGAATTAATGGTATTGCAGCTTTGTATTCTTCGCCTTTTGCCTTGATTCTCCTTTCAATATAATTTTTAAGATCTCTATTACTGTATCTGTTAACAATTTCTGGGTCAATGACGAACTCTCTATGCTGCTCGTCATCTACAGTAGATTCTAGTAAGATTTTTCCTTCCGATACTATCTTTCTTGCAAAAAGTTCAGCGTTTGGTAATTTTTTCCATTCTGGCCACTGCTGATCAGGTAAACCTGCGATATCGAATATTGCTTTTAGCTGATCAGCTTCTTGGTCCAAGTTTGATCTGAATAAAACTTCATGAGTGATCATTTCGTAAATAATACATCCAGCACTCCATATATCTATCTCCTTACCGTACCCCTGCTTGCCTAATAGTATTTCCGGAGGTCTGTACCAAATTGTAATGACTCCATTCGTCGAACAATTGGTATTGGTGGTTGCAAGGCCAAAATCTGTAATCTGCAGGTTATTTCCCCTGTTAACCAATAAGTTTGCAGGCTTCAAATCTCTATGTAATATATTTTTATCGTGACAGGCTTTTACGCCAAGAAGTAATTGCCTTGAGTAGCAGCGAACTTGATCAATGGTGAGATTTAAGTTATGATTATATAATAAACCATACATATCGTACTCATAGTAACTGAAAACAAGATATACGTGATGACTTTCAGTGCAAACTTCTATCAATCTAGCAATATTTGGATGGTTGAGCGAACGAAGGATAGAAATTTCTTGTAATGAGTTTGGTGGAAAACCAACTGCTTGATTTAAAATTTTAATCCTTTTAACTGCAACGATCTCGCCGGTTTTTTTCCTGTGAGCTTTGAGAACATCGCCGCACGTGCCACTACTAATACCTGCGATAAGAGTATACTCATCAGACAGTGTCTTAGAGGGCATTTAAATTCCAGATTTTTTTAATTATATAAGTACCCACTCAAAAGTGACAAAAAACTGACAAATTTTAGAAATCTTATGAAATTCAATTGCTTACAATAAAGATTTTCCCAGCAAAATCATCATGCATGTCGAAATATTAAGACGATTTTGAAATAAATTGACAAAAAACGCCTATGAAAAATCAATTTTCAATAAAAAAAATGTCATTTGCATAAATAATAACGAACAGAAAGATCTACATGCCATTATCTAACGTAAATTTTATGATATATTCGATTTTAAATTATATGAAACATCGATTTTTGGATTTATTTTGATAATTTAATATAAATACAATACATTAAGAATACTTTCGTTCAGATGAAAGCATTCATCATGAGATTCTCACATCTTATCATTTTCCACACACACACAAAAATCTTTTTACATAACAGCAAGGCAGAAATTTGAAACTTCGTTTCAAATTTCTCAAGCTTGCATTCTGGGCACTTACGTGCCCATAATGCTAAAAGGCGCGTAGAAATTTTATTATAAATCGACCTATTATAACACACTGGTGCAATACGTTAATTTATTTAACCTCTAAATCCAAAAAAACTCAAATGAGATCACATTAATATCACAATTAAAAGTGACAGCCATTTGACTCAAATCAAAAAGTGTCATAAAAATGATGTAAGATAGTCACAAAATCTAAGTAGTGAGGCTCTCAAAAATTGAACCGTACTCCATACAAAATTTGTGTACCCTCACTACTTAGATTTTGTGGCCTTCAATTGAGAGGTTAGTTTTGATAGAGCACGTTATAAAATTAAAAGGGAAAAATAAATAAAATTTAAACATTTAATTATATATAATGTAAGGAGTGTAATTCCAAATTTTCTAAAAACTATTCAAATTTGAGCATTTTTTTGGAAATAGTAAATTTAATATGTACATCTAATAACAACATGATTCATCACCTTTTCAAGCTCTGCAGTCAATTTTTTGAAATTTGATTGAAATAAATGTAGCAAAAATTACATTTCATTAGGGAATATATGAGTTTCTCTGGAAACAGGCTGATAAATTTTAAATTTTGTCCAATCAACATGAATGCATTGAGAAATTTGGATTGATTTTCTGGTAGAATCTGGAACAATTCAACCATGTATAAATGGATCATGTAATCATCATGAAATGTTAGTGTTAGAGTTCAAAAGAAACAGAATGAGTGGAAATCAAACACAATCTGAATAATTTTAAACGTATACAATCTTTAAGTTTGTATTTTGAATTCTACATATATGATTGTGTAATTCGTTCTTTCAAATTTTCGGATTCAGGCATGTTTTGATAAAATTCATTCCCAAAAACGTCAATTAACAATTAAATTTAGTGTATTTTAAATATATATACGTATTATATTTTATAAATTATATTAAATTCGCAAAATTTTAAGTTTTAAACAAAAATAAAAAATGTTCAAAATATGAAATTATGCATAGGATATTAAAATTTACATGTTAGCAATTTTTTGAATTGCTTTCAATTTTCATATTGAAATTTTTAAGATTTGTTTCTGAAATAATAAGCAAGAATATCAACCTAAATAATATTAAATTCCATGCGTTAATTTCCCCTCAAAAGTCATTGACCGCCTCTCAATCTAGATTTTGTGAGTACTTTACATTCTATAGGTATTTCGAACGATCGTTCAAACAAAATAATTTTAAATAATTTTAATATAATATTCATTTTCATAGCTAGCCAAGAGTTTATAACTTCTCTTTCAATGCATTGATTGTGCTAATTAACTGCTGGTAAATCTCGTCCGAAATTGAAATCACCCAACGATTTGCTCTTTTATTTAATATAGATGCATCATTGATAGAAACAAGAAAAAGCTGAAATTATAATTAAAACTCAATTGATTGATCGATGAACATTCGCAACAATATCTTCAAGAGTTTTCAACTTTTCTTTCAGTACCTTAATTGTGCGCACTAACTGCTAGTAATTCTCTTCCGAAATTGAAATCATTGAATCGTTGACAACTTGTGGTGGCGCAGGTTGAAGAAAGCCCTTTCTTTCAAGGAATTCTCTAAGTTCAGGCGATTCCTTCATGAAAAATGCATTTGTCTTCTTGAAGATTGCTTTCGTTTTCGACATACCAGCAAGAGCTTTAATTTCTTCATCGTTATCTTTGAAATCAATTCGATATAGTTCCTTCGCTTTATCAATTGTCTCTTTGTCGAGGTCGTAAAGTTTGACTTGATTTGTCATACAAACTAAAAATGAAGTCAAAAATTTTGACTAAAATGATTTTCAGCTTATATCGGCGCCCAGCTGCGCTGCGCGCCGATAGAATGTGCTATAGATAAGTAGAAGGTCTTTGAAATATTGAGGGAATTTGAAATTATGACTCTTAAATTATGACTACTCGAATAGTTTAAATTGACTTTTGAAAACTTGTCACCTTTCATTTATTTTATCATGTTGTAGAAAAGTCAATAACTCAGACCAGTTCCTGAGTTAAAGTTGCTCATGATGTGAATGCCATATGCCATTGATGAATTTTGATTATAGAATACTTGTTGCAAATGATTGATCAAAATTCCGAACTTATGAAATTAAAAACATTCTTAGTAAATATGAAATAACAAACAATATTTTATTTGCGAATTGTACGTTTTATACGTGCAATTCCGACAAGTGAAATAATTAAAGGACGAATGCTGTTTTCATTCTTATTAGAAGGAGCACTCATAGTTGCGATTTTGATCAGGATGTTCTTTTGCTTCCTTAATGTGGAAATTATGTCATTCAGCTTCTGAATTTTTGCAATTTCATCATCTACTGCTCTTCTTATTTGATTTGCTGAGTCAACACCGGATATATCATATTTCTTCGACCAATCTGTCCATTCTGTGAGTTTATCCTTTTGATCTCTTATTTCTGGCAAACTTCCGAATTTATTCTGAACAATTTCGATCTGAGACAAAACATCTTGGTCATATCCAGCAAATGGCTCCAGTTTTAATGAGATTTCTTCAATGGTTTGATTCAGATTTTGATTTTCTGACAAAAGATTATCCAATTCCTGCTGGTAAGTTTCCTTTTGAGTATTAAGTTTCAATGTCCAGTAGTTATCTCTATTCTTTACAGCTTCTGAGATTGAATTCTTATTTTCTTCCAAATTATTCTTTAATCCTGCGTTTTCTGCTTCTAGAGCTTTAACGAGATTCTTCAGTGTTTCGATTTCGTTCATATCTCCTTGAGAAGTGTTTAATTTCGAAAGGGAAATGTGACCAATTAAACTGTCTGAAGCTTCTTTCTGGTCATTAATAGTTGTTTCATATTTCTTAACAACTTCTGACATCTTCTTTTGGTATTTTGCAAAGTTTCTTTTGAGATTCTTTATTTCTTGAGTTAATTCTGATTCTCTTGTGATATTTCCCTTAATAATCTTATTTATCTGCTCATCATGATGATTTTTGAGCTCTTGGATGCTTTCTTCTTTGCTTTTATTGAGCTTTTCCATTTCATTTCGATGATCTTCGATCAATTTTGCATTATCTTCGCTTACTTTCTGGAATTTCTTCTCTAAATCTTCGCATTGTTTAGTTTTCTCTGCAATCTGTTTAGCATATTCGTTCACAGCGATATTTAATTCCATCATTTCATTTTCCCTTGTTCTATCAGCATTTTTGAGGATTGTATTTTCATTAGACAGTTTTTCTATCATCTTTCTACTGTTTTTGTTCTCATTTTGGAGGCTATTTATTTCATTATTTTTAGAATCGTTCTGATTCTTCATATTATTGAGCTCAGACTTTGTTTCTTCAAGTCTCTTCCTTAAATGTGATATCACTTCTGTCTTCTTCTTCACTTCCTCCGCTAAATCGAGATCATGAGATTTCGCAAAATCGACAACGAAGAACGGGAACTCTTCCAGAGGACCGGAATATTTCAGTGCAGGATAAGCAGCCTCTTTTATGTCGTCCAAAATCGACTTAGCGTTATGGACATAAGCAACAACAGCATCTGAGTCATAAGAATTAGTTGTTTTCTGGAGATTCTCATAGAAATAGCGCATTTTCTCAAATTTCGCTTGAATAACTTGAGGAAGTCTGTTATTAAACGGCAATTTGAAGATATCAGAAATTAAATACGCAATTGACATAGTTTTGTCGTAGTTCTGCTTCAATGTTTCATATTTAAGTCGCATGCTATTCATCAAACTCGAAAAAATCGAAAAACTACAAACTATTTCCAAATATTTTTCAGTTTCTGCGGAAATCTTCTTGATTTCCTCTTGAACTGTACCAACAAGTTCATTATCAACACCATTCTCGCCGATTGCCTTCTCTGCTTTGAGGATTTCTTCGAAATATTCTTTTGGAATTTCAGAATTATTAAATTCTGTGTCAATTTTCATGAACTTCACCATTGCTATGCATATATTGGAAAGGTTGATGTTCTGCTGCTTGAGTTTCTTCATTTTCTCCTCAAAATCACTTTTCATTTTCGAAATTCCTTCCAAAACATCTTCATTTTCAACAGCATCCTGCAAATTCAACATCAGTTCACGTGTTTTAACTTGTCCCTGCATCTTGGACTCATCTAAAATGCTTGTTTCCAATTCATTTTTATCATGAATCTGTTTTTTGAGAGAAACATCATAAGATTCAATAATTTGTTCTTGTTTTTGTATAATATTCCGTAATTTATCAATAATTGTTGATTTTTCTTTACTTTTTTGGAGGCAAACTTGATATTGCTGAGTTAATGAGAGAATTGAGTCAGATAGCTTCGTAATTGTGGCATTTAGCTTCTCGGGACTTGTATTTGCGAGTTTTATATTGAGTTCATTGATTTGATCTCGATATTCATTGGAAATTGCGACGAGTTTTTGATTTTGAAGCCATAGATCATGCTGCTTAACGCTCATATCATGTAGAAGTAGTTGCATCTTTTGGATCTTGTTTGTCTTTTTGTCTGTCTTAATTTTCAAGTCATTTGTGATTTGTTGAGATTGGGCCGATTCTAGGTTGCTTGCATTGATCATGCCTTGTAGTCTTTCGAGATGCCTTTTGTTTATTGATAATTGGTCATTGAGCTCGAGAATTGTTCTTTCTTTCTTTTCTACTTCAATAATCAATTCATTCACTTTTGTTTGGTTAAGTATTGTAAGATCTTTTATCTTGGCTTGAAGGTTTGCGTTGAGTTGTTCTAAATCTTCTTGTTTTTCTTGTAAATCTGTATTTTGGTCGTTTAGATGCTCATTAAGAGTCTGGAGTTCGATAATTTCGGTTTCTGAGTGAAGTTTCGATGTTGATGTGTGATAAATTTCTGAAACGAAAGATTTAAGAAAATTATTCAGTTTTCTTTGCATTGATGTAGTAAATTTGATTGAGTTATCGGTTGTTAAGAGGTTATTGAGCTCAGTTAATGCATCATTGATTGATGGTGTCGATTGAATAAAATTATTAATTTCTTGATTTTCTTTAAAATATGATTTTTGGTAATTCAACAAGTTATCGATACATTGATTAGCATGATTGATGACATCTTGTTCGCTCCCTGAGTCTAATAAGACCAAATCATCAATTTCATCTTCAATATTCATTATTTTGTCACTTTTCAAGATATAAAATAATTTTACAATTTAAAAATGTCTAAAAATCGATAATAAAGTATTTTGTTTCAGATACATCTGATTCAAATTCAAGAGAATACGATTATTTTTATTCAAATCAAGATTTATATTAATAATAATATATGACCCATGACTGAAATTTTTGTTTCACAAACAAAATCTTGACATTTATAAACTCCATCATAAATTTTTCATTTTCACTTCATATTACTCTAAAACATGATTGACGTTCAAGTGTTTGATAACAATGATAATCCAAATAATTCAGACGAAGATAGCAGTAGTTATTCAGAAGAGGAAGAAGCTGAATCAGGAGATTCTTCTGATCAAGACGAGACTCACTTTAACAGAGCAAGAGAAAATAAAATTAAGGAGTATAATGGAGATTTAATGAACTTTAACCTTGCCGAATTTACGATCCCTGATGAATTTCCTGATTCTCTACGTGAAAAGTTCGAAATTGAACAGAAATTCCGAGAAATATCAGAAGATATCGTCGAAGAATTGGCAGACAAATTGGAAGAATTCGTTAAAAAGTCACCATCAAATCAATTATTTGTGATTCAAATCATAGACAGCGTTGCAATAGCAAAACCAAAGCTTGTTCAGTTACTTGCAAAAGTATTTTCAAGGATAGTCCAGTATGTACCTATAGATAGCAATCTTGCATGGGAATCAGGTTATTTAAACAATTATTTATCCAAAGTCGGTCTAAATTCTCATAAACATTCCGGAAATACAGAAACTGACCTAGGAGATGATGACATTCTCTATCCAAAAGACAGTATCCAGTACTTTACAACGATTGATGATTTAGAATCATTTCAAGATTTCGAATTAAAGCGTTCATGCCAACAGGAAGAAGAAGAACTATATTTTGTTGAACATGAAGGCGATCTTTTATGTCTTGCCGCAAGATTTGGTTCAATTCGGATCTTTAAATATTTACTTATTTCAGGAAACATCGAAATCACACAAAACACATTTATTTGTGCAGTTAAAGGTGGCAATATAGAGATAGTCAGACATTGTTTGAAGTACAATAATGATCCTTTAGAATCAATGAGAACAGCCATACATTGCAACAACTATCAACTTGTAGAATGGATGATTGATGAGTATCAAATCCTTCCATTGATTTATGCTCCTTTAGAAAGAAATACTTTGAGATACTTTTTCCCACTTTTGGACAGAATCCAATTTTGTACTAGACAAAACATTTCAAGTGCAATATCTTATGCATTCAAAAGCGGATATAATGAAATAGGAATTTATTTACTTAGAAAATTTGCAGTTCCAAACATGGATTATTTCGGAATTTTGATGTGGATGGCAATTGGTCAATATAAAGATGAAATTTTGGAGTTTTTAGATCTACCTATCACCAAACAAATTATGGAAAATTATGCATCTTCTTTTATTTCATATATTGTTGATAACTGTACTTTTTTAATCAAAGATATTTTGAAATATGAAGTAATCCAAAATTATTTTTCTGCTGTTCTTCGCGGTATAATGTATAACAAAAGTGCTTTGCAACAATTAATTGATTGCGAAATTGATCTCGGTAAAATTTATAAGGAAAAATATGGAGAGAATATGTATAATGTCATTGCAGGATCTGTTGCTTTTCTTTGCGAAACAGCATATGACAATCTCGATATTTTTGTCAAGGTTCTTGAAAAATGCGATATTTCTGAAAATTTTTTCCAAGAATTAGTTAATAATTGTTTGAGTTGTGGATGTTATCAACTTTTCAAATTTATTTCATCTTATGAAAAGTTTAGTAGTATGAAGCCATATATTGACATTGACAAATCAGTTAGAAGAATAAGAGGCAGAGAGATTGATTTAGAAACATTTAAGTTAGCACTTAGTTTGGGTTCTAATTATGTTCCAAATAGAGAAGAATCGGGTCTTCATTCAACAGATTTAATGAAATTCAACAAATTGTGTTATATAGAATTATTCAGGTTTTTTGCAGAGAAAAATCTGGTTAATTTCAGAAATAGAAAAAATAGAACTTCATTTCACATTATGATACATAACAAATTATATGACCTTGCAATGGAAATCCTCAATACTTTCAAAGGAATTGACTTGAATGCAAAAGATTCAAAAGGTTTGACACCTCTTATTTTGGCAGTTTCTTACTTCAAAAATGGAAGAACAGAGTTGTTTAATTTGATCAAGTTGATGATTTCTTATGGTGCTGATCCAAAAATTGTCTCTTCCAAAGGTAAATCTGCTCTGGATTATGCAGAATCTGTTCCGAAAAAGAGTGAATTACTTCAATTGTTTGAAAATTAATGAGAAACAATGCTTTATGTTGTATTTTTATTCATTTAATGATTAAAATTTATTATTTTATTTAATTAATTTTTTATAAAAACATGAGAAAAATGGACTCCGCCGAAGGGTTTGATATTCTAAAAATATCATATTAATACAATCATATTAAAAATTAATATCTTTTATATTATAAATTAGCTCATCAAATGTGTTTGGCACATAGAGATGAGGTCGGAAAAAGAAGTATTAGATATTTGTAGCACCATGTTCAACTAAGAAAGTCATAATATTTGTTGCTTCAAATTTGGTGGCAATACTAAGAGGGCATTTTTTAATATCGAGAGAATTCCATTAAATAATGATAAAGATAGAAAGAAAGAGAATATTATGAAATGAAAGAGAATGTGATAAAACAATGATAAATATCAAATGAAAGAGAATAAGTTTTATGTTAACATCTGCCCAATGCTCAACTAAGAATTGGACAATTTCTATTGAATTCGCATGGATTGCAATACTAAGAGGGCATTCATTAATATCGAGAGAATGTCATAAAACAATGATAAACATGGAAAGAAAGATAATTTTATAAAACAATGATAAATATGAAATGAAAGAGAATGACATAAAACAATGATAAATATGAAAAGAAAGATAATTTTATAAAACAATGATAAATATGAAAAGAAAGATAATGACATAAAACAATGATAAATATGAAATGAAAGACAATTCCATAAAACAATGATAAATATGAAATGAAAGACAATTTCATAAAACAATGATAAATATGATATGAAAGAGAATGTGATAAAAAAAATGATAAATATGAAATGAAAGATAATGTGATAAAACAATGATAAATATGAAAAGAAATAGATCATAAATTTTGTTGATATCTTCTCTATTAGTAAGTAAATAAGATGCAACATCATAATTTCCATAATGCATGCTTTCTGCTATTGAATTTGGAGTTTGTCAAAAATTTGATTTAAGATACTCAGCAATTTCATAGTGTCGATATTTCAATGCTATATTAATCATGTTATCAAAAGATTTACCTTCTTCTATCATTTGCATAAAAATGTTATTATTTCCGCCTTGAACAGCATATTTTTCGGATTCATCTGTGTATTTAGCTCCTAAATTTTTCAAGTAATTGAAACACAATTCTGAGCCATATTTAATTGAACAATCAAGTGGTGTGATTTCATAATCTATTTTCTCATTAATATCAAGTTTTGGGAATTTAGATTTAAGATCATCTACTTTATCCCATGCAATATAGTATAAAGGAGATTCTGTTGAATATAAATTCAGAATTTCTTCTTCTTTCATTGGAGGATAGAAATTTTGAAATTTGAAACCTTTATAATGCAGAAGCGTCGTTAATTTCACATTTTTCGGCTGGATGATGCATGAAAATTTGTTTGTTATCTTTTGATAAAGTTCTGAAAATAATTTCATTTCTTTCACACGAATTTGTGAAAAAACATCAATCAAATAAAGCGCCATTTGGATAGATATTTTGTGAGTTGTTATTAATTCGATAATTTGTGAAGAAATTTGTATAATATTATTGGAATTGACACTCCAAATAATTTTTGATGCTTGATCTGGGTATTCGAATACTTTAATTGGCTTAAGGTCACTGAAATTGCACCAATTTTCATTTTTTGGCTGCTCTGAACTTGTCATGCTTTTTTTAAAAAAATTTGGCTGTAACACTTTTTGTCTTAAAAATGTGAGTTATAAAGTTACATCCTCTTCTTTAAGGCTATTTTTACTCGGCTTTATTGCCTGAACTACTCTTTTTGATTCAACAAAAATTACTCCGTTCAGTTTTAAAATGCAGAATAAAGCATTGTCAGTATTACTTTTGAAAACAGTTTGAAGAAAAACAGCTCATTTGGCGAATTAAAAAATGAGTATGTTATTTTGCTCCCACAAACTAGGGGATCCATTAAAATCATCATGTATTAGATAACATGCACGAAAACGTGTACCTTAGAATCGTAATTTTCAATACTCAAAATCTACTGATAGAAAATCTTAATAACATCATCGATTCAAATACACTACTAGTAACAGTATCGTTGCTAAACATTCACTGATTTTTGTCTATACGATTTCGAGATACGAGATGCATTTCTCAAAATTCATTACTTTAATACCGATGTTTGCATTAAAACATGATGTATATTACTAATATATCTTTTTAACATACTTTTTTACTTCATATTTTCCAATTATTATACCAAATTTCAAAATAAAGCATTCAATACAAAAATACTAATATTTTATGACTGAAACTCAATATGACAATACATTTCAATTGTAAATGAGCTTAATTATCATTTCAATATTATGAAATTTCCAAAATTTCAATACATGATTATTTTAGTGTTTTTACACATGTGTATAATAAAATTAAGTATCAGTATTGAAATTTATCCAAAAAATGTCAAAAATAAATATATTCATATTTTGCCTTTAGCACACAAATTTTTATACAATGATGAAAATGATGGGATTTATTATATTTTTTTCTTCGACATCTTTATCAAAATCCTATAGAAGAAATTTCCCAATTCCATATGCATTGCGGAGTGGCAGCCATGATGAAACATTTTCATATACCCTATAGAATCTACATAACAAAATTCAAACAAAAACTATCAGTGGAGATTTAGTGGGTTTACCTTTTTAGAAAGAAAGAATTTTGCATTATTGATGTTTCCGAGCAACGATTCTACATGAAAGCTTATTAAAATTTGTTCTGTATTTTGTATCTCATTAAACTACAAATGTTAACAATTTGCAAATGTAAAGTACAATTTAGAATGATTCATAGATGATTGTGGTATATTATCAAAGAGAATAATGTTATTTCATATAATAAATCAAAACCAATTAAAAGCAACAAAATATATCTTAAAATAAAAGAAATTCTCTTGTTTTTAATATAAAATTATTTGATTTTCCCTTTATTAATAAGGTAATTACTTAAACTACACTTTTGTGGAGAGATATAATTTGAATGAGCATGAGATTTCTTGATTTTAAAATTTATTTTTTTCTACTCTTTCATTTGAAACAGAGAAATAGACAATGAAATACACTTGAAGCAAAAGCCTTCAACCTGCTAAATGCTTATTTGATGTATAAAATTTGTTATTGGATTCAGACACCTTTATGTAACCTTGAAAAGTATAATTTCATAAAGTTTTCAAACAATAAATCACTTTTTATTTTTTGATAGCTAACGTTCTACTTGATTCAAGTGATTATGAATGATAGATACACCTAACATCAAAGCATAAAACTAACAAATATTAGGGAATATTTATTTTACAGACGAGAAACATTTACTTTTTATAAAAATGCCACTGTCAATCAAATTTGAGATGAAATATATACTCTTAAAATGATGCTCATAATTCAATATTCTAAATAGAAATAATCTAAATGAATCGATTTTTATCGGATTTTGAAAATTGAGAGCAGAAATCCGCACCATTTAGGTGAAAAACTTCGAGATTGATTTGAAAATAGACTAATATTGCTATTTGCAATAGTTCTGTACTGTAGTTAATTGGATTATGACATATTTCAGTTAAAATCACAAAAATTAACCCATAGCAATGCATTTATTTTAAGCTAAGTCAATGGCATAGAATAATTATCTTTATGATTGATTGAATAATTAGAAATTTTGAAATATTTACATGCTCATAATCAACAGGAAGCATCCCGACCCGAAGGAAAGGAATAGTTTTAATTAGTTGTCTTCAATAAAGGGGAATGTTTTTATATTTTAAATCAAATCTTCATGTAAAAATAATTAATCTCTATTATTTTTAGTAACCAATATTGAAATATGATTAATTAATAGGATTCATAAGGAAATTATATAGAATAATATTTTTGAATGATTCAGAAAGCATTTTTGGCATTCACAATTAAATTCAATTGCATTCAAATTTTCTGATAATTATATTTTATTTACAATGTTTTTCTTTTTTGGTCGCTTAGTTTTGATGTATGTGTTATAATATTTACTGACTCAATAATAAAATTCAAATATAAATCCTTTTTGATTTTTCTCGGTTTTCATGCAAAGTTTGAATTTAATCAGATAAATTACTTATAAATATTTTTAATTTCTGTGGCAGCTCAATTTGAATCAACTCTGAAATATCAATTTTCAATGTACTTTTCAAAACAAAATTCAATTATATTTATATCAAAATGCTTTATTGGTTTTCAACATTATGTTACTCCAAGATTGGTTATGATTTACAAGTGGATAGAAATGGTATAACATCAAATATTCAGAATGTTGGGTGGGTTGATAATCCAAATCCTCCTTTAACAGATAATTATGCAGGCTGGATTGGAAGAAATTTTGGTCTAACATATGCAAACGGTCTAAAATTAAATGTTGACAGAGATCATTCATGGAGATCAGTTTTAAAACTTCCGAATGAAGAATTAAAAACTTACGCATTTAAAAACGGAGAACTTGATGAAGATGGAATAACAGGAAAAACAGTGTTTGAATATATTACAAATGACACTGTAAGAATTAAGTGGATTATTAACAATACAAATAATGAAGATAAAATTTATGACTTTGGACATTTTTATGATGTTAACATGAATGGTGACGATAACGCTGCTCTGATACCTATGGAAGAAGGTAGAGGATTTTTCATGGAATCAGGTGATTATAAATTAGCATTATATGTCAGAAATGCATATGGTGTTTCAAATGTTGATGCATTCTTTTATGGACCACAAAAACAATGGGGTTATTTCTGGCTAAATGAAGACAATATTGATAAATCACTCACACCTGGAACATATGACTCGCTCTTTTGTTTTTCATGGAGAAATAGACTAATCGAAGCTCATGAAGTTCATGTTTACTCAATAGTTCTTGGAGCTGGTTTAGATTTGCATCTTCCTCCTGATTTTTATTTCACTCAAAGAAAGGAATTGTATAATGTTGGTGAAGAAATTATCATTCGCGGAAAATATGAAGCAGACGCTGTTAATAGCGAATTAACCCTAGAATATCAAATTGATGACATGCCAACTGAAACACTCCCCCTGTTTCGAGTTACTGAACAGGAAAAAGGTAAAGATTTTAGTATTACTGTAAATCCAGAACAAAATAAAAGAGGCCCATACAACATCAGAGTGAAAGTTTCTGATCAATATGATCAAGAGTTCTCAGATACTATTAGCTTCGTGGTAAATAGTCCACCAACTTACACATTAACAAATACAATAAATACAGCATATGAAAAGGGAAAACAAATCCAAGTTAAAGGAAATCTTAATGATGATTCAAAAGCAAAAGTTCAATATAAGCTAGACAATGGAGAGTTTGTTAAGTTAGAATATGTAGTTTCAAACAGTCAGCCTCAAGAATTCAATTTCGAGATTGATACTGCTTCATTATCTTTAGGACAACATACACTTGTAATCTCATCAATTGATGAGGATAATGCTGAACAAACAACACCAATTACTAAAGAATTCTATGTTAGATCAACTCCAAAAATTAGTGATGTAACATTGGATTCCCAAAAATACGGAAAATCTCAAGAAATAGAAGTTACATTTAGCATTAACGACCAAGATCCTGATGATGAAATAACAATTTATGCCGTTTTTTCAAATTCAGCTAAAAAGAATATTGGTAAGACAACGCCAATAATTGCTGGTAAGAAATTGAAGTTCCAAATACCTTCAGATGTAAACATTGGCTCAACCTCAATAGTATTTAGAGCTGTTGATAAATATCAACTTTCATCACAGTCTGAACCAATTAATATTGAGATTGTCACGACACCAGTAATAACAATTACAGGAACAGATAAGAACGATTATGTCCCTGGAGAAACTGTCAATGTAAACATTAACGTTGAAGATGCAAACGGAGATGTCACTGTTTCTGCAAAATTGCCAGGGCAATCCGAACCATCTGCAATAACAAGAACAGGAAATGGAGCTTCATTTACAATCCCTGATAATCTTGCACCAGGAACACATGATATTGAAATTCAGGTTAAAGACAGCAACGGTGTTCCATCAGAACCGAAAACAATCAAAATCAAAATATATGCAAAACCTGCTCTTGAATGCAGAAGAACAGCAACAGAAACTGTATATACTGGTGAAGACTTTTCTGTTGTGTGCACATTTAGCGATCAAGATGTTGGAGATAGAATTACAATCAGAGGTAAAGCTGCTAATAAAGACATGGTAAATGAGCATTCATTTGATACAACTCCTCAAAATCATGATGAAACATTAGCATTCACTCTTCCAGAAACAACAACACGGGGAGATGTAAGTATTGTATTAACTGCAACAGATTCACATGGATATTCAACCCAATCCTCTCCAATTGTAATCAAATGTGAAGTCAGACCAACAGTGACTGACACTAGAACTGATAAAAATGATTATGCACCAGGGGAAACAGTCAAAATAGCATTCACAACAGCAAATACTGAAGGAACTATCACAGCAGAAGGAAAATTTGATGATAATGACACAAAAATACCTATTACAAAGACAGATGAAGGAGGTAAATTTATGATACCGGAAAATCTTCCTCCAGGACAACATACATTTAAATTTGTTGTCAAAGATGAAAATGGAGATTTATCAAAAGAAGTTGATGTTCCAATTACAGTTTATGCAAAACCATCGCTTTCTTGCTCAAGATCATCTTCACAAACTGCATATGCCGGAGAAGAAATTCAAGTTTTATGCAATTATGCTGATGAAGATATCGGTGATAAGCTCACAATCAAGATTAATGTAGGATCTCAAACTTTGAGTAATGAATACTTTTATGATATTACTGAAGGGGAAAAATCTGTAGTTGCAATCCTTTATTTCACAATCCCTAAGAATTCGGAAACAGGAGACCAAAATGTTGTTTTTACTGCAACAGATAAATATGGATATTCAGCCAATTCAACAATCAACGTAAACATTGCAAAAAGGCCAACAATTTCTTTAGGATCTAATGATAAAGATGATTATGCTGCAGGAGAAACAGTCAATATTGAATTTAGAACAGAAAACACTCATGGAGAAATTACTGTTGAAGGAAAATTCGAAGGAACTAGCGTAAATATTCCAATTCAAAAGACAGATAGTGGAGCTCAACTCACCGTCCCAGAAAATACAGCTCCTGGAACTCATATTCTCAAGTTTGTTGTTAAAGACGAAGCAGGACATACATCAAAAGAAGTTAGAGTTCCATTGACTGTCTATTCAAGACCAATGATCAGTTGCCCAAGAGAATTAAAAGATCCTGTTTTCGTTGGTGAAGAAGTATCTGTTGTTTGCACAATTAGTGATAAGGATCAAGGTGATAAAATTACTGTTACTGGAAAGATTGGTGGTGCAGATATCTCAGGTCAATATATTTTTGATGCATCCGCTGAAGGTAAGAATGAAAATCTGAAATTTACTGTTCCCGAAAATGCAGAAACCGGTAATAAACAGATTATTTTTACTGCAGTTGATACTCACCAATATCGTTCTGAGTCAGCACCAATTACAGTTACAATTATTAAAAGACTAGTTATTAATTTTGAGTCCAATGATAAGAATAATTATGCCCCAGGAGAAAAAGTTAAAATCAAATTTTCAACAACAAACACAAATGGGGAAGTAACAGCTAATGGAAAATTTGATAATACAGAAACCTCAGTTACAAAGACAGAAGATGGTGCAGAATTCACAATCCCAGAGAATACTCAGCCAGGAACACATACTTTCACATTAACAGTTAGAGATCCTGAAGGCCAAGAATCAAAGGAAGTTCCTATTACCATTATCGTTTATGCAAAACCAGTACTCAAACTTAAAGGTTTAGATAAAGGAAAATTAATTCCTGATGAAGAATTTATAGCTACATGCATTTTAAGTGATAAAGATAAAGGAGATGAAGTTAAAATTACAGTTACCGTTAATGGAGAACCAGTATCAGATGCATTTTCATTCAGCACAACTCAAAATGAAAAGGAAGTAAAACTGAAGTTCAAGATTCCTGCAGGCACATCTGTTGGAGGCAAAAGATACAATCTAATTGCCACTGATAAATATGGATACAAATCTGAACAAGTATCATTCACAATTACCGTTGTATCAAAACCAAAGATCGTGTTTAAGAATAAAGATAAAGAAGACTATAATGCAGGCGAAAATGTTACAATGACATTCACAAATGAAAACACTGACACAACAAATAAGAAATTCACTGTTTATGTCAAGGTAGGAGATAATGAACCAAGAGCAATTCCAGTTGAAGTCCGTCCAGAATTCAATGTTTCCTTTGAACTTCCAACAAATATGAGTACAACATCACCGGATATTTCTATCTATGTTGTTGACGAAAATGGAAAGCCATCTGATCCGATTTCATTTAATAACTTCAATATAAACATGCCACCAATGATTGAACTTCTCGAATTCGAGAAAGAAAATTACGTTGGTGAGGAAGAATTAGTAATAATGTATAGAATTTATGATCTTAACCAAGATGAGCACGCAGATGTTTATGTTAAAGTTGATGAAAAAGAATTCGTCAACGCAACACGTGTAAAGACAAACAATTTATGGGTGAATTATAGTGTTACTATTAAGCTCGCAAAAGATATTGAAAGTGGAGAACACAATGTTACAATATTTGCCAAAGATAAGAAACAATGTCCATCTTTGATGTCATCAAAGAAATTTAATGTTGCTGAAAAGCTTATCGAAAATAAGCCAGGTATTGTCAAGAAACTTCTACCACTCTGGATTATCTTAGCTCTTATTCTTCTTCTTGTCATTATTGCTCTCATTATTTTCTTCATCATATATAACAAAGATGACAAGCAGGAAGAAGAAGAAGATGCACCTGATAATTACAAGGATGAATTATCTGGTGATTTAGACTCAGGTGAAACAGTTGATATCTCAGATAACGATGTTGATAAGCGTGAAACTGTATAAATTTTAACCTATTTTTATCTTTGATTGTTAAATTAAATATAAATTTCATCTTTATTATATATAAAAGAATGAATTTTGAAACTTATGCATATGATCATTGGTGGGGACTCTGATAACTTATTTCGACAATTTTCAGAATTAAATAAATTGAATAATTTCGATTTAAAGTTAAAATATGCATTTACATTAGCAAGCATAAAGAATGGTATTACTTTTATGGCTCATTTTTATCAATATCATATGAATGAAAAATAAATTCAGTAAAACAGGCTAATTAGATTTCAAACTGTAAAGTAAAGGTTCAAACAATACCATACATTAGAGTTATGAGTATATATGATAGGAAAATTCTACGTTATTTTTAGAATGATCGATAAAATTATGGAAAATCCGAATTACATACATCCATATAGAATAAGAATCTCCATTTCAGACGCTTAATGTCCAAGTTCAAGACTAATAATTAACTTTTCTTCTGTTAATATCAAAATAAGGTAAATTTTGGGTGAGTTATGTGCCGAAATGGTTGTTTATGTTTTGTAAAATAGTAACAAATGCTTATTCTTCAATAAAATCAATTCTATGTCTCCATAGAAATTGTAAGGATGTAACATTATTTTTCTTTGAAAAATTTCTCTAAAGCAGATAAAGATTCAAATTCATAATTTTTAGTTTAAAGCAATTTGGTACCATTCCGGAACATGAACCACAATTCTCAGAAAATAGTATCGTCAGGTTTACAGACCCCATGTATTTGGAAAATGCCAATGAAATTCATTTTACCATATTCATAATCCTGTTTTGACTTTGAATAACATATTATTAACATTGGGATACCCTATGTTTAAATTTATTTTGTGAACGCCAATTTGAGAAATCTACGAATTTAATTGAATGGATTCAAAATTTTTGGTCATTCACATTATTCCGAATGTCTCGCGCTCCCTCGCTCGCTCCAAGCCTTGCAGTTGATTCAGTCTTTGTTGAATCAGAAGAACTTACAACTCCACTCGTCAAAGGTTACGTACCAGACGACAATGGCAAGTTCGATTTCGACAAGATGCTTGAACAGATGAAGTACTGTGGTTTCCAAGCTACCAACCTTGGCCTCGCCATAGATCAGATCAATGAAATGCTCCACTATGACTACGAACCACAACCAGGAGATGAAAAGAAGCTTTTCGGCCTTGGCGGTGGTGTTGAAGGTGTCAAGTACAAACCACGTGCCTGCAAGATCTTCCTCGGCATCACATCAAACCTCATTTCCTCTGGTATGAGAGATTACATTCGCTTCCTCGTCAAGCACGCCTTAGTTGATGTCGTTGTCTGCACAGCCGGTGGTATTGAAGAAGACTTCATCAAGTGCCTTGCTCCAACACACATGGGCGAGTTCTTCCACGATGGTCATGATCTCAGAAAGCGTGGTTTGAACAGAATTGGCAACCTCATTGTCCCTAACAAGAACTACTGCCTCTTCGAAGACTGGATCATGCCAATCTTAGACAAGTGCCTCGAAGAACAGAACACACAAGGAACAAAGTGGACTCCTTCCAAGTTAATTCACCGCCTCGGCCTTGAAATCAACAACGAAGACTCAGTCTGGTACTGGGCTGCTAAGAACAACATTCCAGTTTACTCACCAGCTCTCACTGATGGTTCAATCGGTGATATGATTTACTTCCACTCTTACAACAACCCAGGACTCGTCCTTGACCTCGTTGAGGACATCCGCGACATGAACAACGAGCCCCTCTGGGCCACAAAGACAGGCTGCATCATCCTCGGTGGTGGTGTCGTCAAACATCACATCATGAACGCTAACTTATACAGAAATGGCGCAGACTTCGTTGTTTACGTCAACACAGCTCACGATTTCGATGGCTCTGACTCTGGTGCAAGACCTGATGAAGCTGTTTCTTGGGGTAAGATTTCCCTTGAAGCTAAGCCAGTCAAAGTCTACGCAGAAGTTACACTTGTTCTTCCATTACTTGTTGCAGGATCATTCTCTAAATTCCTTGCTGAGTAAATTTGATTCTATATACTCTCCAAATTAATATATTTTTAAATCTATGTGCTCTTCAAATCTTTCAAATCCAATAATATTGTGATGTAACAGCTTCTGAATAAATAATTCTGTAGTAGTAGTTAAATTTACAAATAAAATTATCGTAAATAAGCAGTAAATGGATGAAATGATATGTTTAACTATCATGCAAAATCATGTCATTAATGTTATCTGTATTGGAAGTTGGATTCTTGAGTGAGTTAGCGAATAAATTTTGATGAAAGGAAATTTTCCAAACCTTAACAAAAGCATTCGCTCGTATTTCTAGAAATTAAGTAAAGACTGTTACTCTCACTAAGCTAGAGGATGAGGAATTGGATTTTTCGGATTGAGTAATAATATTGATCAGCGATAAATGTTCTCAGATCTCAAATAATGATTTCAAACCATATAAGAAATTAGAATTTTAGATTCATATATCATGATCAAATTTTTTTGTTCGAAATCTTGAGAGTTATGACTATAATAAAAATTGCTTAATATAGAAAGCTTCCAACTAATGTCTTATAAAAGAATTCAGATAAAAGATGTCGCAGTTCAATCCGCTCAATGAATTGTAAAATATCTCTCAGAAAATTGTCACTTTTTGTGCTACTTTACATGAAGCGCTCTCCGCATGACATCTTCAACGAAGCTGAAACAAAGATGAACCAACTGACTCTTGAAGGTAAAACACGATTTTTTCTGGCTTTAGACCTTTACAAGCAAGCAGGACTTGGCTTCAAGAATGCTCACAACTTCCAGAGGGCTGGTGATGCATATAGACGTGCTGTTGATTGCTCATTCCATCTAAACAACCAGAACGAAGCCGCAGCTAATGCTGCTGAAGCTGCCAGACTTTATCTCAAATCTCCAGCTACACAAAAGAAAGCTGAGGAAGCATTAAATGTTGCAGTAAAATTCCTTTGCAACAATGATAACTTCATGGAATCAGGCAAATTGCTTACAGAATTCGCCCAAACTTATGAAAATTCCAGAAAATACGATCAGGCTGTCAATGCTCTCAAATGGGCAAGCAAGATATACTACGAGAATAACCTCGAATTCGATTCAACACGTGTTGATCGTCAAATTGGCCAAATCCTTGTTTCACAACAAAAATGGGCAGAAGCAGGAACTCATTATACAGAATTTGCTCTCAAATTAAGCAAAGGTGGAACAACAATCGAGCCATGCGACCTTGCAGGCAAAGCTGTCATGTGTACGCTTTTAGCAACTGGTCCTTTACAAGGAAGAGAACTTGTAGGAAAATTTAACACGAATGTTAGTGGATGGACAACGTCGAATGATTACAAACTAGTTAATGACGTTATTGACGCCACAATTTCGCATCTTGAATCTAAAATTCAAAAAGCAGTTCAGGACTACAGAAATGAGAAGCAAAATGATAAGATTATGGCTGATATTCTTATTAGATCTGTTGATATACTCAAAACCAAACATGTTTAAATTGAAAATTAATTTTTTTCCTCTTGCTGAATAAATATGTTCCATATTTAATGAATTACGCGAAGTTTATTACTTTTTATAATCAAAATTCGAAAAATTGTTTTTAATATTCCTTTATTGTTGGTGCTCACACTCTATGTTCCTTAAGTTGGTTTACTGTCAAAAGAATGAGCAATATAAACTAGATATTAAAGCAAAAAGTATGTTTTTCCAGCCTTTCCGATGTTAAAATTATTGTTCCAAAATGTAAAAGTGACAATATTTAAAATATATTGATAAAAATTATTTAGAATGTGTGTGGATTACGGTAAATACACTCTTAAATTTTGACGTTTTCTTTGAAAATTTCGAAAAGTGACTTTTTCGTTTCTCAATCTTAAAAAGACATTTATGAGTATCCCCAACTTAAAGGTTGGGGAAAATATAAGCTCATTAAGCAATATTTCGGATACAATGAAGAATTTTCTTGAGAGGGTTGTAGATATCCATAATTTAATCGATCCTCCAAAATTTTACAAAGAAAAACTTGCAAAAATTAAAATAAACCCTAATAATTCCGATATATATCAAGAGATAGCTCATGTTCTACAATCCGAAATCATTGATTGCAAACAAAAACTCGAATCAATTTCAAATAAAATCAATACACAGCATCCTTTTGTTGAAACTGCACATTATTTTGTTGGTATTGTGACAAAGATTACAGAACGCTTACATTTCCTCAGCAAATTAATGCTTTCTGATGATGAAAATTCAAAAATTTTGTCTGCATGTGAATATCTCATCAATAAATACAAATATTCATTTTATATAGAATCACAGCTATCTCATCTTGACATTTATACGCATCTACGAGGCAAAAACATTCTTGATGCCGCTTTGAATCGTTCTTATGCAGATTTGATTAATGCCAAGTCAAGAAAATTCAAATATAATAAAACTATGGACGAAATACGTAGTGAAATATTTAAAATTTCAAAAAATATCGGAATTATTCCGAATCTTGATGAAAATGATGGTAAAACATTCTTTTATGTTGCAGAAATAGAGTTTGGTAAATCAATTCAAGCGATAAATCCATTCGATCCTGATTTTTCTCAATCGAAATCTCATTTTTTAAATTCTGAGTCGCTTTTTTCAAAGCAGCATGCGAATGTTGAGATCATTCTTAACTTGATACTCAATCCAGATACAAGTAGTATCTGTAAACTAACAGAAAACGATGATTTTGGAAATGATGGAAAATTTGGAGATCCGATTATTGGAGCATACAGGTATCTTCGATTTATTAAACAGAGAATGTTACTGCATGATATAATGTCAACTGTTAAGAGAAATTACGAAATTTTAGGATATATCATGAAAAAAGAGCACTTAGAAGTTCACCAACTGTTTCAAACATATTTCCGTGTAATATGGGAGAACTTTCATACATCATGTGCTAATTTAATGCATGAAAATCCCGATTCTGATCTTGGATCTTATATTATCAGTCTTTTTGAATCGCAATTAGCATTTGAGAAGGGTAAAAGCAATCTAACTAATGTGATCAATATGATAGCCTCGAATTCAAAGGATTCCGTATACGAAAATTTTATTGAAAAAATCATTAACTACAAAATCATATTTACTAAGTATTCTGATATCACTGATATTGATTATCTCAGAATAGGTGCTGATCTGTTTAATTTGGCCTCTAAAAGGCTTCAAACTCTCATAGATTATCATATTTTGAATACAAGAGTGATTTCTCATTTAATAGGAAGCACAGTAGACTTCCCAATAACTAATTTCAATGGGAATCATATTCCTACTTCAATTTATGAGGTTTTTCCTGATTTGGATTCTTTGAAAATTTTATTGAAGGATTATCAAAGCATTTCTGAAGAAATAGCAGAGGCTTTTAGTATATCTCAGAATTTTTACCCTTATTTGTACTACGGATTTTGGAAATCCCTTCAAATTGACAAGAAAAATTTTCCATTTTTTCCAGAAACTTATTGCAAGCTTAAAAATTGCTCTGATTCTGTTATATCGTTATTCCAATGTCCATACATTGACTCAATTTCGAAATATGATCGATTTGAACCTCAAATTTTTTATCAATTTATAAAATCATGTTTCGGATTGAGATTGGAGGTCATTAGAACTATTAACTTGATAGATAAGTATAATGAGCAGCTTAATGAACATAATATTGTAAGTTTTGCTCTGAATTCTGAATTTAATTTTTCTGACACTGAAAAAGTCAGTAAAATGATGACAGAAGACGGTATTGAATTATTTCAAGATATGCTGATGGCTCAGAAAAGGTATAATCTATATTTAGAAGCAATAATTATTCATAATAACGTAAATTACAATAAAAAGTACATAGAAGACAAATTATATGGAGGAGATAGGGATAGAAAGATCCTTTATCAGCTCTTTTTCAACACAATTCATGTTGAAAATCGAAAATTTCAATATTTGAAGAAAGATTTGTTCCAAAACTTCGAAAATTCAGAAGAATTTGAAAGATTTATTACACCTTTGATACTCCAAAACGAACTTATATCAATAACAACAATAGAAAGGTCATTTTTAACTTTTGATCCAGATCCAAACAGACTAATACGAGATGGAAGGAAACTACTTGTTTCTGATGGTAAAATAAATACATTGGTGTTCCCTGATCAATACGAAATCATGAAAATTTTCGATACAAATTTATTAAAGTCAGGAATTGATTTTACAGCGGAAAGATTAGGTATAATGTATTTCATGAGATATATCTCTAACATACAGGTAGAAAACAAGCAACTTTCGCAGTCAATTTTGAAAAATCGAGTAAATTGGGATTCAAAACTTCTTGACCAATTAACTGTTGATAGCTGTTCATGGTTTAAAAAGATCTTGTTTTTGAAGCTTCAATGTGCTGTTTTGAACTCAATTCAAAATCAATACAGCAAATACGGGGGTTCTGAGCTTTACCAAGACTACGTTAAGGAAATTTATACAACAGCGAAGAACTGTGTCAACTTTTATGTCCATGAAAACTATAGTCCTTCGTGGATTGATAAAAATTTTAATAATTGTAGCTTAGTTGCACGTAATGAGCTGTTAGTTGAATTTTCTACGATAAAATTATTACCAATAACGAAGGAACATTACATAGAACTCTTAAATCAGTACACAAATTCAATTTTGTATCTTATCTTTCCACAGATACAAAATGGAAGCAAGAAACCAGAAGAGTTATCAATATTGAGCGTATTAGATACCACATCTTTCCAATTTACCCGTGGAAGTAGGATTTTGAGTTCACAATCTCAAACAATTCAATTTAACAAGGGATTAAAGACTCAAGAAGAAGCAGTAATATACATCATTGATTCTATTATTAATCCCAAGTCTGTAGATAAAGCAAAATCTAACGAATCTGATGATTTCGAATTCCAAATCATCAAAAAACCGGAATTTTATAGGAAATCCATCAGAATTGAGCCTTTGAGATCGTACTATAACACAAAAAGCTCCGAAATAAATCGCCAATTTAACCAAGAACTCGCATATGCAGATCATTTCATTAGAAGAAAGATTTCGGAGCTTATGACCTCTCTAAATCCTGCTCTTGTTGACGAATTTACGTTTTCTTTAGGATTTTTGGAGGAATTATTGAACCCGATTAATTCATTATTGACTTTAACGACAGATATCTCTCCTATGTGCCTTATCAAGACATGGACTGCATATTTGTCTAACATAATCAGCGATACAAACGAGAACGAAGTCAAAATCATCGTTTTCGACGCGTTTCGAAAAGTTGTTTTAGACACAGTTCAAGATACATGTTCTTTTGATAGCGCTCTTAAGCTCAAACCACAACTACTTGAGCTAAACAAGCTAAATGACCAGTTAAATAGGATGATGAAAGCGGAATCAGTTGATAAATGGAAAGTTGAACGTCTAAAAAGGTCAGAACTTAGAAACCTTGTTACAGACCTTCGAAACTCAATAAGAGAAGCCAATAAAGAGTACTCTGAAACGCGAGAAAAGATGGTTGACATCGGAATTCAAAATGTCGAAAAATTTAACGATGAAGAAGAACAAAAGAAGTTGCAAAGTATTGATCTCAAGCAATACTTGGATGCTCGCAGACAGAAAATCAAGCAAATCGCAGAAGAAAACGAAGATTCGATAAATCAGATCAAAATCTTAAGGATTTTGAACGTTTTAGTTCCAATTGGCATCAAAAAGCGTTTCACGGCTCTCATCCAAAACAGAGAAACACAAGTTCGATCAATGACAGGTGCTTTGTTATGGCTAAGAAAATCTTCCATCACAGATACATCCGAAATCAACACGAACATGAGGAAAGACTTGAACGCATTGACAAAAGCGGAATTCCTTGTTGAAGAACTGAAAGAAGAGCTTGATTTGGCAAAACACGACAGTGCAAAACTCGAAAACACCAATGGAATAATACAAAAAGAAATCACTGAAATAGAGTCAAAAATAAAAAGTTTAGGTTTGGTCGACGATAAAGGAAATTCTCAAATTTTGGCCCAGATAATTTCTAAGCAAGATGAACTGGAAAACATGATAAATGACAGTGAACTCGTAGATGATATTGTAGAGCACCAAGTACGTGAGCCACACCAAAAGGCCGAAGCAATAAGAAGGCAAATACAGCTTTCAAACTATAACAAAATTAAACATGAAAGTGAAAATAATTTGGTCATAAAGAAAATTCAAAAAGAAAATGATTTGATCAAAATTGAAAATGAAAGAATTAAACAGAAGATTGATGCAATGATAAAAGACAAAGAAAATGAAGTTTATAGAAGATCTCATGAAATTGCAAAGAAATTTACTCCTCAAAAGGTTATTGTCAGCCCAAGAAGGAGTGTAAAGCCCAAATATAAAAAGGTATAGATGAATCAATAAAAAATTTTGTTTGTATTTTAGTTTATAGAAAAATTAAAATTATTTTTTCTTACATTTCGTTCTTGAATGCTTAATAATATTAATAATAGTTTAAGAATCGAATATATATCATTTATTAAACTTCGACAGCTTTGTTACACATTTTCAAAGAAACTCAATATCATGAAAAATATCCAAACTAAAAAGGTTAAGGTTATACCCTCGACAAAGAAAGTCAAATGATCCAATACTTGCATTAAATAATCTTCAGTTGGCCTCATTTCTAGTTTTCTTAATCCAGGAATACATTCTAATTATTTTTCCAGGTTTAATCCTTTAAACTCATGTTCTAATCAATTTCCTATCATATATATTATACACTTATTATAGCAAAATCTTTTCAAATCCTTCCCATGGAAAGTTTACCAAATTATTTAGCTCATTTCCTACTTTGAAACATTCTATATTGGAGAGTCATATTTTTATATATCATTATTTGGTATTTCACCAAGTTATTCAAGTATTCTGGCTTATATTTCTCCATTTTAAATTTTATTTTATGTTTTGGCATTGATAGAAAGCATCCCCTAATACCAAATCGTTTGAAATTCATTCATAATCAAATATAGATAAATTTGTTAATATGTAATAATAACATTGAATTCTTTATCATAAATCACTCATTACCACACACATATGATATAAGATCAACTAATATAATCTATATTTTCATTGTTACTCCTTGATTCAATCTCCATGGGACACCCTGAGTTGAGTGACTTCTCTTTTGGGATAAACATTTGATCAAATGAACACCATTTGTATTTGTGTTTATCAATATTTTAAAGAAACGACAAATGTATTAGGCCATCAAGAGAGGAATAGAAGGAAATTGATTTGAAATTACAAGGTATGGAAATAAAGACTAAAAATTAGCTCTTTAGCAGCATATCATGATTTACAAGATGTCCAACATGAAAATAATTGAAATATATCTAAGGCTAACAATATTTGTATGACCTTATAGAGCAAAACCCTCTAAATTATCACATTCTAAAAGTAAAAATGTTCTAAATGTGATACTCTTAGTCTTTTATCAAAAAAAGGGGTGTTAAGGGTGCACACGAGAGGATCATGTAAACTTCAGAATTTAGAACCTTATTTTTAGGCATTATCTTGGCTACCTATTTAGGCTCGAAAAGCAAAAAATATCAAAAAATACAACTTGAGTCCATTATGACCCTTTCATTGAGGTAGTTTTTATCCGCTAGTATTTTCCCTTTGAATCTCTTTACAATTCGAAATCAAATTCAAACCTCAGTAGAAGAAAGGAAGAATCGACTTACTACGGTTGTAATACGAATAAATACATATATTTAATTATTTTTATTTACATAATAATTGTTTGAAGCTCATATTCCAACAAATTTTTAAATAAAAACATTAAAATGTTGAAAATGTTCATATATTTTAATAGGGTTTTGGCACTTTATTGAGGAATTACTACATACATAGTCGAACTGAACTTGATATTTTGAAATTTAAATTATTTATCAAAATTAAAATTTAACTTGAAATTTATAATTATTTAGTCATATTTTGCATAATTCTAAGTAGATTTTGTAAAAAATCAAGAAAGAAAAATTTTAACGTGCTTTATTTTTTCTTTTTTATAATAATACATATTATTATATAATTAACATATTCATAATGTTTCACCCTTTCAAAAATATAATCCTCCTCCTCTCAAATAAACGTACATACGGGTGGCCTCTTTTTTCAAAAAATTAAAATTTGAAATTTTGGGCTCAAATATTAGAGATTTTTTCAACCTTCAACGATATATGTTGTCTATATCAGACCTCCTTTCTTTTTGATACTTAACATTGTTCCTAAATCTTAGCCGTTAAGGCTGTTCTGAAAATATTTTTTTTCGAAAAAATTCGAAAAAAATTCTTAAAATTCAAAAATCCCTTAATTCCTGAGGATTTTTTTAAAAAACACATTAAAAAAGTCACTTTTTGCCCCATCTAATGAGATTTTTTTTTACAATTTTTTCCCCCTTATTTTTCAATTTAGATATGATTTTAAGCTCTCCAAATTGAAGTTTACCTGATGTTTCTTAGTTTTTATGATAATAAAATGTTGCAAAGTTGAGTTTGGATTCAATAAATTTAAGAAAATTTTATTTTACAATGAAATTATAAGAAAGGATGTTTTTATCCTATGTCAAAGAGAATACATTTGTAGATCCCGACTTTTGACATGGTTGAAAATTCCAAAAAAAAAATTCAAAATTTAAAAAAAAAATTAAAAAATATAAATTTCATGTTAAAAAATGATTTTTGAAATTTTTTTGGAAAAATAGAATGTCATATTTTTATGTTTTATTGCTATTTTTTACGAAATCAATAAAATATTTGTTAATTTGGCTGAGATTATAAATAAAATCTTTCTAAATCTTGCAATTGATTGCTAAAATCTGTTTTATGTATTAATTGGCATTGAGATTCGTTATAAAAGAATGCGAATTATTTTGTATGAGTAAACGTATTTTGTAAAATTTCAAATTCTCTTCTCTCATTACTTACCTTAGATCTCTCGGCTTTTAGCTCTCAGATTTCGCTCATAGAACTCAGGTTTTAGTTATGTACTCATAGATGTATCATTACTGCCCGCAGATCTCTCATTACTACCTTACTAACCAGATCTTAACTCTCATTACTACCTTACTAACCAGATCTTAACTCTCATTACTACCTTACTCATCAGATCTTAACTCTCATTACTACCTTACTCATCAGATCTTAACTCTCATTACTACCTTACTCATCAGATCTTAACTCTCATTACTACCTTACTAACCAGATCTTAACTCTCATTACTACCTTACTAACCAGATCTTAACTCTCATTACTACCTTACTAACCAGATCTTAACTCTCCGACCTTACTAACCAGATCTTAACTCTCATTACTACCTTACTCATCAGATATCTAATTATTTACATATGATTTCTCACATCTCACTCAAGTCTCATTACTTACCCTATCTTTTTAACCTTTTCTGATAATTACTGAAATAACTAAATCCTTTTTTTAGTTTAATTCTGATATTAAATTTTTAAAATCTCTTTAATTTTTTGAACTACGCCTTTAATTTGTAATTGCCGATTTCACAGATTTGAACCATTTAATAAAATAACATTATTCAACTTAATCATATCAAACATGGTAGTTTGATTTTCAGATCTACATTTTAAAAACCTCTTTATTACTTGAGTTATACTTTTATTATATAATACCTGAGTTCATAACTGAAAACTCTTAATTAGAGTACAATATTCAACTTAATCATAACAAGATTTGTTGAATTTCAAATTTGATTTATATCTTCCATCACTTAAAACTCTCACAGCTTACAATATAAGCTAAAAAGTATATTTTCATAGTAATAAAATTAATTAATTATTAAATTTTTTACTTTTTCCTTTCCAAAACTAGAAAAAAAGGAAGGGAAAAGGGAAAAAGAAAAAAAAGAAGAGAAAAGAAGAAAAAATAATAATGAGCATATTATATAATTGTGGTCATAGGCCGAGTGGCGTGGAAAGGATGTCGCCCTTCGGGCTCCACCCTTTCCACGCCACGAGGCCCGATTTTTGGCCACTTTTTTGATTTTGGCCGCGTGCCAGCTCCTGGCAGGCGGCCCGCAAAATTGTGCCAGTTTGTACAACCCTAATTCAAAAATCCCTTAATTCCTGAGGATTTTGGAAAAAAGTTTTTACATGAACATGTGTATATTATATGAAGTATATTGATAAGGTAAAAATCAAATTTTATTGCATATTCATCGAGAAAATAAACTAACGAATCCCTCAAAATTGAGAGGGTAATCCTCCTCCTCTTAAATAAACGTACATACGGGTGCACCCTTAATAAAAACCACTAATTTTTAAGGTTATGATCTTAAAAATTTTTGAGGCAAACACAAATCGAAGCACAGTTAAAAATCGATCGTTATTAAGAAAATTGTAATCATAGACTCTTATAAGTGAGTATTTAATGTTATTAACAAAATTATTTTTGAATCAGATTTCAACTCAAATTTGATTTATTGATTTGTTTTTAAAGAGTTCGTGAAAGTAAATTGTTTTTTAAAACCCCAAAGCTATTGTCAGATTTTTTGAATACTAATCTCGTTTAATTAGTCATTGCTATGTATCAATAATGAAGTAATAATAAGACAATTTTAACAGTCAGTAAATATTTTGAATTTGTTCTCAAATTTGAAAAAAGAGTAATGATCGACTTTTCTATTGGAACTAGAATATGATTGGATTATATATTCATGATTGACCTGATTGTTAAAATTCAAACCATTCAAATTAACAAAAGTGACAATAATTTTGTAAATGATCTGTTTTTTCTTTTGTTTTTTAACCCAGACAATTAAATCCTTCGATCTTCCAAATGTATTAGAGTATGAAGATGCGCCCATCTTCGTAAAAGGTATGGATGAATCAACTTCAGATATTTATCAATATTATGAACAAGCGACTACAATCGAAGATAAAGAAATCAGTTCAACAGGAAGGACAAATACATTTTACAAATGCGAATTAACAATTAAAGGCCGAACAAAATTTTCAAATAACTTTGCTTTTGGTGCAGGAGTTACATCCAGCTCTGGTGGCGCCATATTTCTATGCGAAAGTATATTCCAAGCGCATTCAGATTCACCTGATTACCACATAATCTTTGAATCCAATCAAGCTGCTTTAGGTGGAGCCATTTGCGCCAAGGCATCAGCTTTGCTACTTTACAACACCACATTTACATCAAACATGGCGTACAAGCACGGTGGCGCCATTTATTTCCAGTCAACATTCAAACCAACAGAAAGCAGCTATCTTTCTCCACAAATGACACTTATTGCTGGCTGGCTTGAGTTCAGACAAAACATTGCCTCAGAAGTTGGCGGTGCCATAGCTATTTCTTACGCAGTTGAAGTTTACATTGAACTTTCCAAGTTCTACAGTAACAAATGCTCCTTCACGGGTGGTGCCATCTCCACAGCAAACTGCGATTCCCTCAAACTCCACAGGAACTGGTTCGCCTACAATACAGTTAATGCCTCAACTACAGAGTACCGTTTGACTACAGATACTAAGACCAAATTACGCGGCGAGACTATTGGTGACGATTATGCCAATACAGTTATCCCTAATCATCAATATGGAAGAGGTGGCGGTGCAATTTACTTTTTCTCTGACTCCAGGAAGGGTTCATTGCCAAAAGGACCAAAGACTTACGAGCAGCGTATCATCCAATCCTACCACTGCTGTTTCTACAAAGATTCAGCAACAACAACCGGATCATCTTTGGGAGGAGGCGCTGGTAACGAAGTTCTTCTTGATGGCTACATAGAATACGTCACATACGATGACTACATGTACGGAGCAGTCCCAGAAGTCGAGAGAGATGAAGCAATTTCAAAAGTTAATCGTCCTTTGAATGGAAACTGTTCCGTCAACTACTTACAGATGAGAAACACTACATTAGAGCCATGGGGTATTTGCGAAGTAATTACAACCGATTTACCAGGAATTGGAGATGCTCCTAATATTTACAACGAAACGAACATTTCATACATCAATGCAACTGAAACAGAAAATGGAACTGCATATGATATTCCAAATCCAACCAATTTCGTTTACTATGCCACTCCAATTACAAAATTCAACACTCCAATCACACAGAGACAGTACAGATCAGCTGCAACAGTTATTGGTGCTTCGTTGAAGTCAGGAAAGATATTCCCAGGCTCTTATTCCGTTCCTTTACTTTATCCTAATTTCACCATCACAATTCCTAAGCCAACACCTCACGAAACAGTTGCAACGACACCACATAATACTCCTAAGTACACACCTTCACCATCTGACCTCATTATCATTGTCACAGTCGGACCAACACTTAATCCAAACATTCCAGAAGTCCAAGCCAATACAGACACCACCCATAACAAGAAGACCAAATTACTTGGACTTATCCTTGGTATTGTTGGTGGATTACTCGCTCTCATCGCTCTTTCAATCTTCCTATTCTTGTACTTCAGAGAGAAGGATGAATCAACAGAGGATTCGGCCTTGTCACTCCAGGAAGAAACAGTTCTCACCGCTAAGGATCTTTCGTCTGCTGATGTCACGATTACTTATACTAACCCATTATGGACAACAGGTATCACTGAAACTGATGATCCATTCGTCGATGATTTCCAGGAACAAGAGAAAATCGAAAACTTCTTCGAGCAGAAAGATCTCAGATAAACCTGTTCAATATTTTATTTTCATTACTTCAAATGCGATTAAAAATTTTCCATTTAAACTTTTCATACATATTTGTTTATGAACTCTTTTTAATATTTGATTTTTTTTTTGTGAGTATTCATAGAAAAAAATTGAGTAATAGTATTCAATTTATTAATCCCAAAGAAAATACTTTCGGAAACTTATACCATAAATATTCAGTCTAAGGTAGATTTAATTGATCCATATTTATAAGTTTAATCCATGTTTTAAAAAATATCACTATTATTAATAGGTATTAAATGAGTTCCATGCTATAATTAATCACTATGTATAGCTCGTGTGCATCATGATTTGTATCTGTAGTTACATTTAATCATTTTATTCCGATTTTGATGACCTATATTTAAAGATAATATTAATTTTTATTCAATTTTGATAATTGTGCATGTGGCGACTTCATTGAAGAACATGTTAAACTGCTGGAACTTTATTCTCGGGATATGAAATCAGAAAATATGTTTCAAAAGCATCTTCTTTTGAAAATTTATCTTTGTATTGATCGGCTCTATTTGAATTCATATTTATTTTAATAAAAGATGTATGATTTTATTTTTGTCACTTTTCAAAGAATGGAAATAGAATATCTTGCAATTACTCGAAATAATATTATCCTAGCACAAAGTGCTAGTGGTGATGGTGATTTCGATATAGCAATTAATGAAATCCTGATATCAAAAGATCTCTCAAACGAAAGAATGAGAGTGGACAAGTTGGGATATCGATTTTTCATTCTTCATAATAAAAAAGAATTGAATGTTATTGCTGCTTGTGATGTGGATGCTCAAGCAGATCAAGCATTTCGTATTTTAGAAAGCATTCAAAAAACAGTCTTAACATCTTATGCAAACAAATGGGAAGTTTCATCATCGTTTGACCTACAGAGTGATTTTGAACCACAACTAAGAAACACAATTCTTGCGCATTCAAAGACTTTACAAATTCAGCCAACAGAAATCGATGATTCTGACCAAATACTGGCTAATTTGGGAAAGTCAATTGAATCAGATCATAAAAACGCACAGAATGAAAATACATTTACTGAAGTCTCTGAAGCTCATAATTCCCCATCATACACACGTCTAAAGCTTAAATTATTCGTTTCTAAGTACAGATGGATCTTCTTATCAATAATTATCCTTTTCATTCTTTTGATCATTTTAATTATCATGTTTATTACGCCATAATCATAGCATTCATTATAGAGATTGAGTTGTTTGAATAAAAGTTATAATTCTATCATAAATATTCATTTCAAAAATATTTTTTTTTTCTATTTTACTGAAATGAGGAAATTGGAAACTAAAACATACCTTGAAATTACATTTCGCTTATAACTACTTGAGAAACAATGGGTGTCTCTATTTTGTTATTCCGATATTTTATAAGAAATCTATCTATAACAATATGTACGCATCTAGATTTGTGTGCATAGAGAATGTATTTTCAATGAAAGAATATAATGCTATTTCCTTGGGAAAAGAACAATTTGAAATAACATGGGTGATTTTTCACCCAGCCATAAGGATCACACTTTTGAGAGTTTTACATGGCATTTGCCGGCAACCCCTGGGAAATAATTGAGAATAAAATCACCCACGTTATGAAAAATTTGTGCACTTAGAGACTTAAATCTGATGGATACAGTAAAAAATCATACTATATCACTATTTTTATATGATTGCTTTATTTTACCGAGTTATTTATGTTATTTAAAAAAAAAATTATATAAATTATAAAAAAGCCAAATATTTAAATACTGAGGAATTTATTTAGAAGAGTTCGAGATAATAATGAGAAACAAATACAGCGCCAGCGACTAATCCGAGAATAATTTCACGAACACTCCTCTTATTCAGTTGTATCTCCTTGTTCATCAATCTGATGTTGTCTGAATCTCCAACGATGGTTTCGCGTGGGAATTTGTAAAGTGTTTCATATATCAATTGATCAGTAACTTCCTTGAAAGCTTTGACACCGTCCTCGTGTTCTTTGTTGTATTCTACCCATCCGTCGACGAATAGCTTGCTGTCTTTGGCGTTTGCGACAAGTAATTCGTTCCTATATTGTGGCATATCGTCAAAGACTGTAATAATGGCAGATACGTACTTATCCATGCGTGTAATTCTCATTGCTTTCGAAAACTTATCGAAAACTTGTGAAATGTGTGTTGCGCGATTTGTTGACTTATCTCGAACGAGACGATCGATCACTGCGAAGTGGAATGCAGTTACTCTTGGATCGTGGTAATGTCTGAGTGCTCTCATGGCACAATGGGCACCGCAAACGGCTAATCCGCCTAATGATGCTTCTGGGTTAAGGAAAACTGGGCAAAACATCCTAAGAACGAATTTTCCTGTAGGTGGTTTGGCTGAATTTTGGATGACATACGCGTAAATGAATCCAAGAGCTGGAGCGGCGTCGATAAGTTCTTTTCCTTCAAATGTTAAAAGATCTTTTGTAAAAAGATCTGGTTCTCGTGAAAGAACGTCAGCAATTAAGAGAAGTGCGCCTTGTCCATTTTGATTCTTGGATTTTAATCCCTTAATTGTATCAACAAGAAGAGATCTGAGGTCTGGGGATTTGAAAGAAGAGTATTTAGAATAGGCATCATCAAGAACCTCTTGTGGAACGCGGTCATTGTAGCATTGGATTCTTGCTGTTAAGATATCATCGTATTCTTTAACAGTAAGGCCATCATATGTATCGAATTTGTTGTTGTAAGTGCGAGAACTCTTGCCAAAGCTGCGAATAAATGTATCGAAAGCCTTTGCAAGCTCTGGAAGAGTTTTTGCATTTTTAGAAATTTGCTGGAATTTGCCTAAATTTGATTTTGGATCAACTGGTATTTCATGTACTTCCTCTTCCTCCTCGACTTGAGCATCATCGGAGTCTGATTTGAGTGCATTGAACTGGTTAGTTCCTGTTTTCACTTTCGCGTACATTGTCACTTTTTATGGTAGGATATCCTGATTCATGGCATTTTAGTTTTCCTAATTAAATATGTTCTAATGAATATTTTAAATACAAAATTTTGAAGAAATAGATGGAATGCTAAGTGCTTCCAGATTGATTTTGAAGCGAGAATACAGAGTATACAGGGAATTGAGTAGACACCTGATTAAGAACGACTGGCAATCTCTAAATAAGTATTTTAGGAGAAGATGCGAACGAGCAAATATAATTTTTCTAAATATAGCTAATACCCAATAATCAATATAAAACCGATAATGACAATTGGCCATATTAGTAAAATATGATGTTACACTGCCGGATTCTCTATATTCATGAAAATCTAATTGAGATTTTGCCATTTAAATTCATTTTATCTGGTATTAAGCATAGCCAATGCAGCTTATGTAATAATGACTCTAAAATAATCAAAAAGAAAAGCCGATGTCCTTATTTCACATGATGCAAAAATTTGTGTAAAAGATAAACATGAACAAACAGCTCTTTATTATGCAGTAAAAAAATTATAAAGTAATAGCCGGAGTTCTTATTTCACATAGTACACAAATACAATTTTCACACTTAAGTTGTTTCCCTTTAAATGCATCTTTTTGTTTCGTAACAACAACGAATATAAAGGGAAATGTTAAAAAAAACATTTGTTCTTCATGGATAGAAAATATTTTTATTATTTTGCTTTCATTTCGCTGTATGAATCTAAGAAATTTTTGCATTCTTCTTGCTTTTCTGTCCCTTCAATTAAATTGAAAGAAGAAGACATAAACTCAAATAATTCATTACTTACTTCTACGACAGAGTAATATGTTGCAATAAATTTGAGGAAAGAAGAGCAAACATATAAAGAGTTATAACTTTGATTTTGGCATAACTTATATATTTCGAACATTCCTTTGCAGTGTAATTCATCAATTTCAACAAACCCTATTAGTCCGTAAATAATATCGCAAACAATATCAATAACATCAGAATCAAATGTATTTGATGTTTTTTCACATATCAAATCCAATATCAAATTCTCAGTTCCGTTCAATATATCAATATTATGTAACAACAAACTATAAACAAATCTCCAGCCACTTATTCTTTGCAAGCTGAAAGATGAGCCTAAAAACAGTCCAATTTTCTGTAAAACAGTTGAAAATAAATCATTAAGAAACGTAGCACTTTCTGACTCAACAACAGATGTGTAAAAATCTAAACCTAATGATGATAATTGGCTATCATCGCAAAATAGAAAATCATAAAATTTCTCACCAACTAAAGACATCAACATTGGTAAAGGAAAGAAGAAGATTTCGGCAAACTTACAAAACAAGGAATTGCAGCAACAACAAACTTATCATTAACATCAACAACAGAAAAAGTATAGCAAACTCTGTAAACTAAATCTTTGAATGTTTGGCTGTCAGCATTATCACAAACAGTCAAGAAAAATGATCTCAAAGTTCTCAACAATAAAATTACTTCCCATTCAGTAATTTTGTCAAAAAGAGACATAAAAATTGAGGAAAGAGGATCAGGTTGAAGATTGATGTTTTTGAGTATATTCTCCAAACATCGAAGACACGAAACACGTGTTGAAATATCATTTGACATTAAAAATTGAATAACATTTTCAATGGAAAACGATGAAATTTCATTCAAAAATTGAGAGATCTCTGAAATTACATCCATTGCATCTATTGGGTCTTCTTTCATTTTATCAATAATAAACGATATCAGTTGATTTTGGTCATCACAAATGTCAATAATACTTGGAATGGCTCGAAGACTTTTTTTGACATTTTTTTCATTTGAAATTAATTTTGAAATCAATTCAACAGTTTCCTGTGGATGTAAATGAGCCAAATATCTTAGTGATGACATGCATTGGGTCGTGGAATTCGCAATATATATGTTTTTGTTCATATCTAAATTGTTAAACAAAGAAATTACAATTTCTTCAATAAAAGGAAGATTTTCGTTGTCACAAAATATTTCAGCAGCTGCAAATGTTACATTTTCTATTCTGCTGTTCAAAGAATTCAGTAAAAAAACAAAGATTTCTTCATCAATTCTTGAATTTAAAATTTCTCTGCAAATATTGATTGTTTGGAGTATCTCTTCTTCTTGTAGTTCATTGAACTCAATCTGAAATACTGTTGTCGTTAAAATATTCTCAAAAATTTCATTCGGAAATTTTTTTGCAAAAAGTGACAAAATTTTCGAAACGAAAGAAGAATGTTCTGTTGTTAAATGCTGGGAAAGAAGATTTAGTATTGATATATCCAAGTCTATATCTCGTAAGAGAAGTTCGTAGATGAGACTCAAGCCACTTTGGCTTTGTTCTGTTTGTTTTTCGAGGAGATTAAAAATTATTTGAGGTATATCTGGGAATGTATCGATACCAAAGTATTTTAACATATCTGCAAATAATGATGAAACACAGTTGACTAATGGTGAAGGTGATAAATCAAAAAATGGAGCTAAAACTGGGTAAATATTTGTTTTGAAGATTTCTTTTGTAGCATTTTTCGTAAACGCAAAAAATCTGCGCATTAATATAGCTGAAACGCATCTTGATGTATCTGATAAGTCGCCATTTGCAACAGCAGATAATAAATAAAGTGCAATATCTGATTGGCTTTGAAATGATGACATATCTCGGAATATTTCGTTCTGTATATCTTGATCGAAGTCTTGAGATGCATTTAACATCTTGCAGACTTCTTCAACAATGCTTTCATCTAAATCAGTCATTTTTAAGGTAAAAAGTGACAACTATAGTAAAAGTCTTATTTTATTTGACCATTTCCATTGAGTATTAAAATTAGTTTTATTGGAAGGGTATTTCACAAATTTCAATACTAAAAATTTTATGACGACTGCCGTATTTTCATCAAACGGCAATCTCCTTGAATTACTTGAAGATTTTCCTCAATACAATTTGGATATTAATGATTTTAAGATCATTGGAGAGGTTGGTAATGGCGAATGCTCAAAAGTTTTCAGAGCAACACATAATCCAACACTTCGTGAATGTGCAATCAAACAGATTTATGATAAAAACGTTCTAAATGACAATTTTAAGAGTTTTACATCAGAAGTTCGGACCTTAGCTGCTTGCAATAATCCATGTGTTATTAGATTCATTGGATATACATCAGTTCCACCATATTCGATAATCACTGAATATATGCCGAATAATTCACTTGAATCTTTCCTATATGCACCTCACGAAAACAAAAAGAACCTTTTAACAGATACAATTCTCACGGAAATTGCAATTGGTGTTGCTTGGGGTATGCAATATCTGCATTCGATATCAATAATGCATAGACATTTACGTGTTTCAAATGTTTTACTCGATCAAAATTTTATGGCCAAAATTTCGGATTTTGGAAACGCTAGATTTGTAGATGAAAACTCGATTTTAACGAAAATGATTGAATCGCCCATTTACACAGCTCCAGAAGCAGCTTTATCCAATTCATACGATTATAAATCTGATATCTACTTATATGGGCTATTATTGTATGAGTTGTCAGAAAAAGTACGACCATATACAGATATTAAACAATCCGAAATCATAGATTTAGTAATTAAAAAAGGATTACGTCCAAATTTTTCTCAAATTACGCCAGAACCACTTAAGAACTTAATAACAAGATGTTGGTCACAAAATCCAGATGAAAGGCCATCATTTGAAGATATATTTGATGAATTTCACAGCGGAAATGTTACATTTCCAAAAGCAAATCATAATGAAGTGTCAAATTACGCCAAAAACCTAATTCAAATACAGGAAAGTATGGAACCAAAGAAAAATACTATTGATCCTGAAAATGGACCCAAAATTTCCAATAAAATTCAAAAGAAATTCAAATTAAACAGGAAAAAAGTTGAAGAAGCGGACAGTTCATATGAAGAGAACAGTTCAAGTGAAGAGGAAGAAATTAAAGACCCTCAAATTGATGAAGAAGATGAAGAAGACGAAGATTATTCTGATTTGGAGGAAGAAGAAGAAATAGAAGAGAATGACCTTGAAAATATTTGTTCCTGTATCAAGATGCCTGCAATTATGAGAAAATCTTCAATTTTTGATGAAGAAAATAAAATTGAAATAATAAATTACGACAAACTTACTCATCCTGGCTTTAAATCACTACTTCAGCGATACTCAACAACATCCCTCTCTGATTTCGATAAAAATTCCGCTCCAATTTTAGAATATTACCATGAAGGAACTTCAAACGTTATTTTAAGCGTAATTGTTAATTATTCGCTTGATCTGATGAAAGAAAACCCAGAATTCATCAAATTGTTCAATGAAAAAGGTTTTTTTACCAAAATAGAAGATATTCCAGAAGAAATTGCAAGTAGTTTAATTGATTGTTATGGCTGCATTGTTTCCAACATGCCACATTTGTTGAATCAGAATCATGTCCAAACTTTCATCAAATTATTGAAAATAAATCCAGAAAAAATGTTTCCTTTGCTACACAAATACTGTAGTTTGTTTGGTACTCTTGAAAGCCCATGGTTTATTGCTGATATTCCTCTTCATATCCTTCAAGATTTCATAAATACCAAATATGGCGCCGAAATTCTTACTATTTTATACTATTTAGTGACACATTATGAGTCGTATGCATCAGCGAGAAGCTCCCATGTACTCAGTTCGTTCATTATTGGAATTTCTTCCACGGATGTTGAAACAATTTCGGTTTCTTATGATGGAATCATCAATTTAACAAATGATTTCTCATCAATTGACCATACATTGATCATTTCTCATCTGTCAAACGCTAAATTATGGGAGAAATCCTTGAATTTACTGTTAAGAAGCCAAGAAATACCTTATTCTAATGATTTCGTGTCTATTTTGATGTGTCATACATGCGAGAGTCGTTATACATGGCTAATTCTGTTGAGAATTGTCACTTCCAAGCAAGATAATTCTGATTTGATCGTAAAATCATCAGTATGGATGAAAGATTCATCAAAATATCCAAAAGAAGCAACAAAACTGTTCTTGATGCTATTTGTTCATGAAAAATATCGTCAAGAACTTTGTGATTCAGAATATTTTGGAAAATTTATGGAATCGTTGGCATCAAGTCAGGATTATGAATTGTTTGCAACCATAGCATCAATACTGACTAGAATTAACTTGACCAAACAAATTTTTGAAAATTTAGAAAAATATAATTTTACTAAATCATTTGTTGAAGCATCTTTATGCAGCGAAACAAATGAATCTATATTTTCAACACTCATTGTCATTGATAATTTGTGTAGAATCGGTTATAGTGACTCATTTCTTTTGTATTCAGAAAAATTAGTTGAATTATTAACTAATAAATACCTTTATTCGAAAGTAGTGCATGTAATAACATCACTCTCATTCCATAGAGAATGTGCTTGGATCTTTATCCAGCTAGGATTAGTTCAATACTTCGATAAATTGAAACAAGTCCAAAAATTTGGAAATCTTGCAATTACATTCCTTAGAAATATGAAAATGTTGTTGTCTGAATAAAATGTTTTGTTTATATGTTTGCGTTTGAAAAATTATCAAAGAAATCTATTTCATCTCAATTTTTAATTGGAGAAATAATGACACTTTGGATGAAAAGTGAGAAAATTCTTAAAATTCAAAAAATGAAACTTCTTAACTAGATTTATTATAAAATTATATTCAAGCATTGATTCCAAAGTGGCATCCTTAGGACAAAGAAATGTTTCATTATGTTCAATAATATATTACTAATAAATTAACAAATCAATACTGTTTTACTCATGAATTGATATGTTTCGACCAAAAAAAAATGAAACTCAATTGATATGATTGTCATTTTCGCAAGACAAACGTTTTCAGAAAACATATATGTTGTAAACAGAAATTCATCAAAAGTGACACCTCAGAAAAGCTAAAATATTGAATTTTTGGAACTTTTGATAGAGCACGTTTTTAAATATTAATTAAAGTAAATGTATATTTTGTAAAGATTCTTTTTAATAAAAAATAAAATTTTGAAGAAGAACACAAAATCTTCTGAAAAATAATATCACATAAACTCATATTATTTTCTAATATATAACTATTTTATATAAAAATCAAATTCAATGATCTTAAAAGCGAAGGATAAACCCCAAAAATTACGAATATAATGAGTGGGAATATAATGCTTATCTATCATAAAAACATATGAAATATCAACTTTTGCTTTACGCCTAATTTTTGACGACAATTAGCAAAAAATGTTAAATGTTAACACTCAGTCCATTTGAATATGAAAAATAAAATTGACTTTGATTAAATGTTTTTATTTATCATGCAATTCTTCTTGCGACCAAAGATTTGAATAAAAGTTCAAAAAATAAGATAGCTTAAAAAATAATATACGGTAGTGTTTACTAATAGATGAATAGTATATAAATTCTATTAAAATGGATTTGATCCAAAAAAATATATAAAATTTGATCATAAATAAAATCGTTTTAAATTACTTCTTCATTTAAATTATAACAATTATTTTTGGTTTTATATTTTTTTGGATCAAATCCATTTTAATAGAATTTATATACTATTCATCTATTAGTAAACACTACCGTATATTATTTTTTAAGCTATCTTATTTTTTGAAATTTTATTCAAATCTTTGGTCGCAAGAAGAATTGCATGATAAATAAAAACATTTAATCAAAGTCAATTTTATTTTTCATATTCAAATGGACTGAGTGTTAACATTTAACATTTTTTGCTAATTGTCGTCAAAAATTAGGCGTAAAGCAAAAGTTGATATTTCATATGTTTTTATGATAGATAAGCATTATATTCCCACTCATTATATTCGTAATTTTTGGGGTTTATCCTTCGCTTTTAAGATCATTGAATTTGATTTTTATATAAAATAGTTATATATTAGAAAATAATATGAGTTTATGTGATATTATTTTTCAGAAGATTTCATTCTATATGCCTATGAAAAGTACTCTCAAAACTCACTTTTTCCTAATTATAATTAAATCTAGAATATTGTATTATGCTTAGTATTATTTCATTTTTCTCATTCAATTTAGAATTTACAAATGTCAAAAAATTGAGAGCTGTCACTTTTGATGAATTTCTGTTTATTACATATATGTGTCAGCTTCTGAGATTTATTAGATTCTTAGTCATGTATTTAAAAAAAAATAAAATAAAAGACAGCATTTTTTCTGAATGAGCATTGATTATCAAACATTGGCGACCAACGTTTCACAGTGGTGTAGCAATGATGATTTCTTCGAATTGCGCACAACTAAACAGCTTTGTACATTACTTGATTATGCAAAACTTTCAGTTCAACAATTTAATGAAATCTCAACACGAATTCAAAAATATTTTGAAAATGCAGCATATACATATCAATTTCAACAACAATACATCCGAAGCTTTCTCTGCTTTAGATTCAATTTCACAAATATTCAAATTTCAATTTATATCAGATCTTAAATCAGTATTACAATCTAGTCAATCATCTTCTCAAAGTGAAGAAAGAATAAATAAATTAAAAAAGATTCAAGAAGAAAGAATAAATAATATAAAAATAAATATGAAAAGCGCTGATCGTGAGGAAAGAATTCATAGAATATATCATTTAAAGAAAAATATAATTACGTTCAGCGATATAGATCCGTATTTTTCCCAAGTGAGCGGGGTATCTCTAATCCCAGCTCTATCGTCCTCCCAGTGTCAGTTTTTAATATAAAATCCAAAATTTTTTAAAAAATAAAAATTTCGAGAAATTTTTCTAGCTTTTTTTCTTTGATTTCAATAATTCAAAATAAATTTTGGAGTAAAAAGACACTATTTAATGAAATTCATATGAGTGAATGTGGATAAATACTCTCAAAACATACAATTTATATATTTTTTCTTTATATTATCAACTAATTAGTGATAATTTTTTTTTGAATCAGATTTTTTTTCATTAAAAATATAATATATAACGCAATAATGATGTACACATACGCATCTACACATCAAAATATAAAGTTTGTTTTGGTCTGGGCACCCCAACCCAAAATTCTAAAAAAATTGAATAAAATTGAATACTTGGGGCTGGGATACCCAGCCCGAAACCGAATTGATTTTTTTGAATTAAAGAATATATTTACGTATTTATAATATATATGTGATGTTTATAAAAAATACTAAATTTTTGTAAAAAAATTCAATTTATTCAAAACGGAGATAAAGTGATCACTTCATTAATAGGATCAGCGATCCTACTAAATGGTGAGAATGCCACTAGCTAAAAAGGGAGTCCTTGGAGCTCTTGATCTCTTGTCAGTAGAGTCCATAATGAGGCATGGCATCTACTGATTAGAGATCAGAGCAATCCTACCTTACCTTCAGGAGCTACAAAGCTCCTAATCGTTACGAGAGGGAGCCTCGGAGCTCCTGAAGCTCATCAGCAGAGGATATTTACCATTTGGGCCTCTTTTGATGAAAGATACGAAGCCCATCTACGAACCAGGAGCTCCAAAGCTCCTAATCCTTACGAAAGGGAGCTTTGGAGCTCCTGAGTCTTCATCAACAGAGTCCCAGTTGATAAATATCCTATGCTGATGAAAGATGCGAAGCACATCTTCGAACCAGGAGCTCCAAAGCTCTTATTCCTTACGAAAGGGAGCTCTGGAGCTTCTGAAACTCCTCCTATTATAAAATAGGACAGTTTTCTTCTGAGGCTTCTCATCAAATCTAAGACTTCAGAAGAAAGCTGTCCTATCCGTGTATACTTATATTCTGATGGACTACAAGTGTACAACTTTAAGGCAGAGATTATCCGAGGCCTCTCATCAAATGAGGGACCTCGGATAATCTCTGCCTTAAGTAGTCAAATAGCTTTTCTGACTATTCAGGGACAAGAGAACAAGAGTTGGAATACTCTAAGGCAAGGTTCTTCCGAAATCTCTCATCGAATGAGAGACTTCAGGAGGACCTTGCCAAATCCTTGAACACCGATATCCTTGGAACCGAGCTAGGACCAAGGAGAAGTAGTGTGCTATAGCGCACGATGGCAATCTCGGAAATACTTATATTGCCACATGCACAATATCTATTCAGCCTGACTCCTATATACAAGAAGTCAGGCAGAATAGATATTGTGCATATGATTTGCAGAACTCTCATATATATAAATTTTTGTTATCCAAAAAAGGTGACACTTTGGGTGTATCGTCCATCCCAGGGATGCAAAATTCACATCACCTTGTATCTATATTCAGCGATCTCAAAAAACTCTACGAAATTCTTGATGAAGCTGTTAGATTTGAAGATATTACCACTTTGAAATATGCTATAAATAACAAAATGACTAATTTAATTGAGCCAAAAAGAAATAATTTGAATTTTATTATATATGCAGCAAAAGAGAACAATCTGAACTTTTTTATAGGTTTCAATAAACTTGGTCTTTATAAAGATTTGGGTCAATCAGAGCGGATTCTTTTGGCATTTTGCGAAAATGGAAATCTTGATGGTGTCAAATTTGCATCTCAATTTGTTGATTTCAAATCTTCTGAAAATGCATCAACGCAACTCTTAATTGCAGCCAATAATTTCGATTTTCGTATATGTGAATTTCTTTGCTCTCAACCAGGAATAAGAAAAAATATTAAAGACAATACAAATAAAACGCCCTACGATATTGTTAAAAATTCTAGTAAATACAATGATCTTCTTGACATGTTAGAGATTCGAAAGGACTTCAAAATGCTAAACTTACAGTCATTCTTGGCATTATTTTCTCATCAATCTCGAAGTCTTAAAGTGTGGCCGGTTTTCGTAGAGGCCATTTTAGGTTTTACTGATGATGAATTGCTGAAATTATTAAAATTCATCACTGGAAGTAAAACATTTAAGCCCGATTTGCTTTTAAAGCTTGAAATAAAATCGATATCTGATCATGATGAAAACGAATATAGCAATCCAATTTCTCATACATATAGCAATACATTAGAATTGAACCCATTCAAATCTCCTGAAATCTTAGGAGAAAAGTTGAAAGTAATAATCGATATGTAAAGTGATGGTTAAAGTTATGTGAGATCCCTTTTGGTGATATGAATTGGACATATTTTGTTAACATTGGTGATGTCTCTTTGTCACAAAATTATTAAGGGAGTATGTTTGAATATTTTCATTAATCACTGAAATTTGAATTGCGGAAATATATTTTGGACCCAGAGTGCTTCAAATATAGCAGTGGTTCGAATGATACTAACAGTCAATGTCAACAAAATTGCGTAAATCTCCTTCAATTACCCAGATTTTCCTTACTTTTACCACCCCTCTAAAGCTGGGGACACCGCCTATCGTTGGGAGTAGCTATTAAATAGAACCACCAAGGGTATTTTTCGAACTGCCGGTGTAGTGGAAACATCCGACATAATGATTCATTATGCCAAGGTTTGATTCCCATTTATCCAATTTTTTTTTTTGGATCATGAATTTTTTTTTGGGTCACTATAAGATTTGTTTCATGTTCTAAATCTGCTGCATATGTAATCTATTTTTATTTACCTATTTTTTAAAAATCTATTGGATTGCCAAATTTGAATATATTTAAAATCATAAAAATCCAAAAAAACTATAAATATATGTTTTATGCATAGTGCCGATACTCAAATATCAAATTACTTAGATCCATGAATAATATCCGAATTTTTTTTCTTCAAATTAAACTTCAAAACTTCTTGCAATCTTATTCTTCATCAATTGTAAATTTTTAAAACCATTTTTTAAAATAATTTTGCGTAAATTTTATTCTCATGTTGTTTTAATCGAAAATTGATACATTTTCAAAAAAATAATATTGACTTATGAAATTCATTTTTAAGGTGAAATAGTATTGTTTTTATTAAAGTATATGAATAATATATAAAAAATTAATGAATAATATAAGCAGATTTTTAGTTTACAAAACAAATATGAGCAATGCAATTTCAAACTTTTGCTGGCAATTTCGATATTGCTCAAGTTTGTAGTATTTGTGATACCTATAACATCGGCTTAATCAAAATTCGATTTTTCTTATGAGTTATTGAGAAAATTTGATTGCAATGAGAAGGATTTCGACGTTTTTGATAAACTAAGAGCTGAGCTTTAGGGGTTCAGTTCATTTATGGCTGTAGTTTGATGCGTAGATCTCTTTTTTATTGTAAATTCTTTCAGCATGGAGATCGAGAATGAATCTTTTGAGAACTTTATGAGTTTTTACACCCGTAAAGAGGTCCTTCGAGGAAAGATAGTCCAGACTACATGAAGATGTGGGTTAACCAAAAAAATCCGATGGTTTCCCCATATTCATGTAGATCTTCGAAAAAATGAGCACCAAAAAAGCCAAAAAAATAGGCTTTTTATTGGATTTGTACACTAGATAAATAATCTATTTAGGATCTGACACTCTTTTTAGCCAGAGATATGAGGTCCTTTCTAGGAAAACGATCTATTCATCCATAAAAAAAATGAATTATCGTTTTCCCCAGAAATTACATGGGGAGTGGTAAAAGTAAGGAAAATCTGGGTACTTTCATATTGCTTCATTTTAATAATATAGAGCAAAAATTGAAAACTTCTCCCCTCATATATTCTCAATTGAATATGATTTAAGCTTCCATATCCATATCAAACAATTTTGAGAAATCTATCAATTTATAGGAATATTCTTATTGCAATATATGCCAGTATGGGCTCATGTATATAATTAGAATAATAACACCAACTGAACGCAAATCTATCTCGTTGGAAAAGGAAATTTAGGATCACATGAAGCCTTAAATTATCTTTTAATAAAAAGCCTTATAATTTAAATAAATTACTACCAAATCAGATTAATTCTACATTCGTTGATGTTGAAATTTTTAAGGGAGGCTTCCGACCAGAAAGCCCTCTCAATTTTTTGTGATGTTTACACCAAAAGTGAGATTCGTTAAGCGTTTTTCTCGTTGAATATTGAGTTTCCCGGATTTTAAGTTATTCATAAAGCTTCTCTATATTATACCCTATCTACTGATATGATTATTTTTGAAAAATCTCTTAAATCGACCTGCACTGAATTTTTTAGGGAAAATTCGAAATTTTCTAGGCGTTTTCTGTAACGTTTTTTTACGGAATAAAATCCGAAAAATAATTTTTTGAAGAATCATTTGGGTAGAATACTTATCGAAAATTATATTTATTATAATTTTGGTCGATAAAAATAAGCGGATTCAAAACTGGCAAAAACCCTTTCGGCAATTTGTGGACGATTCCGAACCCCCTCATTTTTGAAATTTAATAAGAAAAATAGAATCTTTATTAAATATAGATTTTAAAAAACTTGGTTATAAATTACGAAATTTTCTCACTTGGGCTAAAAAGTGACAATTTGGTCGGAAGCCACCCTTAACTTTTGTTCCAGATTTGTAACTCCTTTATTTATGCAATATTTACAGAATCGGAAAAATGTGTGAGATCCAAGAAATTTTCCTTTCTCTGAGTTCTATCGTTAGCACTTTTCAATTTTTTGAAAACGAATTTCCCAAGATTTCGCGGAAATCATTCTCCGCCTAAAGCGCAGTTGATGACCGCTATGCAACGTCATTACAAGCTTCGTGACCAACAACCACAGCAAAATCCAAATGAAAATCCAACAGACGTAACAAAAGTTGCAATTTCAGTAATGGAAGAAAATCAACGATTGCGAAAAGAAATGGAGGAGCTTAAAAATCAGAGAATTAAAGAAATTGAAACTATTTGCGATGATCAAAAAGATGGAACTTTCGATACGGATCCAAAATCGCTTTTAGAAAAGATGGCGAGGACATCAATGTATACAGATGACTTTATCAAGTTGAAAGAAACAGAAATTAAAGAAGAAGAGGATAAACATGAAGAAGAAGAAAATAACGATCTCTTTGACGGAGAAGATGAAGAAGACTACAAAACACAGCTTGAAAAAGCAAATGAAACCATATCACAATTACTATCAATTATATCGGAAAAAGATGAAATAATAAATGAATTGCATAAACAAATAGAAGAATTGAAGAAACCTAAGCAAGAAGAAAGTTTCGCACCTCAGAAGCGTGTAATTTTGGAAGAAGACAGTATTTCTTCGCAAGTTTCTTCAAGATCTCGAATTCCAAGGCCAGCGCCTTCTAAGTCATCAACCCCTAAGCCTTCAAAACCTGAACAGAAATTTGCTTCGAAGTCACCAAATAATCGAAGAACGAGAGCCCCTCAATTTGATGAATAAAGACTGTTTGTATAGAGTAGGTTAGAATTATTGATCTAACTGTTATTATATGGAAATGTTTAAATAGAGAATACCTGGCAATTTTTTTATTGTTATGATGAATTTATTGAACTTCTGGTAATGTTATTAAAAGATCAAGTTGTTACCTCCTAGTATGCTCTTTGGTGCGATGCAAATAGTAATTTAGAGGAGTAACAAAACTTTCAGAAATAAATTTTTAGGATTGAAGGGTTTTTCGTTGTTGAATATCATGTCACAAATTTGTTATTATATAGTCTGCAAGATTTTATATAAGTTTGGTCGTGTTGGAGAACATAATTGAAAATTTTGAGCGGAGCAGCGAAAATTTGTCTAAATGTTTATTACATAATTTATTTGTAATAAAATTTTGTGAAACTCTCTCAACACAAACGGTTTAGTAAATTCTGAAATTGCGCTGAAATTGAATGAAAATCTTCACATTAATTTTAAATGATTCGTTTAGAATTACTTGTAGATCAATATTTTCGAAATTTTATAAATTTTTGTATTTTCGGAAAAGTGGCGCTGGACGATAAACATACTTTGAAAACGAAAATACACACGGCTGATGACGAGATACTCATGGAATCGCGTGATTCCTCGCATTTTACGGATACATTTTATGATTGGTTAACAGAGAACACGGATATTGTACGTTATCTTCAAATTGATTCATTGAATATTCCGAGAGATCCTGTTGCGTACGATATATTCCTAAAAGAGAAAGAATCTTCGCAGTTATTGATATTGTCGGCAATAACAAACTTTTTAAATCTTACAATGCGTCGTCAAAAACCAAAAAAAACTTTAGACTTTCCGCCACCTCCACCAAATTCATCTAAATCAGTAGAGATGGCTACAAGAGAAATTAAATTTCTTCAGCAGGAAGAATATGATATTCTCAATGAGAATTTCAATAATGCAGTCAACAAGTTAACTTCATTAATTGACTTTCTCGCACAGTCCCATGCTATCCCTGCCAAAGTCAAGATCACAATATTAACTGAAGAATTATTCAGAGATCTTCAGTCGAAGCCCAAAAAAGCAGAATACATAAAAAATCAAACAGAGTTTAAGATCGCAAATCTTTGCATGCTTTACCAGAACGATGCGGATTCACAGGCCCCTGATGATACGCTTTTATATATATTCGGTCTTTGCATCCCGAGATTTAATCACTCGGTTCACTTTTTAGAATTAAACTCTCAGCAAGATCGTTTCAACAGATGGCTGTTTTCGCCAACAAATCCGATTGATTACAAAATTACAGAATTTCTCGAAAACTTTTCAAAATTACCTCGAAGAGACTTCACAAATCAAGTATTTAAGCTCTTTGGATTCTTAAAGGAACAATTTCCACAAAAGGATCCAATTCTGGGCTCGATTTTCGTAATTATGTTTATTCGTGCAATTTTTGATGCCTGCATCGCAATTAACTACGCATACTTTTTCCCGCATTCAGAATCGCGAGCATATACTATAGTATCGAAAATCCAAATGAAAGACATAAATCCTCCAAAAGAATTTTTACCGATTTTCAACGGAGAAGAAATTGCTAGAGATGTATTTATGCGAGACCCAAGATACAGATCAGCAGGAACCCACGTAACTGCAGCTTTCTTTCAGACAAACCCTTTAGATGCCTTATTTGAAATTCACTTAGCGTTAAAGGATATGCATGCAGGATTAGCATCAAGGAGGAAACCAAATGAAGGTCGCCAGGTATTACCTTTCGAAACAATCTTTACATTATTTTTCGGCTCATTACTTACGGCAGACTTGCCAGACCTTGAAGGTTTGGTCAAGTTTATTGTTGATTTCGCGCCTGCTGGTAGGCTGGCTCCAGAATTTCAATACGCGCAAGTTACGATGAACGCAGTTCTCGCACAATTCGAAACTTTCTTATCAGAAAAAGCTAAGTCTGTTTAGATTTTGTTTATAGAGTTTTATTTATTATTTATTTTTTGTTTTGTTATTATTTTTGATAAATATTGAATATATTTATTTGTTATGCATTTAAATTAACCGCTTATTTTTCAGTGCTGGGTTCTTTCTTGTTTCATTTTTCATTTTGGGCGAATATATCATTCGCAGGATTATTATGCTCAGAACTAAGATTTAAACTGATGGCAAACGAATTACAATTCTATAAAACTAACAACATTCAGAATAGATTACAAATCTAAGCTAAATAAAGAACATTTATTTTTTACTTTTTTAGATTTTATAAATTAACATGAAATAGTGAATTTTCACATCATCTGTGATAGAACCATATAATAAAGGAATTTCAAAATTTATTTTATTTTCAAATTTTTGATATAAAAATTTGTAAATTTCAAAAGCAATTTTGCATTTTTGAGGAAGATTTGGAGAAAATTTAAAAATTTAAATAGCAAAATGAGTTTTATTTTAGATTTAGATTTATTTTTATTCTTATTTTCAATTAAATTCCATAAACTTTTTTAAAAGTGACAATAATTTATTTCTAAAATATCTTTCACTGGGAAAATTATCCTTAAGTCAACCTGTACCAGGACTAAGTTCAAAATCATATTTTATTAAACCATGTAGATATAAAAATGCTTATGGAACAAACTGGTTACTTCTATCTCATCATGATTCTACAAAAAATTATTTTTTTGGAAGGGATAATTGCTGCTACAGCACAAAGAACGAAGATATATATTCGATTGTAAGTGGATTCGACTACAATTCTATATTAAAAAAGCAAAAATATATAAAATTACTATTAGAATATGATCAAATTCCATCGTATCAAGTATGGCGACAAAATATTTCTTTGATGTCAAATGACAACTATGAATATAAGTTCATTGATGGACAGGAATGGACTTATTTTCATGGATTAATGTATTCTGGAGAATCTGGTTGCCTAGATTATAATGGAAATTCATCAGATACATGGCACTATAGTATTGGAACTTTCGACAGATACTATGGGGACTATTTTCCAGGTCCTTATTTTAATGGTATTTGGTATAATGTTAAATACGTAGATTTATGGATTGAAAGACCATCTAATATCAACTCATACATATTTGATCGATGCCATCTGCAAAATAGTTTGAGTAATTCTATCTTTTTGTTAATTGTTGAGTAAAAGCTCGAAAATCTAAGAACTTTGTGTGCAACCTGAGATTTTATTGCAATTATATGCTCTTTGGTCGTAGGATATGCATGTGAGTTTGCATTTTAAGTTTTAATGAAAACAATATAATCAAAATTTAATGACTTTGCAACGAAATATTTGTTGTACATCATATGGTTTAACTAATTGATATTGCCGAATACTAACCTTTAGCAAACTTGATTTTTCAATTCAAAAATTATCATGAACGCATTCTATTATAAGTTTAATATATTAACGCAAATGATGAATTTTAATTTCTTGCAGGTCTGCTCTCAATTTTTTTCAATCGCAAAAAATTTTCAAAAATACGAACCAATTTATATTTTATTCAAGAGTAATGCTATTTTTTGAAAAATCCGTTTTTTTAAAATCCGATTTGAATTGTTTACGTTTTCTTTGAAAAATTTACACCGGCCATGATTCAACCACATAAATACAGACTATTACTATTAGTACCTTGAAATATCTCGTTTTTTGCAAAAAATTAATAATGCTTTCCCAATCTTCATCCAATACTTCGACATCTACATCGACTAGTTTGGATGCAACGAACAATAAATATCATGGATTACTAACTATATCCAGGATAAGCGTTATTAAGCATATTGTTTATGATTTTTTCTCGTTTTTTAATTCAATAGCGCACCCATCAATAATTTATGCATTTATTATTAATGCATGGCGCACAATACAATGGGCTGGCCCATCAGTAATTCCAGAAAGCTCAACTTTATACCCATCAAAAACCGTAGCGCAAATTCTAACAGATGCTTTTTCATTCTTCTTCAGAATTGTGCCTGCTTCGATTAAAGGAGAAGAATTCATTTACTACGCAATCATTGCTCTCGTTCTTTTTTACACTTTTTGTCTCATTTTAATTGTTACTATCTATATTTTCAACAAGAATGGCAAAATCAGCAATGGTGTAGCTATAGCTTTCTATTTCATATTTGATGGCATCTGGTATTTAATTACTCCAATTGCATTCACTCAATGTGGCCACAGAATCGGATATACATTTATACAGAACGAGGATGTCAAAGATGTTGCATCTTGGGTCTTAATTATCCTACTTCTCATATCTTTATGCGTATATTATTTCATCACGGCTTATTAATCGTCCGTAAGCATATCTTACAGAGTTATAACTTTTGGAGCATTCGATCCAAGATTAGAACGTTATTTCCTTATTGTTCCTGGTTTTTTGGGCTTTTTAAGTGGATTATGTCCTTATCTACCAAAAGTTGGTCGATACATTGTCTATGCCATCATGATTCTTCTTTACATCGATGGGATACTTGCTATTTGGTTAATGGCTGGTTTTACCCAAACAATTTGGAATTCAGTTCTTACAGCAGCTTCTATCGTTGCTATCATCAGTACAATTGTTGCATGGATATATGATTACAAACAGAAAGCTTATCCAGTCATAATTATCTTCTGTCTTGTTTTAATTTTCTTTGTTTTAATTGGAATCGTCCAAATCATTAATAACTATCTTACTGTTAAGGCATTTACACTCCTTGATGAATATTACGAGAACAAATCCTTGTATCAAGAGAATCAGCCTGGATTCATGAAATGTTATTTCATGGCAACGCGAGGATTAGTTTGTGCACATCCCAGCGTCATCGGGTGCGATCATATGCACAATATGCTGCAGTTATACCCAAAGAATGTCAACGCCTGGGTATTTTTCGCAAGAATGTTGGCAGCATTTCCAGAAGAAAACAATAAATTGTTATGGGTTGACGACCAAATAAGACATTTACACGCCCATAGCATTTACATGAGCCATTTGAAGGCACAAATCATGTTTTTGGCCAGATCTCGTGAAACTGCTATGACACATACCCTCAAAAAGAAGGTTAATACACTCCAAAAGGACATACAGTCTACAAAGAACAAACTGAGGCACTTCTGGGAGTGCGTTATCCAAGGAAATACTGATGATCTGGAAATAGCTTCAGCAGCAGCCAGAAAATCAGTAGAAAAGACAGAATCTAACATCAACCACCTCAATAGGATATATAGAAATAACCAATATGTCGCTCGTTTGTATTCTAGATTCTTAATTCACGTAAAAGGTAACAGAATCGCATATAACGAGTGGCATTCCAACATTGAGAAGCTGAAGAATGGTCAGACAATCGTTCCAGACTACGCACAGATGGATACAATCCAACTTTTCCCTTTAATTTTGAATTCAACTACACAGCAATCGAATACAGAGATGATTGGTGGATTATTTGGAGAATCTACAAGTATGCCATCCATTTCATCATCAAGTTGCCACGTAATTGACAATGATGAGGAAGAAAATAATTTATTGTTGACAATTAAGAACTCTGTTACCACGATGTCCATTCCTTCCATCAGGAAAAGTATCATTATGATAACTATTGTCTCTCTTCTTATCTGTGTCCTGTTTTTCCCGATTATGGTTACAATTTTCGTTACTCTTTCGACCAAATCCTTCTCCAAGATCGCTATTATTTCCAATTGTTCCCAGATCAACACAGATATCACCCACATGGTCATTCTTTCCCTCTCAAATTTGGTCCAATCCGCCGAATACTATCCAACTTTCCCAAAGTACTTACTGAAATTGTACATGGAGCAGAATGCTACTTCAATGGGCGGTCTCACTGATCAACCATCGATGTTGAAATATATTATTGCAGATTCGGGTGATATGATCACCAATATCCGCAAACTCAATGACATGATGGATGAAAGTGAAGAACTCGCCAAAGCGCAAGCACTTCTCTTCCAAAACGTCCTTTCAGTAGAGACAAGTCGTAGTTTAGGCGGAGCAGGAACAGGCAGAGGTGGCGGAAGTGGCGGAAGAAATAGTACTCGACCTGGCGGAAATAGTACTCGTCCCAGTGGAAATTGGAATTCAAGAAATCAATGGGTAACCAACAATTACAGTGCAGAAACATTAATTGTTTCATTGGGATTAGATGCAAGTACATTAGTAGATACCATGAATGAATCAGAAGCCAAAGAGTATCTACAGAGTAGTACATTAGGTAACAATAACAGATTCCTTGCTGCAATATAAAAAGCAATTTTGGCAGCACAAATTTACATAAAAACTGACATTGAAAATAACCAATCATATCTCAAGAAGGTTATTTACATTGTCGCGTATTGTGGTGTAGGAGCATCTGTTATCTTATATATTATCTGTATGATATACGTGTCAATCGCTGTCAATGGAGACAAAAGAGTTGCAGCAAAATCATTTTTGACAATTCCAAAACACGTTATTTCAAAATTGGTCGATAGTTTGAAGATGAATACCGGCAAAAACAACTTAGAAGAAGAAGATTTCGATGAAGTAAATGAAGTACAAAGGAACAGACAAGAAGAAAACTTCATTGCACTTTTGGCAACAACATCTTCTGCTTCTCGTGTTTTCATGAAATTGACAACACATGTTTTAATTGCCATTTTCATTTTGATGGTTTTATCTGTTTGTTGCATCATGTTCTCCGCATACAACATTGTTTCTTCCAATGAAATCATTCGTTTGGCATCCCCTCACGCCATGAATTTCTTAACAATGTATACGATGTTGGCGAACTCAATTATTCCTGTTATGTCTGTTGTTGTTAATGATTTAGGAACTCCTATTTTAGGTGCAAATAGAACTGAATCAATACAAGGAATATTTACAACAATTGCTTATGCAATGAGTTTCTATGAAACAGCAAGATTTGGTAAAGTAGAAGACAATATAAGACCTTTATCTTATATAGATTAAAAAGTTAGTAATGATGCTTTCGCGCCAATTAATTCGAGTATCCCTATTTCAGCAACAGATCCAAGAAGTTTCTCTCCTGATATGTTATTTAATAACATCGCAAACGCTGTGAGTAGATTAGGTTATATAAGTATGACTCAAAACATGACATTTGATGATACAATTGCTTTTACATGGTATAGTTTGTTTAATTGTGTTTATGACAAATATTATGCACCACACGCAAGTTCGATGGTTAATTTAGTTTCTGAATCATTTAACAAACACATCGAAACTTCTGTTTTGTGGGCTGTTTTGTTTATTGTCGCTTCTATTATTACTTATGTTTTTATTATTGTTAGATTAGTAACAATCAAGAATGATGTTTCTTGGATGATTTCTACTTTGATGTTATGCAAACCTGATGTTTTATTGGCTTCTAAAGCAATTTGTTCCATTTTGCAATCAGAATTCAAAGAAGTTAAATCGAAATCTTCTTTGGCAAATGATGAAGAATTCCATAAAGAACTCGTGAATTTGTTCATCGATTCTGTTATTTTCATTAATCCTAACTTGACAATAACAGCTGCAAACCCTGCAACAAAAAGAATTTTCGACAGCGAAGGAGACATCGTTGGCAAGCAAATTACTGATGTAATAAATGGCGAAGAAGGTTCAGACAGTGCCAAGTTCATTCAAGCACTTTACGATGGTGTTTCAGGACATTCCGGATTGAAGATAAACAGAACAGTTGAAATAATGAGAAGCGATGGAACACAAGTATATATTAACTTGAATGTCACTGCATTTTCAAGGAAAGGAGCTGTTCAGTCATTGGCTGATGCAGGTGGAAATCTGAAGAGTTTGTCAATTGTTTGTAGAGATATCTCTCAGCAAGTAAGATCAGATAACTTGCTCAAAGCGGAGAGACAAAGAAGTGATGCACTTTTAAGACATATTTTACCACCTCCGATTGTCGATTCATTGCAATCCGGTGAAAAAGATGTCAGTTTCGCTGTTTCAAGTGCATCAATCTGCTTCATGGATATTGTTAGTTTCACACCATGGTGTGGTGCAAATACTACACAAACGGTTTGTTCGACATTGAACAAATTGTTCAAATATTTCGATATGAATTTGGCCCAGCATAAAACAATGACAAAAATCAAATGTATAGGTGATTGCTACATGGGAGCAGGAGGTATATTTGATAATCCTAATGACCCGAAGAAACATGCTTGGGATTTAGTTCATTTCGGTTGCGAAGCAATTAGATCTGTTCGACAACTCGATGAAGAACTCGGACAGCAATTGCAAATAAGAGTTGGCGTAAATACAGGTGGTCCGATTGTTGCTGGTGTTCTCGGTGTTGGAAGACCAACTTTCGAGATTCTTGGTCCTGCAATTAACATGGCTCAACAAATGGAACATCATGGCGTTCCTATGAAGGTACATATTTCAAGGTCCGTTTACGAAAACATTTATGAAAGTGGTTTCGTAATTCACGAGAGAGGTGAAGTTGAAGTTAAGAATGGAAAGGTTACAACTTACCTTGTAGATCCTGATGAAAATCCAGATTAATTTATCTTTTCTTTTTTTTTTGTTCTTATTCTTTTTTTTTTAAAATATTTTATTTTTCACTTTTTTTTAATTTTAAAAGATAACTTAAAACAACGAAGACTATGATGTGGTCATTGATAACTTAAAACATTTCCTTTATTTTATTCATCGAGAGAATCCAAAGTGTAAGGTTCATAGATACGTCTACCATAATCATTATCAAAAGGTGTTTTCCCGTTGTTATCTTTTGCATTGGCATGTGCAACATGAGAAACAAGAAATTCTAACAGATCAATATTACCTTTCCACATTGCTTTATTAAGAGGTGTTTCCCCGTTGTTATCTTTTGCATTGGCATCTGCACCATGTGAAATCGTGCTTTCTTCTCATCATTACATTGCAAAATGAGTTACAAATAAGAGTTATAATTAAATTTGTGAAAAAACCATGAAATTAGGGCAAATTTCTTTTGATTTTTCCAATTTCACAGTTCTAAAGATAAATTAAATTCTATATTTAAAATCTTCAAGGTACCTATTGTTATTGTTTAGAAGATGATATTCAAAAAAATGACTATGAATAATCAAGTTTATTCATTCTACATAAAAAATAGCATGGCTTAAGATTTTAAGCCTTTGGATCCTCATCGGTGTTATCAAGGGATTCGGCCTTATTTTCATCGACTTCTCTAACGAACCAGAAGCCGAAGAATGTGCCGCAGAGGGTAATAATACCGTAGAAGAGGAAGAGACCAAGGGTGGTGATCTTCTTCTTAAGTGGATCGGAAATGAAGACAATGATGAATGAGAGGAGCCATGAGGTCATGCCGTTGATGGATGAAGCCATTGGACGAACTGATGGTGGGAAGAGCTCTGGAGAAGAGTACCATGGCATTGGGGCAAGACCAAGACCGAAGCCGAATTGGTAAAGGAAGATAAGAACAACAGGAAGAATGTTTGACCAGTTAAACTTATCATTGAAGCCGAAAACAATAAGTGAATCAGCACATAAGAGGCCAGAGATTGTCCACATTGCACGACGGCCTAAAACTTTAATGAGACCACCGGAGAAGAAGCAAGCAACAAGTTGTGCTGTTGTAGCAATGATTGACTGATAACCGGGTGATAATCCTTCAATATTAGCTTTCTTGAAAAGTCCCTTGAGATCTGCAAGAATAGCGTTGATGCCAGAGAATTGCTGTGTAAGCATGATAAGTAAAAGGACAACAAGTGGCCAGATGTACTTGGCTTGGAAGATTGACTCGGAAGTTTGTTCCTTGTTATCTTCACCATCACCTTGGCTTTTGATTGAAGTTTCTGGAATTAGCCAGATAAGACCGCATTGGACAGCATGAGAAACAGCTGCATAAATGCACATTACAAATGGATCTTGATATTCACCAATGAAATAAAGAATGATGATACCAATAACAATGCAAATTTGATTGAAGGTACCATAAAGACCAGTTTGTTCGGCTGGGGCAACTTCCAGAAGAAGAAGTGGGCCAAGGGATGAAAATGCACCGAGCATGAAACCTTGAAGAATACGCATGACGAAGCCCATCCAGAATGTCTTAGCTTTCATGAAAGCTAAGATCACCCAGAAGATTATTGAGAGAATATTTACAATGAGAACAACTAAACGGCGGCCAAGTCCAAATTTGAAGAGAAGTGTAGGGATATAAGGACCGATAGCACCTGTAAGTTGGGTAATAGCAACAAATAAGTTCCAATTTGTGTCACTTGGGAAACTTGAGCCCCATTGTTCCAGGAATTTGTCATGTGCTGGGGATGGATAACCAATAATGTATCCAAAACCAAGAGGAGTGAAGCATACAATTAATGCATATAAAAGTTCGCGACGGAATAACGAAGCCATGACTTTATATCTGAAGTTTTATAAAATGAACTCATTTTATTTCATTGTAACCTCTCAATTTTTTTGAGAAGTTTATGAAATCTTTTGATATCAATATCGAATTGAGTCTATAATCTTAAATGTTGGAATATTTTGATGCAGTAATATTGTTTATAATTATTTTAGAATGATGCATAATGAGAGGCTACTTATAATTGAAAAATTGAAATAAAATTGATAGGACATTTGAAATTTGTTACGGGACCACTATACATCGTATTAGTTTGTATAAATCAATAAATATATCAGGTGAAAAGTTCTATAAATTGTATCTGCTTCTTCATTTAATTAATTGAGAAAATTAAATAAATTCATGATTGTTAATTAATGAGACAATCCCTATGGATCAACCCAAATTTCGACTCCTAGAGATAATTTTGCGGAAATAAAAGATGACAGAATTCAATGAGTTGAATAAAATTTCAATTATCAGAAAAAGCATTGTAAAGCACGCATCGGAGAAAACTGAATGCACTTCTAAAATGTAATTTGTGCAGTTGCCATTATGTTACACCAAATTATCCGTGATTTCACCTGTAAGAAAAAAGTTTATTTAAACATTCATTTTTGATGTTTTGTTCGACATTCACATAGACACAGTGTGAGATTATGTTGTAAACAGAAATTCATCAAAAGTGACACCTCAGAAAAGCTAAAATATTGAATTTTTGGAACTTTTGATAGAGCACGTTTTTAAATATTAATTAAAGTAAATGTATATTTTGTAAAGATTCTTTTTAATAAAAAATAAAATTTTGAAGAAGAACACAAAATCTTCTGAAAAATAATATCACATAAACTCATATTATTTTCTAATATATAACTATTTTATATAAAAATCAAATTCAATGATCTTAAAAGCGAAGGATAAACCTCAAAATTTACGAATATAATGAGTGGGAATATAATGCTTATCTATCATAAAACCATATGAAATATCAATTTTTGCTTTACGCCTAATTTTTGACGACAATTAGCAAAAAATGTTAAATGTTAACACTCAGTCCATTTGAATATGAAAAATAAAATTGACTTTGATTAAATGTTTTTATTTATCATGCAATTCTTCTTGCGACCAAAGGTTTGAATGAAATTTCAAAAAATAAGATAGCTTAAAAAATAATATACGGTAGTGTTTACTAATAGATGAATAGTATATAAATTCTATTAAAATGGATTTGATCCAAAAAAATATAAAACCAAAAATAATTGTTATAATTTAAATGAAGAAGTAATTTAAAACGATTTTATTTATGATCAAATTTTATATATTTTTTTGGATCAAATCCATTTTAATAGAATTTATATACTATTCATCTATTAGTAAACACTACCGTATATTATTTTTTAAGCTATCTTATTTTTTGAAATTTCATTCAAACCTTTGGTCGCAAGAAGAATTGCATGATAAATAAAAACATTTAATCAAAGTCAATTTTATTTTTCATATTCAAATGGACTGAGTGTTAACATTTAACATTTTTTGCTAATTGTCGTCAAAAATTAGGCGTAAAGCAAAAATTGATATTTCATATGGTTTTATGATAGATAAGCATTATATTCCCACTCATTATATTCGTAAATTTTGAGGTTTATCCTTCGCTTTTAAGATCATTGAATTTGATTTTTATATAAAATAGTTATATATTAGAAAATAATATGAGTTTATGTGATATTATTTTTCAGAAGATTTCATTCTATATGCCTATGAAAAGTACTCTCAAAACTAACTTTTTCTTAATTATAATTAAATCTAGAATATTGTATTATGCTTAGTATTATTTCATTTTTCTCATTCAATTTAGAATTTACAAATGTCAAAAAATTGAGAGCTGTCACTTTTGATGAATTTCTGTTTATTACAATTATACTGATTAATATTGAAAATTGTAAAAGAATTAAAAAAAAGGTTCCTAAATTCATTCATTGAAAAATATTATGATATTCATGATATTATATACTACGCAGGGATTTCAAATCTCAAATAAAAATGAAAATATAGTCAACTTGGGGCGAAAAATCGGATGAGAAACAAGAAATTTTACTACATCAGTATTACTTATATACGCTGCATCATGAAGAGGTGTTTCCCCATTATGATCTTTAGCATTAACATCTGCACCATGTGAAATAAGAAATTCTAACAGATCAATACCACCTTTCAACATTGCTTTATGAAGAGGTGTTCTTCCACCCGCATCATCTTTTTCATTGACATTTGCACCATGAGAAATTAGAATTTCGGCAATTTCTTTTCCATTACTTTCTGCTGCATAATGAAGAGGTGTATTTCCTTTATAATCTTTTGCATTGATATCTGCACCATGAGAAATAAGAATTTCCGCTATTTCTTTTCTATTACTTTTTGCTGCACAATGAAGAGGTGTAATCCCTTCATCATCTTTTGCATTGACATCTGCACCATGTGAAATAAAAAGCATAGCGATCATTTTATTTCTTCCATTTGCAGCTGCATGAAGAGGTGAATTCCCATGATTATCTTCTGCATTGACATCTGCACCATGAGAAACAAGAAATTTAATTGATTCAAGGTCACTTTCTTTTACTGATATATGAAGAGGTGTTTGATTATCAAAATCTTTTATATCTATATCAGCGCCATGACGAACAAAAATATCAAGTATTTCTGTATAATGATATTCAGCAGCTTTATGAAGAGCTGATCCCTGATGTTCTCCAGATTTCATCTCAACGTCAGGCCAGTGCGAAAGCAGATATTCACAAAGTGAGGGAATACCAAATATTGGTGAGTATTTGATACATTCATAAATATCTTTGGTTTCAGCTAAATAAATAAATAAGGATTGGGTATTACAATATAAACCGCAATAATAAGGTTTAGGGATGATATCATGTTCATTCATCAAATATGTAACAAAATCAATATTATGTGTCATTAGCGCACACGCATGGGCATAACCGCCTGGTGAAACTGCTTTTAAACATTCATTAATGATCTCTGCATTTCCACCTAAAAATGAATAATTAAGGCAAGTCCGTGTGATGTCAGTTTTGAATTTTGTTCTTAAAAACTTAAAATATTTGATTGCTCCATAATAGCAACATAATTCAAGTAAAGAATACGAAGTAATATAAAAATCACTTCTCATACTTTTATCTGGATCAAATCCTTCCCTTTCTGAAAATGATATAAACGATATTATATAGGGTGTCCAAAGGTGTGTTTAGCACAAACCTGAATACTGCGAATAGAAATAAACAAGTTACATATATATAAAGTTTATTTAAATATAATCACCATTGGATTCAATCACGCGTTCGCAGCGATCGATCCAGGCTTGAAAGACACGCTTTAAATCATCATGAGAAAATTGCTCAAATTGCTCTCTTACAAAATTTTCAAGATCATCTGGACTCGCGAATTCGCGTCCTTCAGCTCTCTTTTTTAGCGTGCCGAATAAATAAAAGTCAGAGGGTGCAATATCAGGTGAATAAATTGGGTTTGGAACAACTTTGACATTGTTTTCCACCAAGTAATTCATTACCTTATGACTTTTGTGAACTCTTGAATTATCAAAATGAATTGCAAACTTTTGTTTTTGTTGTTTGGATTTCTCAAACTCATCAGAATTGATAATTTGAGTAAGAACATTGTCAATTAGATACTGAGCATTCATCGTATTAGGTTTTTGAAGAATATCAATTGCGATGATGCCATTCACGCCCCAAAAAACCGACAACATCATCATTGGTGTGTCAATTTTTTTTCTTCGGGAATGTTTGCGGATTTTCATCCTTCGGGATCCACATGATTTTGGCTTCTGTTGCATATTGAAACCAAGACTCGTCCCCTGTTACTAAAAAGCGAAACTTCTTGGATTGATACGCACCCAATATAGAGAGGAGCTCTTTCGAAGATTGGACTCTAGATTTTTTTTGAACTGAATTAAGGTTGTGCGGAACCCAACGTGTATACGCTAGTTTGTAGTTCAAATAATTGTGCAGATAATAACTGACTGTTGTACGTGGTATCTTTGTCATCTCCTCTATCCTTCTGAGTGATGCTCTTGGGTCTTCATCTAGCGCTTGAAGAATTGCTTTGATTTTTCTTTGATCCGGCGATTTTTTGTCAATTTTTATGATGGGCGCCTTTTTGTTCATGAAGTGATACATCCTAACATGATACGTTACAGTGGAATAGCTAGGAGCATCCATACCGAAGCATTTTACCAATGTCTCGTAGATTTTTTTACAGTCTTTGCATTTTTTTGCAAGAGCGAGGATGTTTTCTTTATGATTCATTAAAAAAATGAAAAAAATCCCACCAAAATTTCCCGCGAAACCGCCTCTTGTCTCAAAATTCATTTTATATCCCGGCATGGCGCCAAAATACAACATACTCATCATATACATATATTCATATTTTTTATTATATATTTATAATCAGCATATATCTCCTTTAATAGTCTCATATAGAGCGCTGTGCTAAACGCACCTTTGGACACCCTATATCATCATCCATGATAGCCCTTTCAATTGTGTTTTGTTTATGGACTTCCAATGAATAATTTAGATGTTCATATTCATCAAATAAATTGCTTTTAAAAATAAAATTACCAGTTTCTTTGTAATAAAAATAGGCGAAAATATCGGAAATCCTATAAATGCTCGTAATGTGAAAGTCAGAAAAATGTTTTTGAAAATTTCGAAGTATGATTTAAAGTAACGATTTCTATACAATGCATATTCTTTTATCAACAACAACAAACTAAGCGGAAAAATTTTTTTGGTATCGAGGTATTTTTCTTTGATATTTTTGTAAATTTGATTGACTTCATCAAGGTTTAATGTATTGAGATTGAAGAGTCCCCTAAAAACGTCATCGTACTCACTAAAAAGATCCAAATAGTCTTGATAATGCTCTTTTTCCATTAAAAAAGTAAATTAATTTTTGAAAGGTTTACAACATATGGATATTCAATTTATGGAGTAGTTCAATAGCTTTTATCTCGTCATCTAAAAAGGCTTATAGGAAATTTCCTATAGCAATATGTACCAACATAGACTCATGCATATAAATGACATAATAACATTGAATAAAATAAGATCTATATGATTGAAAAAGCGGAAATTTAGAGATCACAAAATGAATCTTATGATATCTTAATGAATTTGAAATATATAACAACATTAGAGTTTAAAACAAAATATCATTTTTAAATAAATCAAAAAATCAAATGATTGTTGATAGTTCTGATCCAATATCATACCCGCTCATATATTTTCTTCCTTTATGGACTATTTTCTTCATTATCAATATTGTATTCTTCTTTAGACCACATATACAGCGAAGTTGTTATATTAAGCCAAGATCGAAGTGGCTAATTTTATTTTCAGCAATCGGTGGTTATCTAATGAATCTGGTTGCTGAATGGCAAATCATATTAGGTCCGGAAAACTTCCCAAATCTTTTTACTCACATTAATCTTTGGGTGTTTTTACCTCTCCATATCATCCCATACCCACTTCGAGCATTTCAATTTATCATTAACTATCATTTGGCACAACTGGACGAAGATTCGCCTCCTTCAATTTGGAAAACTCTTTACGAACATTACAAATTTGTAAATACCTATGCATTTAACATATATTTTGCAATTATAATGGCAATATCAATTACATGGGGAGCAATACGCCTTATTTTATACCCAGTTAATCAATGGGGCCATTATGGATCAGGAATTACCGATTTTTACTTCATTGTCGTTTTGTGCGGCTTTGCAATATGCTCGATCTTACTTTGGATAACAGCATATGTCCTCAAAGATACTCATGAAGAAATTAGAATCAACAAAGAATTAATTTTAATTAATATTCTCTGGAGTATATTCGCACCAATTTATATTGTTGTTGGAATGATCCAGCTCAAACCAGAATACAATTATTTAGACATAATTCCTCAATATTTAATAGTTTTCCTTACAATTTACGATTTTACAATTACATTTTGTTATCCAATCAGTATTGCATCTATCAAGCCAGAAGAAATTACATTTGGTATCGATGTATTAGATAATTTCGAACTTTTCCTTAATGATCCAGAAGGATCCAGATTATTCTACAATTATACAGTGCATCGCAATACAAGGGAGTCCTACCTATTCTTTAAGGATGTACAAAACTTCAGATCCATCACAGATGTCCAAGAACTCCAAAAAGAATACAAAAAAATTTGCGAAAAATATTGCGAAGGAAAGACGATTCTTACTCTTAACATGAGAAAAGAAAAGAGAGAAAGTGTATTAAACGCTACAACAGTCGATCCAACCATTTTCGACAACTTATATAAAGCATATAAAATTGTTGTCGTTAAGGACGTGTTTTACCCTTTCAAAATAACTCCTGAGTTCGAAGCATTCGCTCGAGCACAAAAAGCAAGAATTCTCAAGAAAAATGTCCCAATTCCAAATTAAAATTTCAACCGAATATTTTTTCTCTTTGTTATTGAAGAGATCATGCTAGTAATTATAGTTTTACTTTCATTAGTCTTGTTTTTTTAAAATTTTATGATAATTTTGTAAAAATGTATAAATTTAGTAAACAATTTTATCATTTTCGTGGGAAAGCAAATCATATATTTGGTGATTTATAGATTTTGAATTCAATTTTTTTCGATTACAATTCAAAAGGGATATACAGAAGAACTATTATAATAGAAATGTTGCCTAATATGAATACGTTGAACATCTTGAATTTATAATGAACTTTCTTCAAAAATTACAGAAATTGATTAAAATTTTGGGTCAATTAACCTTAATCAAATGCGTAAATCGACTAGTATTAGCTATGAAATACTAATATAGCATTAAATTTGTTTTTAAGAGACTGTTTAATTAAATCTAATCGGAAATGCGGAAAAAGAAAGTTAATGAGCCATAAATGGATTGATTGAAATATGGTGAGTGATAGCAAACGTAATCCAAAATATGAGAATCATCTAATAATATTGTTTGAAGATTCAAAGTTTATTTTTGATGAAATGTAAATTTTTTTTTCGCAAATATACATCCAAAATATATTTGAATCATAGCGATATTTTATCTAGAGCTGTAAAAACGTAAGATGATAGTTATCAATAATTAATTCTCAATTTTGATTGAAAAATCTTGCTCAGCACTATACCGCAATCAAAATGTTTATCTCAAGGTCAAATTTTTGTATATTCATAGAATTGTGAAGTGTCAGAAAATATTGCAACGATATATAGCGTTTACTTTCCTAGAATAGTTATATTCAAAAAAGAATTAAAAAAAATATCATAAACAATAGAATTTATAGTTCAATTTTAAATTTATTTTTTCAATCAAACCATAGTTTTTGAGAGGGCTCACAATGCATAATTTATCGACAGATACTGCTCATATACGTATACATTATTATTATGTCCAAATTATCTTGAACTCTGAAAACTTCTAAATCAAATTGAATACTTGGATAACATAAACGATGATCAATAACAAAATATCATCGTTGCCAATGATCATCGTTTTTATTCATATGAAATCCCTCTTCAATGTGATGTGACGGTTATACATCGATATTCAATGGATTTCAGATAGTTTTCAAAAATATTTGATGCCCAAATGATTCATATTACATAACGGAAATAAATCATAATAAAATTATTTTCAAAGCTTTTTCGATCTTTGCCAATAAAAATGGACGGTGAAGAAATTCCTTCGGCCCCAACTCCAAAAGATCGCCCAGTGTGGCAATTTCATGTTGTAAGAATCCTATCTTACGCATGCGTTGCATTTCTATACGCCCTCGAGTACAGTATACATTGTGCGTCGCCTGTAGCCTACAGCTACAGTCACCGACACAATGAAAAAAGTGACAGAAAACTGACACCATACGGGCGCGCATATGTACGCATATATGTGTAAAAATAAACGTTCATATGTAAACTAACCTTTATTCACTAGCAGGGGCTGATAAATCATAATCGTCGAGAAGTACGATAGGTGGTCCCACCTGTTTAATCTGTATGGAGAGGCAAACGTGACGTAAGAAGCATAACACTGGTTTCTCAGTATATTTAATAGACTCTGCTGTTGGCTTAACTGTAAGCTTATATGTAATAGGTGAATTAGATAACTGACCCTGTTGGAATGTATAATCAGTTTCGCAAGGGAATCCACATAGGTAATGACCTAAGTCATTTGACTCGATTCCAAATTGAGGGACTGATGTGGTTGTGATAGACCTCATGACATCATAGTTGAAGCCAACAGTATCGTTATTATTGTTAGTGGCATTTGCCTGCATCTCATAGAAGATTGGATCATTAGATGCTTGAGCCTCAGCGGGTATGTTACCATATGCTCCACAGTTCAATTGAATTTGTTCAAACAATGGATTTTCATAGGTAGTGTTATAATTAGGTGTTTTCTTAAATAGTGTATAAATGGTGTTCACATATAATGGAGTAAATGCTGCCGTGAATGTACAAGGAGTTCCTTCACCTTTAGCCATTGAACCATCCATAGTAATGCAGTCAATTCTTTTGATTGGGAAGTTTAGAGTCTTTGCCGAATATCTTGTCACCAAATCACTATAGATGTTAGGGTCCAAAGAGAATGAGTTACAGTATGTAATCATTTCAAAGAAGTTTGCATTCTTCTTAGTGAACTTAATAAACTTGGTACCAAATGATATCGTACTCTTATCGGCATTCCAAGTTACAGTATCAATAACTTTGATACCTTCATAGATAGGAGTGAAGTGATTAGTGATTGGAATATAGCTTGTAACATTGGCTTGCATGTTCGGTAATGGTAGAATATCCTGATAACTTAATGGTGTCCAAACCATACCAGCAATACTGAACTTAACCTTAAGTTGTAAGTTACCAGCAAACGCTGGAAGGAATCTAATGTTATTAAGTATTAGGAATCTTCTTAGGTCAATCTTGATTGGTATGTGGAACTTTAATGTAGTTGCACCACTAATTGGTTTATTGAACTCAATAATCTGTCCAGAACGAACTGTATCACATCTATTGAAAACATCTTTATGTCTAGCCTTACTAAATACATCAACTTTCTTAATAGCTTCTGTTGTAGATGCAGTAGAAGTAATGTAACCTTCTTCTCTAGCATTATCTTGTGTATAAACACTTTTACCATTAGCGATTAATTGATATGATTCAACAGCATAGAATGAATCAATGTATCCCAACCAAATTGCTGGAAGATGTGCACATGATTTGCCACCAGCATATTTAGTATCAATTGCTTTAATTGCTGTAACATTTGATCCTGTAGGAGCTGTCTCAACAGCTCTTTCTTTATATACTTCACCATCATATTTAGGAACTTTTTCATCAGCTGGTTCAGTTTCTGTTGTAATTATGCACTCACCATCGACATAACCACTAATGAACGTATTATATAAGTCAATCATGTTCTCACCAGGTGGTGATATGTTAAATGTAATATAACCGTTATCAATAGTATTTGTCGGCATAGCTGGCACTTTTGTTGGGACATATCTATGGTTAGTATCTCCAATAGGAACTGCCCCATCAACTTGATCGAAATAATATCTTACTTGTCTGATGGAATCAGCAATACTGTATGTATTGAGGTTATCGTTCAACATCTTTCTCAGCTATAAAAAATTTACAATCTTCTTATTCTTGGGATTATTCGTCTTATTTGTGGCTGAGGTTTAGGAGGTTCTGGTTCAGGCTCTGGTTCATCATCGAAGTGTATTCTTTTCTCTTCCATTGATTGAACATATTCTTGATTCTCTTTAGTTTCCTTCTCACGTTCAATTGGGTCCATGTTTGGTTCATTAACTACACTGTTACGTTCTAATATCTTTGTCATCATCTCTAACAACATTTTATTAGTATATGCTTGTTCTTCTTCTTTCTTCTCATCAACTTTAGGAGCTTCTTGAACAACAGGAGCTGGGGCAGGAGCTGGTGAATTCAATGGTGCCTTTCTCTTTCTAACTTGAACTGAACCATTCTTCATATGACAAACATAATATAATGGATGTTGTATTCCTTTAGCTTCATTCAATATGATTGATTGCTTTTCACTTGGTGAAAGTTTTGACGTCATTTCTATCCTAATAAAATTTTTTACTCCTAACAAAATGACTGAGAATACTTTCGACAGAGAAGCACTCAAGAATGAACTTCGTGAAGAAATACTTAATGAACTCAAACCAAAAGAACAAACACAAGAAGAGAAACCAGCTAAACCAAAGCGTAAACTCACAGAGAAACAATTAGCTGCATTAGCAGCTGGACGCGCAAAGAATCCACGAATGATTGCAAAGAAATTGAGAGAAGAGGAAGAAGCTAAGAAAAATAATAAGTAAGTGTTTAGAACTTTAACTTACGTTCAAAAGATGACTTCGTTTGAAATAGTGAAGTCCTTATTTTTGTTGAAGCATGGTTTCGAACCAATGCACAAGTCAAAGGTTATCTCATCACCTTCATAAAGAGATTTGTACAATTCCACGATGCTATATTTTTCCCCAACTTTCTCAGGGAAGAACAAACCTTTCTTCTCGTCATAATGTACTTGTATCGCATCTGGGAACATTTGGTTTGCAGTAAGTGCAATTACGTCCTGTGTGATTCCCTTCATTCGACAGTGGAAAGCAATTTCCTTGAGGTCATTGGTTAATTCGTCGAGGTAAGTCTTCTTTCCAACGAATATAGATCTTTGTGCCTTAGACATATGTCCTGCAGTAATCTCTGCAAAGTCTGAATGAAATTGACCCAGTGCTTTTCCAATGAGTTCTCTGTTATACCTTCTCTTGTATTCTTCTGCTAACTTATCTAAGTCCTTCTCATACAAGTGTAAACTATCTGTATCCTGATAGAACAACTTCAAGCCCAAATCTTCTGCTGTGAAGAATACTTCATTCATGATTCGTTTGGACATAGAAAGGATTGAAACACCTAATGGACAATAGTTAAAGTGACGAACGATAGGTTTAAATGACTTTACACATGAAAGTTCGGAATCGGGGATGAACTCTATTGTCTGTATGTCATTATAGTTCTTAATGATATAGTCAGTGAGCTTATTGTCCTTGATGAAACGAATCTTTTTGTCAATGGGCTTTAATATCGTCTTACCATAGATACTGTTCAAAAGAAGTTTGATGATCTCTTGTATCGGATTACCTTCCTTCTTATACTTAGCACGTAATTCGAAGAGCTTCTTAACTTCATTCCTTATTGTCATGTCCCTTTTTCCATCATAATAGTATCCATCAATGACTTTGCATGAGATCTCTTGGAACTTGATCAGATCTTGAAGCGTAATGTGGTCTACGAACATCTTGCAGCATGTATTGGAACTTCTGGCAACATGTAAGTCAGGGTTGATGTCAGGATTGACGACAATCAATGGGAATGCTGAGTTCTTACCGATCGACAAGATCTCGATCTGACAGTAAAATCCTGAGATGAACTTTTCCTTTGTTGGTTCAGCTTGGTCATCATCAAAGAGATGCTCCAACAAGTATTCACTGCTCTTCATCTCTTCTGTCATAACTTTTGGAATTCCTTCTAAACAGTAAAGTCTAGCAATTGCTGATGGATACAATGATACAGCATCGAAGTCAGTGATGAGTTCTCCTTCATTGTATTGCTTCTTGTTCTCAGCTAGCATGCATCTTCCTCCTTGAATACACTTGGAAATATATTCACGAGGTTTTCCTGCAAGATCAAAGAGATTACCGTTCTTCCAATATACTCTCTTCTCAAAGAGTTTGTTTGAGATAGAACTTATTGAAACATAATCATAAGCATCTATTTCAAACTCAGTCATGAGGTCATTGCGGAACTTAAGAAAGCCATCTCGTAAAATGCGTACATCTTGACCGCAATAGAATGACGAATAAACTTCCATGTCAAAGTGTTCATCATCAATCTTGCAATCTTCAATCTTCTCAATGTTCTCATTAAAAGCTTCAATATCTTTGACATGATTCATGGCATCATCGATGTTACCAACTTTAGTTGTATTAACTAACTCTTCCGTGTAGTAATTATATGGGAAAACTTCTTTTTCACCACTAGTGAGGTGAAACATTTCAGGGAATCTTTCCAACTTAGTTGAGATGATTGCATAAGAGTCTTTGAAGCAGAGAAGTTTTCCTTTGTACTTTCCTTGTATCTGCATCGTTTGTGAACCTTTGATGATTGGAGTTCCTGTAATCTCTTCTAACTGAGACATGAGAAAAGTGACATCGTACGATAAGTTGTGGAAATAAACTAAACTCTTATCTGGTAAAGCTTCGAGGAATTTTGACGCACAGTCACTTCCCCAAATTGATGTATAACCATCATCGTCATCTTCCATGAAACAAATGTTGTATGCTTTGTGAATGTTTCCATCAGTTGATGCTTCGAAGTCAGCAAAGAAAACATGTTCTCTTGGGAACTTCATGTCTTTCTTCGTCTCTGAACTCCAATCTTTCTTCATCCTTGCGCAATAACGCTCATTGTATGTGAGGTCAATCATTTCTTCAAGGTTCTCATTATACATCGTTGTGAAGTATGTGCAAAGTTCTCCTGTTCTAATTGGTTCGAAATAATTGTTAGCAAACAAGAGTTCAATGACTTTTGCAAGTGGTGTAACTAACTTTGAGTTAATTGCATACCTTGTTTCATATCTTCTGTTAACTAACATCTTCTTCTCTAAAGTCCAATCCTTGCACAACTTACAAACATCTTCATAGTTCTTGATGAACATTGAACTTATTGGAAGCTTTTCGTTCAACATGTAGTGGTCATACATTAATAAAAGTTCTACTGTCATCTTTGGTTCTTCATCTGGTTCATAAGTATATGAATGATTTGAATACTTCTCGTTGTATTTGATGACATGGAACCTTATTCCTGTTTCTTTGGCAATAACCTTAATCTTTGACATTGGAAAATCTTTGACACGAATGATTTCCCTCATATGATTAATTGTTGCTTCGTCAACACCAGCTTGAATACAAGCGTAGATGAAACATGAATCTTTCATCATCTTCTTTGCTGTCTCTGCATTAAGTTCGTTGAAGATCTGATACCTCTCTAAGTTAATAGGTAATTTGCATGTCCATGTCCAAAGCTGACCATTACGTGACCTGTTTCTCTTCTTTGAATGGTTTTGTTTGATGATCTTGAGTGCGATCTTTTCTTGACCTGCTGCTCTCATCGTATCTAACATAACTTGTTCTTCAGCTGTGAGTTTATATGGTGTGTACGTTCCTTTTCTCAAAGCAGAAGCATCAACATCTGAATAAGCTGTATAGTCAAAGATCTCGATCTTCCTTAACGAAGGAATACTACAAAGGAAGAAGTCATAGTTTGATTCAAGGACTTTAGATGCTAATTCTTGTACTTCTGCTATTGGAGCTTCATTAAGTAACTGATGAACTAATGATCCCATTGTATTGATGTTCAAATGACGCAAAATGTTTCTCTTCTCATCAAAGTCGTAATAGAATGTCCACTTCTGTTTGAAAAGGTCTATCTGTCCAATGAACTTTGCCATAACTCTTGGAAACATCTTGTTGAAGTAATCTTTTCCTCTTGGACTGTATTGGTCAATGTTAAACATAATGAATCTTTCTCCTGCTTTAGTTATTGGGTCTAACCATTTCTCATCAGGAAGTTTTTGACCATTAATGTTCTTAACAACGTAAAAGGCATTCTGTATTTCTTTGTATGCTAATTCGCTCTCATCAATCTTTGGTGGAGGGTCTGAGTATATTGGTTGCATCTCCATTAACGCTCTATTATGAGATCTCTGATCGTGATCTAAAGCAACTGGGGAATTTGAAGCTGGAACATTCATGATACCATTGTAGTCATCATAGAAGCTCTTAGCATTCTTGAAAATATCTGCTACACTTCCTGTACCTCCTTGATTCTTAATTGCCAGAGCTAATTTATTGGTAATGTCTTTAGCTTTCTTAGGCATTTTGATCCCAAACATATCAAGCATACCTTTCTTATCTTCTGGTGAAAGGTTATTAACTAATCCTTTTATAGCATTGAGCATGTTGGTCTTTTATAACCGATAAAAAAATATACGTTATTTTTTTTAATCGTCATCGTAATCATAATCGTACGAAGATTCTGTATCATCATCACTGACATCATTGGTTTCTCTAACTTCTGGCTTATCTGGTTTAATCTCTATCACCATAAACATTGGTGACAATAATCGAACAGGCTGATCTTGGAAGTCAACTAAGGTAAACGTAACATTAGTTAGTTCCCATGGAAATGCATCTATCCATGGTGAGGATTCCTTACATATAAGTGGTTTACCAGATATCCAGAACTCATTGATGTTATAACATGTAGATCTGTACATGATCTTTCTTCGATCATCAACTTGGTCAATATTATTGAACCCAGAGATGACAGACATTGATGAACGAAGGTATAACTGATACCCGAAGTTGAGCATAGGTGGTTTTGGCATTTGTAGATAATAATTATGTACAATAGGTAGTTCTATTCCATATGCACCTAAAATAAGATTTGCTCTATGTGAAGCATCTTTTAAATAGACTTTATGTCCTTTGTCCTGTGACGTAAATATAAGTTGATTCGTAGCACTCAGTGAAACTGTTACATTATGTTGACCTTTTTTCTTGTTATAATAATCAAACTGTTTTGTTACAATCTCTTGTAGTTTTGATACAATAGTATCCATATCAAATGAAAGAGCTGACTTAAATGTACACACCTTTTCTTCTCCATCTTCGTCTAACTGTAAGACAAAATAATCTGTTTCGTCACAAACAATAAAGTTCGCCATAGTACTGACACTTTTTACTCTCATCTTTATCTTACTTGGATGCCCCATGTTAGGATCTGCTTGAAACTGTATTGTCCCGTAGTTATTAGGATCAGTCGATTGTAGATAATACATCATTTTTATATGTAGTAAAAGAATGAGTGTTGTTCCATATGCATATGAATGTTATAAGTCTAGCGTACTTCAATATAAAGAATATACTCTCAGAATTACTGATAATGCTTTAGTCATACATAAAGAAGGTGCTGATGAAGACATTACCATCGGTCCTGGTATATTACCTATCGAGCAACCAGATGGTACAATTGTTGAAACAGACTTAAATCAATACCTTCAAGCGTTACAGAATCGTGTGACAAAAGTAGAGAATAATTACTTAGATGCTCCATTCTTCACAACTGATAGAGATTATATGTTTTCATGTATGGCGAGTAATGGTTTGCAAGAAACTCGTGAGGTAAATATTAATGAAGCATTAGAGACTATAATATATCATGTTAAACGGTTATTATCGATTGACCATGGAGTTCATTTTGACCCAAGGTCTACACTGTTCAATATACCAATGATTGAAAACAGTCAATTAACATTTAAAGAAGATACATTGTATAATGCTTTAAACGCAGCATTTGCTTATATATTAGGTCATGAACAAGTACAAAATAGTGGTATTGCAATATACTTAGATAAAGTTATGTTAAAGAAACCATTGACATTCACAGAAGATGGTCCAAAAGCAACTGGTATTGTTGGTGATGGAACATTATTGACGAAAGAATACTTAGCAAGTCATGTCGGAGAATTTTTCTCCACTAATGATAGCATCAGTACAACACCAGAAGTTATTTTATTGAAGAAACCAATCACATTTGATGTTAAAGGAAAGACAAAAGCAACTGGTATAGCTGGCGATGGAGTTCTTCTGACTAAGGAATACTTGAAGAAAAATATCAATGACTTCGTTGAAATTGTCAAAGATAAAGAATCTGGTCTTAAGTTCAACCCTTTATCATTCATCTTTGCCATAGCAAACGCCGGTGCTACTGCAGCCTCATGGATATCACTCCAGAGTCAAATAAATGCTCTTTGGGCTTTTGTTGAAAGTCAAGAAGGTATAGATACTGTTCTTGACACTCTGGGTAATCTTGGTCCAAATCATAAAGGAGGTTTTGTGGATGGAATAAAAAATTTAGTTGAAAAGACTAAAACAAGTTTCCAGAAGATAACTCATATAGAAAGATTCAGAAATGAAGGTTATATGGAACTTGAGAGTTTTGATGTGACTGGACCTTTGGAACCAATTCCAATGCCACGTGATGCTAATGATGAAGAAGAGAAAGATCCTGGACCAAAAACAATCATTTCTACGTTAAGTACTTTGTACCCTGATTTTGTGACCTTAGTGAAAGTTGCTAATACATCAAGAAAGAACAATAATATTAATATGTCTGGTACTGATGACCTTACTGATTATCTTTATCTCATTCTTGCTGAATTAGCGAAGAAAGTTGAGGAGAACAAAAATAATGGAGGAAGAACTGCACTTAAGATTGCAGACAAAGCTGACAAAAGTTATGTTGACGAAGAGATACGTAAAGTTGCATCTAAAGAATATACTTTATCACAGTCTGTCATACTTAAGACAATCAAAGGTCCAGAGAAAGATATGTACCCAGGTGATGGTACAACAGTTAAAGTTAATGAAAGAGTTTCATTCCCATCTGGTATTGATACAAAAGAAGTATATATTAATGGTGAAAACATCAATACAACATTGTTTCCTTTGAAAAATAATGAGTTCACTGAACCTTTGACAGTTAAATCAATTCGTTCAAGAGAAGACAAACCTGTTATAATCAATAAAATAGGAGCTGATAATGACCAACCAGTTCAAATCAAGAAAATAAGAGCTGATGACATTATCTTGAACTATACTTTAGGTTCAAGTGCTCCACAAGAAGATCCAAGCACTAGCGTAAAAGATACTCTTAACAGTTTAGATAGTAAATGTACGAACATTGAAGGTCATGCCAGAAACTTCGAAGTATATGAACTACCAGCAATGTTAGATAAGAAAGCTGACAAGAACCATGTTCATTATATAAGTTCAGATGAACAGATTATAACGGACTACCACGGATATTTAACACAGGGTGAAAAAGTGAATACGAAAAATGTTAATGAAAGAAGATATAAATTCATTCGTGCTAAAGGTTATGACATACACTGTACTGTACAGTATGACACAGGTATAGCACCACAATCATTTGGTTATAACGCTGAAATTTATGCTTCATACTTCTTTGTTAACGGTGTATTAGTTGAGCCAAGATTTAGGTTGAGAGTTAAGGCAAAAATAACCGTTGAAGATGCTATTAAAAGTAAAGCTGACAAAGATGAACTTGACGCAACGAACAAAGTTTTGAAATCTCATAAACACAATATCTCCGACATAAATTCACTTCAAACTTCTTTAGACAACAAAGCAGACAAAACTTATGTTAATGAACAGATCTCAAAGATCTCTAATGCATCTGTAAACAATGGAATACCTGAAAGCATTACAGTTAGCTTTGGTAATAATGATATGGGTAAAGTTGCAATATTTATAAATTATAACATTGGTCCATCAGAAAAAGGTCCAAGTTACTATACATTGAGTCATGGTAAATCTATTGAACTTGTGTTCCACAAAAAAGATGGAACAAACTTAACTATTCATCCTGGAGATACGTTTGAGTTTTATTTGAACGATGTCACCACAGTAGATTATACTTATAGACCTTCTAACATGTTTGACATGATGTATCCAATTGGTTCTATATTTACATCAATGAGCTCAACAAGCCCGCAAACCCTTTATGGAGGTGTTTGGCAACCGATTGTTGATCAGTTTCTTTACTGTTCTAACTCATCAATGGACTTTGGTGGTTCAAAGACTATCAGAGTTGAAAACCTTCCACCACACTCCCATAGGTTCAGTGCAACAACATCTACTAATGGAGAGCATTCACATTCAATGACAAAAAGAGGTTATACAAATCTTGCAGCAGGTTCTGATAGACAAGGTATGAATAGATATGATATCACAGATGACCCTAGAGATGTTAGTACAGGTATTTTCTGCGGATCTGCAGGAAACCATACTCACACAGTAGCTGGAATCACAGATGCAACAGGAAAAGGTCAAGACTTCTTACCACCATTTATGACTGTATTCGCTTGGTTCAGAGCTGCTTAACTCAAGATCACGATCACAAACTGTTTCTCAGTATGAATGAGTAGCTCTATTTTTACATCATTACTGAAGTATTTCTTTTCTTCATCAATGACAGAAAGAATGTTTTCATCATCTTTTAAAGATCTTACCAAAGTTAGATCTTCATCAGAAAATCTCAAAGAAAGACTCATTTATGCACTAATAAAAATATAGCTAATTATTTTTTTATCTGAACTTTTTATCGGGTATATAAAGATGTCTGAACATCATATAAAGTTCTTTAAGATCCAACAGTTTGTAGATGAAGTGAAGAAGCAAAATAAAACAGCAAAGAGACTACTTATATGCTTACCACAAACATTATGTCAAGGAAAGTATGGTTATAGTGCAAGTCCGATCATGATCTTTGTCGATAAGCAGAAATACACAAATGAAGGTTTAGCTAATTTACTCAAGTTTGAAAAGATAGCTATAAACATTCCTGACCATTTCTCAGCGAGAATAAACCTTGACAAGACTAAAAGTTATTGTTTATATGTAGATCTCACGAAATCAACAAAGAGTAAAGACAAAGAATATAACCCAGTTGAACTTAAGACAATGGGTAAGAACTTACTCAAAGCTGCTATCAAACCTGTCGAAGAGATCGACATTGAGGATGAAGCAGAAGAAATAGATGTAGATCCTGAAGTGTTATAAACGATAAAGTTTATTTTTGGAGGAAGATGGTGTCAGACCATTTGATCTGGCATGCTTGTTCTAGGTAATTGCAGAAACCTGGAAAGATTGTTATTGGTCTGAGTTTCATACCTGGTCTCTCATCTCTCCATTGAAGCAAGTAAATTTACATGAAGAGTTCGTCTGGATTCTCAGGCTTTGGTACACACTGATCGAAGATCTGTATGACCTCTTCATGACCGTACTCCCTCTGGTCAGACATGAGTGTTCTGAAGAACTTTTGCATCTTCGGACCAGGTTTAGCATCTATGCAACGAGTGGGTCTCATTGACATTTTTGTCACTTTTATTTGGTCGAATGGAAGGATTCGAGTTCATGCCACTTGACAGCAAAGAAGGTGCAGAAGAGGTTGTTGTTGCTGCATTCTATGCGAGCTCACACGTTGACGCATTCCGAACTTACCAGGATGACCTCGAAAAAGAAGGTCGAAAGCTTGGAAAGATCCAAATGTTGCTTGAGTTCTTCCGTGGAAACCTTGCACAGAAGTATGAGAAGAAAGAATAAACAACTAATTATTACTGAGCTTAGCTCATAAATGTAAGTTTTTACTCTGATCAGATCTTAGATCTCGTCGGGACAAGCGGAAAGGATAAAGTCCATGAGCTGGACTTTTGTCTTAGTGAGCGGTACTGCGGTCATGAGTAGTTCGCGCTTGTTTGAGCCACTTGGAACGCGACCCTTCCAATTCCTCATAGATCTCAAGGCAGAGATCGTGAAGAACTCAAGGACAAAGAGTCTTTGAGACTTGGTAAGGAATCCCTCATCATCTCTTTCATCCTGGAGGGTCTTTGTGGATGCAGTGGACTTGATCTCGTCTTCCTCGATCGGATCATTCTCATAATCTTCATCACCCTTCTTCCTAAACGTCATCTGCTCTCTCTTGTAGTCGTTCCTGAGAGCATTGAGTCCAGCTTCAAGATCTTGTGAGTTCTTTGCAGGTTTATTGAAAGTTTTCTTTTCCTGCATTTGCTGTATAAGCTGGGTTTGCTGTTGCATCATCTGCATCATCATTGCCATCATATCTAGTGTTGGTGATGCTGGAGCTGGTGTTGTACCATCTTGGGACATTCGGTCGTCGGTTATGTCTTTACAAAAGACTGCTTTACAAAAGACAGCTTTACAAAAGACAGCTTTACAAAAGACAGCTTTACAAAAGACAGCTTTACAAAAGACTGCTTTACAAAAGACAGCTTTACAAAAGACGTCTTGACAAAAGACAGCTTTACAAAAGACTGCTTTACAAAAGCATTTTCTCACAAAATTGAATACTTTTGCTTTACAAAAGACGTCTTGACAAAAGATTGCTTTACAAAAGTCTGCTTTACAAAAGATTGCTTTACAAAAGTCTGCTTTACAAAAGATTGCTTTACAAAAGATTGCTTTACAAAAGTCTGCTTTACAAAAGACAGCTTTACAAAAGATTGCTTTACAAAAGCCATGACTGATCTTCATCCAATTTGTTTAATCGAACTTAATGAAGTAATTTCTGCATATCTCCTGCATGTATTTGGAAACGAGAGGATAAGACAACTCACCAAGGTTTCCAGACGCCAGATCCAAAGACTTGAATCAACTGCAGGAGTAATCCTAAGCTTTGAAGAAGGATTAACCAATAAGAAAGATGTCATTGACTCCAAGCGTGAAAGCCTTGCTGCTTTCTTACGCAAACACCCATGGGTCGATGTTGATCTCCAAACTCCTTACCAAGGACTCGTTGAAACCTTCACGACCTACAGACAGCTCCTTGACAGACCTGAGCAGAACCTTCTGGTCGAACGTGATGGCACATTAAGCCCTACAGACGAGTCAATCCAGAGAGAAGAAGCTCAAGAGTAAAAATCTGACATTTATACTTTACATGACATTTTTTTCATGAGTGTTCACGTTAAGATCAATGATGAAAACATGACTTCATGGGAAGATATCATTGATGACATAGAGAATGACCTTGATGAAAACATGATGGGAGCTCAAACGTCAGTTAAGGTCAAACTTGGTGAAGTTCAAGAAAAGATCTCCGAGATCAATGCAAAAATATCTGCTCTTACAGAGGTTGACGTTTATTACAGAAGCTTGGAGAGAACTTTAAGCAAACTTGAACGTCAGAACCAAAGTCTCATAGTTGTGCTCCAGAAACTCAGTCTCATGCGTAAAGCATATAATGACTACCTACATGTAAGAGACTTACCTTCTTATTCTACTCCAGATCTCGACTTTTCCGATATAAGTCCAATCCTTATTGATACAACACTTACGATAGCAGGGATGCTTCCTACATATCCAGAATATGATAACTTACCTCAGCTCTTCGAGTATCTCAAGAAAAAGTTCATGATCTTATTATGCGAGACCATGAAAAGACGTCAAAATACCAGAACAGAACGAGAACAGAGCTTACTAATAGACTTATTATATAATACTAAAGAAATAAAGGAGTTTTTATTCTAACTTTGGTATTTTTGGGAAGAACTGATCTGGATCATATTTGTCAACCACAGGTTTTGGTATCAAAAGTCTCTCTGGTTCTTGGACGGCTGGTACTGGAAATGGTTCCTTTGGTTTCCTAGCTTTTGGGAGATCTAAAAATTTTCTTGGTCTCTTTCTTTTGTGTAAGTGTTGTCCATTTTTATCGACAACGAATGTGAGCTTTCCGTCGTCAAAGATGAATGTCGTCGCTTCTTCAGTTCCCTCATCAACTATTATCTTCTTGATCTTTCTCTTCTCCATTAACAGAAAAAGTGACATATATTACTTCATTATTTTTCTGAGTGTTAGGATTAATTAAACCTCTATCTATAACATGCTTTCTCATAGGAAATTTCTCTCCATATCTTTTTGTCAATATCTCTATAAGTTCTTCTGTATAAGATTTATCACTACTGAAGTAAATAGATGGATAATTAAGGACATCAAAGGTTTCTACAGTATCTTTAAGAGTCCATTCATCTCCATACTGTATAGAATAAGTATGGAAGTATGGAGGATCACATATAAAGAAAACATTGGGAAGATCTTTATACTCATTGAAGAGTATTCTCCAATCTTTATGAACAATAGTTAAACCTTCAAGATAGTCATCTATGTTTTCACCAAATAAGTTAGTATATCTGAGGTATAACACTTTCTTCATTAATGTGTCAAGATCATAGTATTTGTATGCTCCAGAATAGAGAAGACGTGAACATAATGTATCCCAGTCTATGTATGGAGCTTTACTTATAACTTCTCTGACGATCTCTTTCTGATCAGTAGGAATTTTCTCATCTGGCTTAACATTTATTCTCTCCTTAAGTTCCTTAAGTATTTCATTCGTGTCATGAATGTGTTTCAGTCTATCAACGTAGTTATCATAGTCGTTAGCTATGATCGTTGCTTTTGGGAACATAATATGCAACAGATGAGAGATATAGAGAGAACCACCAAATAGGTCAACGAAGACATAATCCCCTTTGATGTCTTTGAGTATGTCGATAAGATCTTTCCTGATCTTCGACTTATTACCTATGAAAGGTAAAGGAGGTTTGGTAAAAATCATTTATATGGTAATAAAAATAAGTGTTTACTTGAGACAATAACCTCTGTTGAGTTTGTAGAACAAGATCAGAAGTACGATCAAGTTCAAAACAACACAAATGGCTAGGATTGCGTTACCAACAATCTTTGTCTTTTCCCAGCAAGACTTCTTCTTTGGTTCATGTGCTGCTTCGACATCACTGTATGGCTCGGACATTAACTTAAAAAGTGTCATGACCACTTCATTTTTGATGAAGTCAACAGCTTATGTCCACTTCCTCCCACAAGCACTTGAGGGACAAGAGAAGGTCATCATTGACTACCTTCAAGCCACTGAGAAGCTCCAAAAGCTTCAAGATCTCCGCGAAGAGTTCAAGTCCCGCTTGAAACAGGAGAACTTACTGCAGGAGTACATGCTCATCCTTTATACACTCATTGATGGCTCCCATTTACCATCAGAGTACACTGCAGTTCTTGATGCACTCAAAGATCTTCGCGAACACCAGCCGATCGGTAAAGAAGCCTTCGAGCTCACCATTGAGCAAGCCATCTTCGCCAAGCACAATGCAAAGAAGCAGATGCTCGAAGCTCTTGACAAGATCAAAAAGTACGTCGAAAAGTACTAAAAATAATTACTTGAGTAAACGATAAGTTTTATTCATTGTTTCTCTTTTCAAGATATTCTTTCATCTTGACGTTATATTTTCCTAACTCATACAAGAACGTGTAGTATGAAACTTCAACCTCACGATGCTTTTCATACCATTTCATTATGAACATGGTAAGAATTGCTTCTTCGGGATTTGAGAAGGGATCTTCTTCACCAAATACGTTGTGATGAACTCTCATTGCTTTACCTACAGATATTGGTTCATCTTCCTCAGCAATTAGGTCAAAGAACCTTTGTAGTCTTTGGCTCATTGGAAATGTCACTTTTCGGTTAAACGATCACATACTTAAGACATAAATTATACCTACTTATTAACTCAGTATATTGTGCATTATATGCATACTTAAACTCTTGAGCAATATTGTTCTCATCAATGATTCTGATCTGAGCTATTTTTGAGAAAGGTGGTGGAATACCACAACATGTGATGTCTGGGTCCAGTAGGTCTATTTCACACTTGAACCCAGTCATTCTGTGAACAACTTCTTCCAAGTCTGGCTTAGGTAGTAAGATCTGATCTTTGCTCACTAAGTTAGAAAAGAGCTCTTTGTCTTGGTCTAGAAGTATCTTCTGGTATATACTAAGTAAATACTCTTCTACACCAATCCTCGATGAAGTCTCCACAGATCTCGATGAGGTCAGGTTGGAAGTTAATGGACTTAAAGGAGGAGGATACATTGGTGCTTCTGAGTTCGTAGTTGTTTCCTCTTTTTTTATCTCTGTTGGAGCATCACTTACTGTACCAGATGGATAGTTCTTTATCACAATGTTATTAGTTGTTCTTGAATCAACATTGCTTGTTGGTTCAATTGGAAGATTAGCTGCACCATAAAGAATTGACTTCGATCTCATTTGTTATGAGTAAAAATTGTTTTATTCTCATATAAATGACGAACATTAACCCAGAGAACAACACAGAATATACTGCAACAGGAGTTGTTTACAATGATCTAGATCAGATCGTCCAACTCAAAGCCCCAAGAGGAAGGAATTTAATAAGACAACCTCCACCAAAGATATATGTTGATGATGGTAGTAATGGGTTCAACTTAGTGTATCATTACTCATATCCTCAATATGCAAAAATTGGGTCTACCCCAAACGTGACAAACCATTATATGAACCTTTATGATGAAGCAAGGTTTCATGCACCAACGAAGAAAGAACCTGATGCATCAAGATTACATGAATTCGCAGACCATGATGGTTATAGCGATTACTCAATGCCTGTAAGACTTTAACGTTAATAAAAAAATGACTGTTGGTAAACAAGAAAAAACTTTAATACAAGAGGATTTGATGCTACCAATATATTCAACTGATATGGGAGCTTATCAATTCGATACATTTGAGAATCCTGGTGGAACACCACCATATTTTCTTTTGTTCATCAATGTAAACAGTAGAAAAGGTTATGCGTTCCCAATGAGTGAAAAGAACTCAAACAATGTTCTAAGTGCAATGCAGAAGTTCATTTCACAAGCTACAGGTGAAATGAAGCCTACAATACTTACTAGTGATGAAGACCCAGCTTATACGACACAAAATGTTCGAGATCTGTTGGTCAGTCATAACATTGAGCACATGACGACACAGAAATACAATCATAACATACTAGGTATTATTAATAGGTTCTGTAGAACTATTAGAACTATGTTACATATGAAGTTAAACCTCAAAGAAGGTGATAAAACACCACCTTTCACTGCAGATACAATGAGACAAATTATTAATGACTACAACACTGAATATCATTCAAGCACACAACAAAAGCCTGATGATTTCACAGAAAAGGATAATGAGGAATATATAAAGAAGCAAAGATTGAAAGAAGAGTATGTCAGAAAAAATAACCTTTATAACTTAAGACCTGGTCAAAAAGTTCAAGTCATAGTTGAACCAAGAACATGGGGTAAAGGTAACCAACAAAGAAGACATCTTGATCCTTCTTATTATACAGTTGATTCAGTTGATACAAGTGCATACTTGTTAAGAGCAAAAGATGGAAGTGTTGCAAGATATCCACGTTATCAGATATGGACAAAAATAGAGCATGGATTAAAGCAAGGAGAAACTTTAGATCAAGGAAGACACGGTGCTGTTAAAAGTATTGATGGTCATGAACTTGTCGGTAATGATGTAAAGTATGATGTTACGTTTGAGAACGAAAATACAGGAAAAGTGACAGGTAGAGGTATGCGTGAAGGTAATCCAAACAGGTTGTCACAAATGGAAGTACAGTATTGGAGGAAAAATATTAATGAAGGTCATGTTAAAGATATGCCTAGTTTTCTTGAGAAGTATCGTGGGTTTCGAGTTTAGCTTGTAAGTCCTTTATTTTTGTTTCATACAATGAGATCTTCCTTCTGATCTGTTCATCATTGAGAGGTTGCTTGACTTTACGGAACTGTACACGTCCGTCTTTCATTGTATGTACATAATATCCATCAGGAACCTTACCATCTTTTATATATTCAGTTAACCACTTTTGTTTAGTTGATGCTTTAATGACTTGACTCATTTCTTACTGGATAAATTTTTATGTTTTTTATCTTTTGACGATTTTTTCTTATCCTTATCTTTCTTCTTGTCCTTGTCCTTCTTTGATTTATCCTTCTTCTTGTCCTTGTCCTTCTTGGACTTCTCTGCTGCAGGTGGTGTTGGATTCTGTTTGACTTTAGCACTTGGGTCAGGACCTTGTCTTTGAGACTTAGATATAGATTGTTTAGGAGCTGCTGCTTGTTTAGTTGCTTCAGCTTGTTGTTTAGCTAATTCAGCAGCTTGTTTATCATTCTCTTCTATTTCCTTTGCACCAGTTGCGACTTCATTCTTGAACTTTTGGAGATTCTCAGCAGCATCCATTACCTTATTCGCTCCTTTAAACAATCCATAAAATTTCTGCCATGGTGATACTGAAGGTATATTTCCACCAATTGCTGGAGGAACTGATGCTTCAGGAGTTGGAGATGGTGTTTTGTCTGAATTGAGATGCTTTTCTGCTTCAAGAACTTGTGTAGTATTTTTCTCCAGGTATGCTTTTGCAACCTCCTTAACTTCTGGACGTTCATTATTTACATCCTGTCTTGGTGTTGATGTTTCAGTAGCGTTTTCTGAGTTA